CGTGTTATCAAGACGCATAATCGCTTTTCAGCGTGTTTATGAACGCCGTTGACTTGACGTTTCTTGGGGGATGCAAAAGTTGCATTCATTCCCGCTCTTGAGCCATGGATTGCATCAATTTAAGTTACTCCCATGTAGACTATTTAAAGGGATACTCCACTTTTTTTGGAAATAGGCTCATTTTACAACTCCCCCAGAGTTAAACAGTCGAGTTTTACCGTTTTCGAATGTATTCAGCCGATTTTTTTTTTGATATTTAGAAGAATATCAGTAACCAGACAGTTTCTGGTCTCATTGACTTCCATAGTATATTTTTTTCCCTACTATGGAAGTCAATGAGACCAGAAACTGTCTGGTTACTGATATTCTTCTAAATATTAGAAAATTGTCTGAATGTATTTGAAAATGGTAAAACTCAACTGTTTAACTCTAGGGGAGTGGTAAAATGAGCCTATTTCCAAAAAAAAAACAGCACAGAAAAAAATGAAGGTTAAAGGTGCACACACTGAAAAGAAATTGTGAAACAATTTTCACTCAAAAATTACTAATAAATTTCACAAAAAAACCTAAAGAAACGGCAAGAAGCACATTGAATTAAACATGAAATTTTGAAGTAGTAATCTGTTTTATTTACAACTTAGAAAATTGTTTGTTTTTTACTACGCATTGCCTGCAAACACACCGTAAACGGCTCATTTTTCTCTCCAGCCCGTGAAAAAGTCCCGTAAAGAGTTAAAGCAGGAGCAGCAGAATTCGGAGCAGCGGCTCAGCAAGCTGGAGACGGAGCTCATGGACACATCTGCACGACCCGACAGCTACACGGCGTTTGAGCGTCTGCTCCTGTCGTCTCCGGACAGCTCCCTCCTCTGGCTGCAGTACATGGCTTTCCATCTGCAGGCCACGGAGATCGAGCAGGCGCGCGCAGTCGCAGAGAGAGCCCTCAAAACCATCTCCTTCAGGTCAAACACTTTAGTTTATATGGTTGCCATTCAGGGCTTGAGAACTTTTTTTCTCACTAATCACTGTGGCTTGTGGATTTCCAAAGTTACTTGCCACTCTGCATTTTCACTGGCCACACTGACATCAATACCATAGGGAAAAACTGCCATATAGATGTTTTTTATATTATCTCATTATTTGGCAGCTGGATCAAATGTACGGTTTTATATAGCCAATGTACTTGTCTTTATGTGCACGCTCTTTGGGTGTGAGCACAAAATCTGCGGGAATGAGTAAAATTATGCTCAATATGCATAATCCCACACTGAAATTCAAGCCCTGTAACAGAAACAATATTGAAGAGTCAAGTGAGGCATGTTTGTGTGTAACTCGCTGTTGGAGAGAGTGTATCCTGTCAAAGTATCTATAGTATCTAGCTTTTGAAAAAAAGTAAAAATTAATTTGATAAAATTGAACCCGGCAAAGTGGCTAGTAGGTGTGATTGCCTTACACACCACTGCTGAAATCCAAGCCCTGTTGCCATTAAATAAATACAACCTACGTACACAAACTGCTTCAGGAAACCTGTTTGAAAGCAGTCATTATTGAGTGTAGTTGCAAAGAAATGACACTTTGAATTAAAGGATTATTGTGTGTTGCTCTGCCTCCTTTTAGCATATATGTTTTGAAAAACATCCCAATGAAATCAAATTTTACAACTATTAACCAGTTTGTTTGTGTGTTTAGAGAGGAACAGGAAAAGCTGAACGTGTGGGTGGCCATGTTGAATCTGGAGAACATGTACGGGACACCAGACAGTTTGCAGAAGATCTTTGAACGGGCCATCCAATACTGTGAACCTCTTCCTGTGTACCAGCAGCTTGCCGACGTTTATGCCAAGTCGGACAAGATCAAAGTGAGCATTATGTCTGGTGACGTGATCTGATTGGTGGTTAGTTGGGACGCACTGATGTGATATGGGTGGGGGTTGGGTGGTATGACCAAAATTTTATATCACAGCAACTTACACTCCTATTTAAAAGTAAGGGGTTTTTACAAATAATTTTTTATTGCAAGGGTGCATTAAATTGATCAAAAGTGACAGTGAAGATGTTTATAATCTTACAAAGGATTTCTACTTAAAATAAATACTATTTCTGAAAATAGATAAAGAAAGAAAATGTCCACAGAAATATTAAGCACAACTGTTTTCAACATTGATAATAAAAAGAAGGGAAACAGGATCATGTGACTGAAGACTGGAGTAATGTTGCTGAAATTTCAGCTTTGCTTCATAGGAATAAATTACTTTTAAAGGGATAGTTCACTTTGAAATTAATTTTTGGTATGTTTTAGCTTACCTCAAGGGCATCCAAGATGTAGGTGTCTTTGTTTCCGCCGTTCGTGTCTGTCAGCCATATAATGGAGGTCTATGGTCACCACCTCAAAGAGCATGCACAGAGAAGTCCAAATTAAACGATATAAATACTGTTCGTTTTCTCACACAAACCGCTCGTTTCGTGTCTTAGGCCATCAGTGTGTACTTGCATTACGAGTCATTAAATCATGTTTAATTTGGACTTCTCTGTGCATGCTCTTTGAGGTGGTGACCATAGACCTCCATTATATGACTGACAGACAACAACGGTTTGACCTAAAAATATCAAAATTGAAACTACTGCAGAAACAAAGACTTTGGAAATCAAAAACAAGTCTTTATATTGGCCACATTAGTTCTCAATATCAGTAATAAAAAAAGGGATTTTTTTCCTAAAATTTGGTTATACTAATATGGCCACCAATATATTGTGTATCCCAAGTTGTTTTGTTGGTCAGTTAGTTATGTCAAAGTTTAAACTCTGCATAACAGTATTAAACTTTTTGTATGCTCTGTGTGTAGGAGGCTGAGAGTCTTTATAAAAACATGGTGAAACGCTTCAGACAGGAGAAATCTGTATATCTGAGTTACGGCACCTTCCTGCTACGCCAGCGTCAGAGCGACGCTGCAAATGCCCTCCTTCAGAAGGCGCTGCAGAGCCTGTCCAATAAAGATCGTGAGTGCAAGCTACATATCATGTCTGTGGGAATCTGAAAAAGCTATTTAAATGATATCCAGACCCATCCACGTTGCATGTTAGCAGCTCATGCATGGTTTCCTTTCCAGACGTGGACCTGATTGCCAAATTTGCCCGGTTGGAGTTTCAGTACGGGAATACTGAGAAAGGCAAATCCATGTTTGACAAGGTCCTGAGTACCTACCCCAAACGCACAGACCTGTGGTCCGTCTTCATAGATCTGATGGTAAAGCACGGCTCTCAGAGGGAAGTGAGGTAAGCAGACCCGTAAGCTAGGAATTGTACTTCATGTAGTCCATATTAATTTTTAAACCCTTTTAATCATCCAATTCAACCAATTACATTTTTGGTTTTGCTTTAAATTAGTTTAAAACAATTACTTATTTGGTAGTTACAAATAAGCCCTCAAATTGTCCGTCAATATTGTAAAAAAAAAAAAATAATTAAAAATTTAAACTGATAGTCAAGTTAAAAGTTAAAAAGTGTATTAATTTTGATTTTGTTTTAATTATTGTTTTTTTATTAACTTTTTATTTTACATTTTGAAACTATTGCATTTATTTTTATTTATTTTATGTACCTTATTTATTGTATTTACTTTTTATTGTACATTTTATTAATGTATTTTTTTAGGGCTGTCATGATTAATCGCGATTAATCACATTCAAAATAAAAGTTTGTGTTTTATTATAGAATATTATATATATAAATTATTGATATTTAAAATATTATATATAAATCTATATACAGTATATAGATGAAAATATTTTTTAAAATATATACAAGCATTTGTGTGTATTTATTTTTATATATATATAATAATTATACACAGTGCACCCACATATATTATTTAAACACAAACTTTTATTTTTGATGCGATTAATCATTTGACAGCCCTAGTTCTTTTATATAGATTTTTGACATTTTATATTAAATGTAGGACTGCATTGATATGAACATTTTGGCCGATACCCATAACCGATAATTCTTTGTTTATTTGAAAGTCGATAGACGATATATTGGCCGATAAATCTACATCCAAATTTTTATATAATATTTTCTGATTACAAAAACAAAAGTCTCGCCATTAAATCCATGTCCCAAGCACACAATTATAATGATCTTATCAATATAATTTTCTGTAGCCTATATGACAGACTTGCTTTGCACATTCCAGTTAACTGTATTTTCCTTTTTGAAGTGATCCCAATCATATTTCAAGCAAAATTTATATTTCAAAACCATCATGGCGAACAAAGACTGCACATCTGAAGTGTCTCAGCTGAAGGATATAATCCATTATTTATCGGCTTTAATACATCATCCCGATGTTTCTTATCGGGCCGATAACGATAACTTAAAAAATTAAAATATATCGGTTTATACTGATATGACTGATATATCATGCATCCCTAATTATATGTAGAGTTTAATAGAATCTTGTAAATTTGGTTCTCAATTCTTGTTCTTGGCACAACACTTATTTGAAAATATCTCCTGTTCCCTTTAGGGAGCTTTTTGACCGTGTGATTCACCTGAGCGTGTCGGTGAAGAAGATCAAGTTCTTCTTCAAGCGGTACCTAGAGTACGAGAAGGCAAACGGCACACCTGAGACCATCCAGGCTGTCAAACAGAAAGCGGTGGAATACGTAGAGTCGAAAGGAGCCGAAGCCGCCAGCTAGAACCATCTATTTTACATCAGGATTAAGATGAAACAAATATCTGTGGACAAAGAAATTTTTCTCCCACCCATTTTTTGCCTTGTACGCCTGTTAACATATTTCTGAAGGTGCATTTGTGTGCATTTCCTGACATATGAATGTCTATAAATAGCCAGTTTTTCCCTCTTTGACTAAATGATCATGGATTTTTTTTTTATATATATATAAAAAAGAAAAATAGTGTTGTAATAGAGGAATTCAGGTTTTGCAATAAATTCTGCAATCTAAAGCTCCAGAAATCTTTATCCACCATTTGCTTTTAAAGGAAGGTTAACCACAAAAACGTTTTATTCAAAAACAAACAATACAAAATGACAAGAAAAAGGAACAATTCAAGCAGTGAACACGATAAATGGAGAGAAGAACTGCTGGTTACTGATTATACATTGAATATTTCTGTAAGGACTACTTAGGCTCTTTTTGAAGACCTGTAGTACCAGTCAAACAGACAGTGCACTACACCTACACCCTACTGTCACATATATACGCCCCTTCATCGGCAGTTAAAGTCTAATTGTTTTCTTTTGTTTCCTAGTTAGATCCCCTGAGGCAAACTGAGACATTTACCTCTCATTTTGATGCCTGCTACCCAGCATGCACGGTGTGTCTCTCGCTTTAGAACCTCGGCACATTACTAATTTAAAGAATATTGTGGCACGATATATAGGAGATTATTCTTATGTTTGGCTACTGAATCACTAGTGGAGGCTGAACGTTGTCGTCCTGGTTTCTCACGATCTCCAGGTCCGCTGTGGCGGTGCATATAGATGGCTTTGTAGAGCCATGGCGAGTCACGTGATTTGTTCCAACGAACTGGAGGGTGTTAATCTGGCCGTGGGCCGCACAGTTTCTGGGGTCACACCTCCTCTGGGTCTTGCAGCACCTCGGCTCCTCGTGGGGCATCGGCGTTCTGGACACGCATGATGGGTTTATTGCACATCGGGCAGACGCTGCGGATCTCTAACCATTTCAGCAGGCACCTGCAAGTTACAATGAAAGATTTCTTGAAAAATTCGGTTGCAACTGCCAAACTTTGGTTTCCTTTGCAGTTGCTTGTAGTTTGTTTAGGTGTCAAAAGTGTGAGCAATAGTAAGATTGATACTTTAAAGGGATAATGGAGCCCACCTCAAAGAGCATCCACAGAGAAGTCCAAATTAAACATGAGTTAATGACTCGTAAATGTAAGTACACATTGATGGCCTAAGACACGAAGTGGTTTGTGTGAGAAAACGAACAGTATTTATATAGTTTTCACCTCTTGTTAACAGACGTCGAACTGCTCTGAATCAGATGTCCAACTGAACCGTCTCCAACGTGACCCCGGAAGTGATCGCGTGCGTATGTACCTCACGCATAGTTTACACGGAGATTTTACCTTTTTTATATACGGGAAGATATATCTAAATAGCTATGTTTAGTGAAAAGTAAAACTTCCGAAATCTCCGTGTAAACAATGCGTGATGTACATACGCACGCGATCACTTCCGGCGTCACGTTGGAGACGGTTTAGTTAGACATCTGATTGTTTACACGGAGATTTTACCCTTTTTTATATACGGGAAGATATATCTAAATATGTTTAGTGAAAGGTAAAACTTCCGAAATCTCCGTGTAAACAATGCGTGATGTACATACGCACGCGATCACTTCCGGCGTCACGTTGGAGACGGTTCAGTTGGACATCTGATGCAAGAGGTAAACTCTATATAAATACTGTTCGTTTTCTCACACAAATCGCTGGTTTCGTGTCTTAGGCCATCAATGTGTACTTACATTTACAAGTCATTAAATCATGTTTAATTTTGACTTCTCTGTGCATGTTCTTTGAGGTGGTCTAGACCTCCATTATGACTGACAGACAACACCGGTTTGAACTAAAAATGGCAAAATTGAAAATACTGTGGACACAAAGACATCTACATCTTGGATGCCCTTGAGGTAAGCTAAACATATCAAAAATTAATTTCAAAGTGAACTATCCCTTCACTAAGGCAGTTCTGAAGGCGAAAGGGGTCAAACTATTAGTAAGGTGTTCCTAATAAACCTTTAGGTGAGTGTATATTTTATGTAGGAGAGTCTGAATGGACTTAAAAGCCTAAAATAGACTATTTTATTTTATACATGCCACCATTCAAAAGTTTGGGTTGGTAATTTTTAAAAAATGTTTTTCAAATTAGCCTTTTATGGTTTTATTTAATCAGCAAATATAGTACAAACAGTATATTGTGAAATATTATCATGTATCTGTTTTATATTTTTTTTAAATGTAATGCAAATGCTGAATTTTCAGTCTTCAGTGTCACACAATCCCTTCAGAAATCATTCTAATATGATGATTTGCTGCTCAAGAAACTTATCAATGTTGAAATCAGTTTCATGTTTCTGTGCATCTCAGGGATCATCAATATTTTGTCCATTTTCCCATAAAAAAGACTTGTTTATTAGGAGTGCTCTAACATTGTGGCTTCAAATTGATCAATTGAAGCCAAAAAACTTAAAAAAGAAGAAAAAAAGATGTGTAAAGCTGTGACTTGATGAGATTTCAGTGGAAATCTGCCGGCTCTATATATTCTAAGCAGTTCTTGGCACAAGTAAATGCGGCATCTTCAGTTAAGTAAACATTTGTTCCAGGGAAACTCACTTCTTATGGAAGGTGTGTGAGCACGGGCACACACCCAGCTCGTCTCTGGTCTTGAATTCCTCTAGACACACGGCACAGGGCTGCTGTGACACAAAACAACAAACTATTTTAGTGTCCTTTTCTTTTATTAATAAAAGCATAATTCATACACTTTGGCTGTTTAGCAATATGCTGCATGAATGCTGGCTATAGCCTTTCCTACATTTTATCTTTGTTTTGGTTTCAATCACATTTTCCTCCTGCATGTGATTTCTGCAATTGGGCTTGAGTTGAATTCTACTGAAAATAACATCAGTGCTCCCATGATGCAGTTCACCAGGTGGTTGAGATGACACGAAAATCCCACAGTCTATTTGCACAACCAAGAATTTCCCCTTGAGGTTTTTACGTAACAAATGAACAAATCATAACCTTATTTAAGAAGAATTTTTAATGCACTGCGTGGAAATTTGAAATGCAGAACTTTTTTTGCTTCTGACACTTGTGCTATAAATGGTTATTCTCAAGAATCGGTGACACTACTGATTTAATCAACAGGATACTGAACTTAGTCTCATACTTTATGAATACTACACATAATAACTATAAATTGTCCATAATTACATTGAACTAACCCCAAAAAACCACACCTTATCCTAACCCTAAATACATGTGGTTAATTATTATATATTTAACCCAGTTAATTGTGTATAATTATTAGCCTATGTGATTCAAATCCATTACATTTTAGGCTACTACTAAACTAATTTGGTGTAAAAAGTAGTTTTTAAAACCCTATATGCAGAATTTATGATGACGTTTGACGTTTTCCCTTTAAAAATAATGGTTTGATCTTTTCTGACGTCATAAATATATTAGAGCACAAGTTTAAACAGTCTTAAAATGCAAATGTTATTTTACAGAGAGCTTATGAAACTTACTCCGAGCAGGCTCAGCTTTTTTCCTGCGCCTTTCAACACCACCTTTAAGAAAAAAAAGGAAAGAATGACACTGTTGTTTAATCCTAAATTGTATTTCTTTGGTTTTATGATTAAATCACTCGAAGTTGAAGTGCGAACGGCGTAGTGCGCAATTTATGCGCCACAATTTCGAAAACGGCTTTGAGAACGTGCTCCTCGTCAGTCATTGGTCGAAGAAACATAGCCACGCACATAGCTATCGCCATTGGTCGAGTCTGCATCAGGGTTACACAAATCTGGGATTGCAGATCGCTGTGAAGAATTTCCATAACAATCGACAATACGAGACAAGTAGTTTTCGAGAAAATTAGCATACATGGCGAACCTACAGTTGTATCTACATTGGGATGAAATAAAGTATTTTAAAGGTGCTATATGTATTTTTTTAGCGTCCTCTTTCGGTGATGTTTCAGATGTTCTCGGGTTCGGGAGCGCGCATGCACGTCACATCCGATGGATTTCGCAGATAATCCGACCTGGAGACTTCACATAGAAATGGGAATACTGGCTTTCAGAAGTAATAGCAAAACCCGGCAAGTGGATCATTTTGTATAATAATGTGTGATTACAACCCTTTCACACACATGCAATAAAAAAGGATTCATTTTAGAAGAAAAGTTACCTATAGCACCTTTAAAAAGCAAAAAGTGACATATTTCTTCTCTACCAGGAAAACCCAATGTAACAGACTAATTTAAGTAACTGAGAGTTGAGAAGTGTTGTGTGTTTTATATATGGATTTCCTGTTTTTCAATTGCAGTTCAGTCTGTCAGTGTTTCTCAGTACACGTGAGCACTTTCTATGAATACAGTACACTTTGTCGTCTTATTCCTTCTTTTTTTAAGTAAATCACATGTTTTTATTGTGAGACCCATTACATATTTTAGATAAAGTATTATCTGAAATAACTTCAGAGGACCTTGACATAAATTTTATAAAAGTAAGCACCTTTTTTCACCATTTAAAAAAAAAAAAGATGACTTTTCAGGTGCTTTTATGAAAAGAGCACATGTGTGTCTAGAGTTGTGTCATGCTTGCATGCAAACTATTTATATAAGTATATCATGAAGGTCATCTGTTAGATTGGATTTCAATCAAGACTATATTTATATCTAACTGTATTGTTTTAGGCCCACCTCATTGTAGCTGTACTGCTCCCTTGTGCCTTGCTGTTTCAACCTGTAAACAAAAAGAGAAAAAAAATGAAACAACACTTCTACACTTCCTGAGTGCAACTGCAAAAGCTGCTGCTGTGGGTGAGTGGTGCAAAAGAGAGATGTTGCGATTGTGTACATTTTCCTGTAGCATTTCCTGTCAAACTCTTAAATGCATAAAAAATACTTCTACATAATATACTAATTTATACTGTCACCTTAAATTCGGACAAAGTCTTGGATCCAAAATGTAATTGAAACTAAAATGTATTATTTGTGTATTTATTAAATATATGTGTGTGATTAGCTGACAGAGAACGTTCTCAAAACGTTGCGAGAAAGTTTTTTAACGTCAAATGTTGTTTCAAAGTTATCGGGTCTTTTTTCATGAAAAAAAATTAAAATTCTGGAACGTTTATGTTTTCTTATTCAGAGAACATTCAAATGTAACTTTTCCATAATGTTCCCATGACGTCCAAATAAAACAGTATAGAAAAAAGAACTTTACATGAATGATGTTTTTGTGATGTTTTGTGTTTATTCTAGGGCTGTCAAACGATTAATCGCGATTAATCGCATCCAAAATAAAAGTTTGTGTTTACATATTATATTATATATCATATTTAAGAAATATGTGCATGTATATACTATATATATATATATATATAAAATTGATATTATATATAAATATTTATATATAAAAAAATTCTTATATACACATGCATGTGTGTGTATTTATATATAGAAAATAATTATACACTGTACACACACATATTATGTAATCACAAACTTTTATTTTGGATGCGATTAATCGCGATGAATCGTTTGACAACCCCAAGTTAATTCATAACTTAGTCAGAACTTTTTCAGAATGTCTTACAGTGTCTTTCTACATGTCTTTACAGGAGCGGAACGCAACAAGGGACGCATCTGATTTGTGGTACAGAAGTTTGCAGGTGTGGTGAATGTGTTTGGGCTCTTGCCTGAACAGATAGCAGCAGAAGATTACACTGAGCATGAAGATGAACATGCCTATGCCCAGTACGATGACGTACACGTTGAGCGGCAGACGGTAGATGTCTTCCTCTGACATATCACAGTCTGAATGCTGCAGCCCTAAACCACAGAGGCAGCCTACACACAAACACACACTCAAATCAGCAGTTTACATCACATGCAAGCAGGAAAAATACAGTCCTTCAGTACGCCCACTTTCAAGGGAATATTTGGAAATTAGCTATGCATGCACAACAAACAAATATGAACAACTGTGGGATTGACTCCAACAAACCACCATCTGGCCTTTCGTGAAGCCATAATATGGAACGGGAAACTATGAATGGTATACTCTTATAATGTGTCGTAAGTATGGCTGTGAAACGATTAATCACATCCAAAATAAAAGTTTGTGTTTAATTATTAATAGTTTGTATAATTAGTTTGTATATACTGTATAAATACACACATATGCATGTATATATTTTAGAAAAATATGTTATTAATATATCAAATATTTATATTTATGTATAATATTAATTTTGTATAAATATACATAAAGTATATACATGCAAATATTTCTTAAATATATACATGCATGTGTGTGTATTTATATATACAAAATAATTATACAAACTACACACACATATATTAGGTAAACACAAACTTTTATTTTGGATGCGATTAATCGTGATTAATCGCTTCACATCCCTAGTTATTAGAGCATACCATTCATAGTTTCCTGTTTTCTACCAATGTAAATTGTATTCATTCATATTCCCCAGTCAGTAAATGCATTTTAAGAGTTAAAGATTAACGCAGAGTCTGCAAGAATCCCCCTTAGTCTGAGTCTGTGGAACGATCCATCTAAGGTGATTATGTGGAGGGGCTTCCACTGAGATTATTGTAAGCTTGTGTCATTCATTCTGATGGGGAAGGTACTATGAGATTTAATGTGTGCCACATGGCAACAGATCTCAAGTATTATCATTATTATTATGCTTTGTCATATCCAGTGGCAAAATATTTCATTTTTTACAGTAACACAACTGAAGACATTTTTGTTGAATTCTTATTTTTATTATCATTCGTATGAATGATTATGACATTTTTATTGTATATGTGAAACTCAAAGAATGATACATTTTTGTAGATGCACAAAATATTTTTATTATGGTCCATAATCTTGTTAAAGAGGTTTGAATTCTCAGCTGCTTCCTGTACACATATATATTAAGCTGCACAACTGTGATTTCAACTAGGGCTGTCAAACGATTAATCTCGATTAATCGCATCCAAAATAAAAGTTTGTGTTTACATAATATTTGTGGGTGCACTGTGTATAATTATTTTGTATATATATATATACACACATACATGCATGTATATTTAAGAAAAATAGTATTTATTATTAATAATATTATTTAGATATAAATTATTTATATTTATAAATAATATAAATTAGATATAATTCTATAAACAGTATATGAAAATATTTCTTAAATATATACAAGCATGTGTGTGTATTTAAATAAAATAATTATACATAGTGCACCAAAATATATTATGTAAACACAAACTTTTATTTTGGATGTGATTAATCGCGATTAATCGTTTAGTTTTACTATCAATTTTTGAAGGATCACGTGACACTAAAGACTGGAGTAATGATGTTGAAAATTCAGCTTTAATCACAGGAATAAATGACATTCTAAAATATATTCAAATAGAAAACAGTTTAAATGTAATAATATTTCTCACTTTTAATATTTTACTGAATATTTGAACAAATAGCAACCTTGGTGAGCATAAGAGACTTCCTTCAATAATTCAAATAAACAAATCACACTGACCCCAAACTTTTGAACATATGTTTAGGGTCATATATATATATATATATATATATATATATATATATATATATATATATATGAGAGAGACCAAAATATTATTAATAGATAAAAAATAAAAATGACTTGATTTATTTGGTTTGGGCAGTCGAGTCGACGCGTTTACATGACATACGTAATCAGAATCAGAATGCATTTCGAGTTTACTTAATGGGCATTGCTGTCATTGAAACGTTTGACTTGTTATAGGTCGATCCATCTTTTCATCTAAAAATAAATCTCTAGACATATCAGTTTTCAGAAGAGCAAAAGGCTTGACAGCAAGCGGGTTGTTAAATGCTGTATGCATAGCACGAATACTTCCACAATCGTTGACAAGCTACCCTTGACCTTTCTGAATAGTTCCCTCACTTCTTCAAACTGGTTTCTACATCCTCATCAGCAATGACACTTCAGAGAGCTGTGGTAGGAAAACAAACTCGAGTTCAGCTTGGACTTTTCGCAAAGGCCACTCACTCACCGTTACACCATTGGAATGGTTGCATGTAATCTGACTCCGAGCAGAGCCGCTGCAAACTCACTGCTTGTCTGGGAACAGGCAATGCGGGGGCTGGAGGACGCAGCCGAAAACCAGATTTCAGCTGGACTTGTTCCCGACGATTTGCGTTGTCTGAGAACCAGCTCTTAAAATGATAGGGTGTGTGCGGTCTTGATTATAGTCGAATTATTCCTCCATTCATCTCACTTATATGATGTCAGCATCGAAGGACAAAAGATTTCAATCACTCTTTGCCTCTGCTGATGTTGTGAATATGCACAAGGTGCTTTGTCACAGAGACAAAGGGAGCTTAATGTGCCCTTGATATTCTTCTAGTCTGAGAACGAGTCCATACGTGGCCGAATGACACTTCGGATGTGATCTTCTTTGTGTTGTCGCACGCAAAAGTTAACAAATAAATCCTCCGGTTTAGCGAGCACTGAACACATCCATACGCGCAGAAGTGCGAACACCAACAACATACGATCTGATTCAAGACTCCATCTACAGTCTTTGTCTTCCCTCAAACCCTCTTGCTAAAGACTTTGGCATGCCTTTGGGTCTCTTGTCGATCCCTCTAGCAATTCTTCCTTGACCGTCGCCGCCTTGTTGTTTTGTTTGTTTACGTATAGCTAACGTTATTCCTTTATCGAAGAGCAGGCCCTTTAGGAGAATGAAGAGAGCAGTATTTTCAAGCGTTTATGTTTGTGTGGGGGAGTATTTTTTCTCTCCACCTAAAACCATCTGCTCTCTCAATCCTTCCATCAAAAAAGTAGACCGAAAAAAACGATCGTCCCTCGGCTCATTTAACAAATATCCCAGCCAAAACCCAAGCATCTGGGGGTTAAAGAAGTGTGCTAGTGAGGTTATCCAGGAAGGCTCCTGCGTCTTTCCTGGCCGCACACATTCAGTTTGTAAACAGATCTGTGCTTGCTCATGTGATCCTGGTTTGCCTCGCAACTCTGTCCTCCAATCCCTCCCTCCCTTCCTGAGCGATTCCCCTCCTCCAATCCCTCACGCTCTCACTGCGCGACTGCAGTCAGTCACAGGATGGCCTCATCTTCTTCTAGAAGTGAGGGCTGCAACATTTTAGAGGAAGTAAGGCCACATGCACGCGCTGTGCTGCATAAAACAAGCCGAAGGTGACAGACAAAACAAGTAAGAGTGAAAAAAAATGGGGCAGACTGCACGAGCAAGCGCAATGACATGCATATTAAATCGGATGCAGATCATGTTGCTGCCTGACCTACTAAAGCACTGGCATGATGGAAGCTTGTTATGTTCAAGCACAGAATATAACTGTAGCTTTTAATCAGAGAAAGGGAGGAAAAATAAACAACAGACTCGAGACCAACCCCCCAACTCTATTCTGCTCTAGAGACAACAGCTGCTGCTTGCCTAACAACCATGTGCTCTCGGTGTCTCTGTCTGTTTGTCGCACTCAGCAATCTTAATGACTTATCTGTGTGGTGCACAGTTCAGTTTCATGCTAACTAGATGATTTGCTGGCTAAAGGCTGGATGTACTACACCACTTTTAAAATGCATCATGCTCTTGCCGACTTTGAAAATAGTTTGATGTCATCCGAATGGATGGAATCACAATTTGAAATCTTCGACCTTCATACACTACACGATTTTTTTTTGTCTGTGTGAAATCAAATCTGTCAACTCAAATCTATGGAAGCTTGTTTCCGCCAATGAATAAAATAAAAAAAAGCGACTTTTTATCTCACAGTTGCGAGATATGAAGTCAGAATTGTAAGAAATAAAGTTGCAATTGCGAGATGTAGTCGCAATTCTGAGAAAAAAATGTTTGCAATTGCGAGATATAAAGTCGCAATTCTGAGAAATAAAGTCGCAATTGTGAGAAAAAAAGACAGAATTGCGACTTATCTCGCAATTCTGACTTTTTTACTCATAATTGCGAGTTTACATCTCGCAATTCTGACTTTATAACACATAATTGCGAGTTTATATCTCAAAATTCTGACACCAACTCAAAATTCTTTTCTCAGAATTGTGTCATATTAAACTCGCAATTGCGAGTTATCAGGCCAATTCTAAGGAGAAAAAAAGACAACTTCTTTTCCCCTTAGAATAGTTATCTCACAATTCTGACTTTAAAACACGCAATTTATACTTTATATCATGCATTTCTGATTGTATAACACGCAATTGTGACGTTATATCTCGCAATTCTGACTTCATATCTTGCAATTCTGAATTAATAACAAGCAATTGCGACTTTACATTGTGCATTTCTGACTTTATAACACGCAATTGCGACTATCACACAATTCATGCAATTCTGACTTTATATCTCGCAATTCTGACTTTATAACATGCAATGGTGACTTTATATCACACAATTCTGACTTTATATCTCGCAATTCTGAGAACAAAGCCCGAATTGTGAGATAAAAAGTCGCAATTACCTTTTTTATTTTTCATTCTGTGGTGGAAACATGGAAGCTTATATCTCACAATTCTGAGAAAAGATGTCAGAATATCGAGATATAAACTCGTAATTATGTGTTATAAAGTCAGAATTGCGAGATGTAAACTCGCAATTGCGAGAAAAAAGTCAGACTTGTGAAATAAAAAGTCGCAATTCTGTCTTTTTCCTCACAATTGCGACTATTTCTCCGAATTGCGACTTTATATCTTGCAATTGCGACTTTATTTCTCGCAATTGCGACTTTATTTTCTCAGAATTGCGACTTTATATCTCGCGATTGCAACTTTATTTCTCAGAATTGTGACTTTATATCTCGCAATTGCGACTTCATTTCTCAGAATTGTGACTTTATATCTCGCGATTGCAACTTTATTTCTCAGAATTGTGACTTTATATCTCGCAATTGCGACTTTATTTCTCAGAATTGCGACTTTATATCTCGCGATTGCAACTTTATTTCTCAGAATTGTGACTTCATATCTCGCAATTGCAACTTTATTTCTCGCAATTGTTAGATAAAAAGTCGCAATTATTATTATTTTTTTTTCAGTGGCGGAAACAAGCTTCCATACTTACTGACGTTTCCTTCTGTGTTGTTATTGTTAACTGAAACTATGTTCGTGTGTATTATTTATATATAAAATAATTATACACAGTGCACCCACATATATTATGTAAACACAAACTTTTATTTTGGATGCAATTAATCGTGTCTAAAAGCATACTAAACACCACATAGACATAAACCACATTAAAAACTAGATTTTCATCACAGGGGGACTTTAAGACAACATTTTAAGCATTTATATTATGATTTTCTAGTCCTATTTAAGGATTTCTTGTCCGTGTCAAAGATATATCTCAGACTCAGTGCTTACTATAATGCAATGCACATGCTTTCTTTTGATCACTGCATGAAGAAGGAATGCCACCATTCATGAATCCATTTTGGCTTGTGCTATTGCTGTGTCTTTTTGTAAAAACATTTTGGTCCACACTATAGCAAGCATTATCACATCCCCTGTCCGATTCGCTTTGGCCAACATCAAGGCCATCATTCACATAACCACTTTTAAAGCCTTTTTGCCCCGCACTTCTGTCAGTGTTATCACAGTCATGTCCATTTTGATTATTGTTAGCATTCATGCTACAATCTCCATTTTGTCCAGTACGAGTATCTCCACACTTTCTTAGACTCAGTGCAGGTTTGCACTTGTGCCAGTCCCACAGCAGCTTGTTCATGGTGTCCTGGCGTCGAATCCCCATCAGTTTGTCGTCTTCAGTTTCGGGTTTATCGTCGTCATCATCACTATCATCTCCACGTGAATGATCATGGAAGCTCTGAAACTCGCCGCTAATATCCTCAAAGTACTGCTTGATGCGAACCTTGGCGAAACCTTTGCCATGTTCTGTGCAAGTCTCGTCAAACATCTTGCGCTCTGTGTCTACGTAGTGAGACCAGTATTTGGTTTTGAGGAAGGCGGCCTGGTTGAAGCAGGGCCGGATGGCTCTGATCAAAAACGCAATGATTGTGATGATCAACAAGAACAACCATCCAAAAGCCTGGAACATTTAGAATATAGACAAACAAAAGTGAATTAGTAACATTGGTATTTCCATCCTAACTAATGACATTTTGGCCTGGTTTCATTTTGGCCTGGATTTTAAACTGGTATGTTTTTTTGTATTTTTTACAGTTGGTACATTGAATTAATATCAAGCATACAGTGGAAAAATCGTCAATAAGCACATCAACATATAGTACCTGTGAAATACAGCGTATGTATATGACCGCGGCTTCTCTCGATAGAATGTGTTGGCCATCATATATATGCTTGCATGGAATTTTGGCCAGCGTTCGTACAAGTTCCTCATGAGACAGTCCATATCGACTTACATTTTTGCCAAACTCGGAAATCTGCAGGTCCATACTGTAGGCACACAGAAAGCTTTTACCATCCATTAGAGTCACTGAGATCCAAACAGCTGGAGCGATGAGTGATCGCTGGGATATGGACACACACATGTAGCGCAGGATCGTAGAGTCCTTCCTCCGCTGTCCTATCGGCCGCTTCAACTCCTCCGTCAGCATTGAGACATTGTTGTTCAGTACAAAACCCAAAAGGAAGAACCATATAGGTGGAATAACCAGCATACTCATCCCATAGGAGTAGTTATATTCAGGGATACAGGGGCAGTTGAACTCAAAAGACGTGTAGAGCTGAGCACTAGCCAGGGCCATGACGCCGCACATGCCGTTCATAAAAGACTCTTGGTTGGTCTGGAGGATTTGGGCCATCATACGGAACTTATCCATATTGATAAGTTGGTAGGTCTATCCTGATATGAACCTGAGAGAAAAAGATATTTTCATGATTTGTAATCAGAACGACGTAAATAATTGATGTAGTTCAGATAACATAATATACATAAAAAATTTTCCAGTTCAATGAACTTAAAATTTTAAGGCAATCAGGTTACTTCATTTTTTAAGTTAAACCAACAACATTTTTTACATGCAGAATGTTTTTCATAAATGCTATTTTTATAGAAAATTGGACCCTTAAAGTCATCATAATTTTTTTAATTGGGAAAAAATATCCATTGGGAATTAATAGAATATAAAGGATGACTACTAAAAACAATTTTCTTCCAAACACATTTAAAATGCATGTATTTGAATTGCATGTTAAATTTGCATCTTTTTGGATTACACATACACAGACGAATGCACTTTACGTGATACGTCATTCATACAGTAAATGAAGCGGACAAGATTTCAGCACTTTCATATTATAGCATAGTTTATTACTAGTAAGTAACATTTTGCATCTATTTGATTAATTGTCAAAATACATGTATTCAAATAGCTTAGAATCAACATAAATCTGCTTTGTGTTTACAATGTATTCGGAACATGGTTAAAATATGGCTAGCTGTAGAACAAGCATATTCAATTAATTAAGAGATTGTAAGATATTGGATTTATTGATAATATACAGACTACAGTAACCTATAACCTGATTATTGTGTATTTAAAAACTATGCAATCCAATTGGATGGACTTTTTTTGCAATTCAAATACAAAAATCTTAAATTTAGGCCTAAATATTTTTTTGTGTGTGTAATGTGCACTGATGAACTGTACTAAAACCAAGTAAATTGGGTTACAACACGCTAACTAAATGATTAAACAACCTTAAATATAACATTGTATATCAAAACATCAGTCAGAGCGAAATACGTATAGCTCAGTCTACTTACAGAATTCAGTCAAATATTAATCCATTTCTGTGAACTCAACTGAAAACAATTTTATCAGAGAAGAGGGTTAGTGTTATCAGTTTCAGCCCTCACTGTCTCTCTCTGCTACACGACACAGCACACACACACCTTCTTTCACGCGATGCAATCGATTCTCCGTTCATAAGGTGGTTGATCACAGTTGATCTTCCGTCTGTTTATATTTTTGTCCCTCCAAACATTGTGATTTCAGTTTCAATGCTCAAAAGTCTTTTCGTTATTTGAATTAGCCTACACAGACTGCATGTATTTACATACCTGGTAATACCATGGTAACAGGCAGTGTGGTTCAAGCACATGCAAAGGTATTGCCTCACCCTATTCAAATTGGGATTTTGGGTTCCAGTGCAGTTGCTGGAAAACTTTTGAAGCTTGATGAACACTGCTTTGTTATTTGTGAATTAAATCAACAATATTTGCTAAAAGTAAACTATTGTTAAATAAAATAATTATTTATGTATGTAGGCCTGAGCAGCACTAGTTATCAGCTCCATTGAAGGGCCTGACATTACAATGGCCATGCTCATTACCCATTACTAACACATCCCAGAAAGTGCTATTGATGAGATTCGGCTCAGTGATTGAATCTGTTCACCAAAATTATTATATTCTCTTATAATTATTATTAGGGGTTCATTTTTCCAAGGATCAGCATTCTCACCTAAAACTGATCATGCAGACCAAATTGTCGTAGAGACTTGAAACTTTGAGGGCTGTTAAAAAGTTTGTTTCTAGAAGAAAATTGCATCATAGTCACCTTTACAGGTCACCTATACCTAGCATAGTTGGCATGAAGGTCTTAAAACGCTTGAACCCCGTAACTCAGCTATATCTATATTATATCATTATGGTTGATTAATATGGTTAATCATAATTTATACCTGTACATGTTGGTGAGTTTTTTCAAAAGATTTGTTCAAAAACATCACTCATTTAAACCATGTTTTTAAAAGGACGATAGCTAACGGATCATAATTATTATAAATATCAATCTTACTCATGTCACATTAAAGACAATATCAAAGAGCTGACCAAGTCATTGCCCGACGGAGAGCCGTGGCACTTCCTATTAGCCCTATTGTGTATCATCTTGGTTGCAGTTCCATTAGAATTCCACTGGAGGTGATCGCGGGCGAGCGCAGAATGAATGGGAGTCAATGGGGCTGAACGGCTAAATGTGTCTCTTTCACCTGCTTGTCGTTAAATTAACATAGATTTTATTGTTGATTCCGCAAGTTCAATATAGATTATAGGCCAAAAGTCGATTGAATAAGTACTTATGTTATTAGCATTCTGCTATTGTGTGACATCATCACATTTTTGAACGGATTTCTAGAACAGATAAGTGAACTTAAAAATGCAATTTCAGCTGAGTGTATTATCTTAGCCCTCCCTTTTGAATGCAACTTTCAAATTACTTGACAAAAAATTACATCATGAGAAAAGTGGATTTCTGGGGGTGAAACCATTGACTCCCATTCATTCTGCACTCGACCGCGAGCGCCCCCGCATGGACAGAGACGTGTTACTGCGGCCGGCCAGTTCAGAAACCGGAAGTAACCAGCCAGTGCCAATTCTCTGCCAAGTTTTAAATTACAAACAGTTCGCAAATGCTTGATTACAGAAAAGTCCACCTCACCTATCAGTATAAAATGTCAATATATCTTGTCATTTGTTCTACCAATCACAATGGTGAAAAATTAAATTACACTCTATATTATAAAGATCTTACTTCACCTGCCGTTTTTATTTAAAGAAAATAAATCGCTTATAATAGATCTGTACTTTAACTGCCCTATTTATAAATAGCTTAAGCATTACACTGTGAGTGATTCATACTTTTTTAAACAGAGCAATCATACACACTTTCATGTATCTTTGCATATAGAGGTACGTCACCTCTCACCAGTGTATATATTTTAAAAATAGGAAGGGGTTGTACTCAGGAAGTGTGTTCTCAAACTCTGACAGTGTACATCCTGTGTGAGAAGCAAAAAACCCTGAACAGACCCTTGCAAAAACGTTTTCATACAATTTCTGTTTTCAGCTTTACACCGAGACTCTGTTTTCTGTGCTTAAAAGTGTGATATTGAGAGGTAAGTCATTTAATGATAGATGTGCATTAAGCTATAAGGACAATGTAAATAGTATTTGAGATTGACATACACAAGTGCTACCGGAACTACAGAGCAGATTATTTCAAAAGCATCCCGTTACTCTCACTTGTTAGTTTATTCTTTATTGTTATTATGATGTAGCTTATGGTTTTTCAAATATGTCAATAGAGAAAATGCAGCTTTGTGAAGAGGAAGTAACTTTTCTCATTCATAGGATGGAGGACACGTTTCTACGTGCGTTTTTTGTTGTCGTCAGTCTGCTGCTCTCAAAGGATCACAATGTCTTCCACGACCAAGATGACGGCATCTTGGTGAGCATGCAAGAACGTGAGCTTGTTCTTCTGGAGGAGGGAGCAAAGCTGGAACAAGGGGAGCATGCCGTTTCCCTTGAACTGCCAGATTCAAATCAGGAAGTGCCACAAAATCATCACAGGATGCCAAGAAGAGAGGGGGACACGTCAGATGTCCAACAAATTACGCCAAATGTCAAGACCACAGTGCTGCACGAGGAGCAAATGTCCCCAGTGGGAGAGCAAAACGACTTCCGCCAAAAGGCGTTTGCACCAGATGACCAGGAAATATTGGATATTGACAAAGACAAATGGACGTTACATATGCCAAAGGAAGGCCAAACACAAGAAAAAATCAATGTGGACCAGAATGTTTCTCAGGGGGATCCGACACAGCCGGAAAAGCCACAAAGCGACCAGATTGACACCCATCGTGATCAGGGTTTATTAATCAAACAAAAAACGCCAACGTCAAGCCAAAGGTTGCCAATGATAAATCAAGAGGTCATTGACACTAACTCGAAACAATCTAGTGATCAAGAGGACTACTTAAGCTGGTACATTTGGAAGGTACTCTCACTGATTTCAGTATTACGTTTTTTGAAAAAATTCCTGAAAAAGGGCTCCATCCTGCAAAGGAAGAAGCCACAATGCCTGAGCATCTTCTCCGTAGCGTCTAATATTGATAACGAGACTTTAACTAGCTTCCATCACCAGTGTGTCCTGGTTCCACCCAGTTACAGCTGGCAAACTTGTGAGTTTGTAGAGGGTTTTGTGAACGACCTTGTGAAAACTGTGAGAAATATGAGCAAGGCAGGTTCAGACATGGAGATTGCGGACATCGTTGGCGTTGGCAGCTTATACGAGCAATGGGCTTCAAAGAAGAGCATCATGTGCGACATACACATACCCATCATCCCACCAAAGCTGTATAGCTTCGAGTTTGAGCTTTTGAAAGAATGTAGAGGTTCTTCAACCAACCAGTACTGTTGTAAAGTCAAGATGGTCAAAGACAGTGCCAGTTCAATCTGCCCTTGCAACAATTCCAACTTGCATGACGATGATATGTTGTGCCTTTTACATCCAGATAACAAAAAAGGGGATCATGTGGCTGAAAGTTACCTTCTATGCCAAGAGAACAGCTCATATCTTGCAAAAACACACGTTGTGAAGTGGTTTAAAACAGCTATTAGGAAAGCATGGAAAGAGATCAGCCACAAATACGAGTTTGAGCTAATCATGCAGAATGGGGAAAACCCTGGAAGTCTCAAAGTTCGGTTCAGGTCAGGACGGGCCATCCTGTTCAACCTCACTCCCGTTGTCAGGTTTAAAGACTCAGAGGTACATCTGATCTCCTATCTTCCCTCTGCCACATTTTCTGATACCCATTGGCCCATGTGTTTCACACGCTACGAAAACGCCCTTCTTCAGCATGTGACCAAAACTCTTCCTGAAAATGCGTGCCATATTCATTGCCTACAGATCCTTTCCTTCCTACACAAACACCAAACTGCCCTAACTGGACCATGTGGGCTAACAAGCTACCACTTGAAGAATGCATTGCTGCATTTTCTTGTCAACAAACCCTCATCTTGGGACCCTGAGCAGTTGGTTTTGAGGCTAAATGATCTGCTGACTTTCCTCCAACAGAAAATCGAAGCCAAAGTGTTTGACCACGCTCTGGTTGGGAACCCTCTAATTCCAACTGAAATAGGATTTCCCAAAGAGTTTAGAGCAGGAAAGCCTATTAACTTGTTTCTACCTTTATCAAACAATGACTTGTTCTTAAAAGCCAACAGACACTTATTGGAGATGATTAGAAACATGCCAATGCTTATCCATGAATATGGATCAGTAAGAAATGTTCTGTAAACGTTTAAGGGGGCAACGTGTAAAAATGTATTAAAGAACTTACTTAATAAACGGTAATGTTTTTATTACCTTAGAATGAGACATTTATATCTCCATAACCGCGGGAATCTCCTTCTATGAAGGTCGACATTTTGTGACGTCACGTTTTTACCGCAGCCGAACACGAACAAACATCGCTATTGAGAATGAGGAGTTGACGTCATTGTACTGAGCCCCTCCCCTTTCCGCCACGTTGGTAGGATTCCCACGGCAAAACAGTATTGTTTACGTGTGTTTTTAGCTCGTTTGTAGAGGAGGTTCTCGCAATTCTTTTCTGTTTTATCATGCCTGGAAGTCACTGCTGCGTTAAAAACTACCCCAGTACCTCACACGATGTATATGGAAAACATAGGAACAATGGAATACAGTTTTTTAGGTTACCGAAATTTGCTTGGATTGCTTTAGCCTTTAGTATACGATTTTCACTGTTTGCTGTGCCTTAACGAACATATGCAAAAGTGTTGTTTGAGTGCCTTGTTCATTACTTATTGAAATAAATGTGTGAAACAACTTGATATGGCTTAACAATATTTATTTAGAACTGAAATATTTAGGCTACATATATATTTGGACAACATAAGTTTCATGGACAACATAAGTAATAATAATAAAATAATAATACTGTTATTAGTGCAAAAGAACAAATATATTGATGCTGCTTCTCCAAATAGGGCTGTTTTGCACTTTGTGTGAGTTTGTTCCTGTAAGGTCCCTTTTCTTTCGCCTTATCTTTTTGCATCTTCCTTTTTTCTCGTATTCTTAGATCCGTCTCTGTCCTGCCAAAATAATAAATGCGCGAAAATTTAAGAGCTCTGGAATGTTTAGTCGCGTCTATGGGTTCTAAAGGCGTTGCCGCTGGTAACCGATAGCGTCTCCTATACCATCATGGCCGACCGGCTCAGACCCCGCCCAAATCGGCACGTGACTCCTTGAAAGAAAGACACCTTGAAAGAGAAGCAGCAGAAACTAGAAACTAGCCATAAACACTGAGTAGTGACTAGAGTAAAATATGTAGTTGGATTGTTTCATGAAACTTAGTTCTCCCTCGCTGTGTTGTGGGTTTGTAAATGTGCTGTTACGTTCATGAGACAGCGGATTAGTACTCTTGTCATTGACTGTAAAACAGTATGTTACAGAATCGCCAACCTGTCGATCTTGGAAGAGATCTAAGTCGATTGTGAAGAGTTTTCAAAATCAGAGAAAAAAAGCCTATTGTGTGTAGTAAATGGTGTCTAAAAGATGCGGAGGGACCTTTGGGCTCGAGTATAAACAAGGCTTTGCGCTTCAACCACAGGAACAGCGCATATTAGCCAGCTAAACTTTTACTACCCTGATATAAAAAATATAGCTGCATAGTTTCATGTGTTTTTTTCTCCCTTGCTGTATTATGTGTTTGCTATGTGGGGAGAAATGTGCTGGTTACATTTGTGAGACAATCAGCTGATTACTATTATTATATATATATTAAAACCCTTGGTCCTCACCTGACTATGGCTTTGTAACTTTATCCATGATGTGGTTTATAATGGATTGTGGTACAGAAACAGTGACAATGTTACACACTCTTGGCTTACTCTGGCTATTCTCTGCCATCTCAGGCGACGAGATGTTTGTCCCATTTTAGCAACCATAGCTTCTTCGAAAGAGAGGGGTGAGCAGTGGGCTGAGCCTTTAGTGTAAACTCGCAAGCGAACCGCTAGATGTCGCTAAAAAAATAAATAAATAAAAAACTGCACCTTTAATTTGAGACTGCCAAAAAACCTTCATTATGCAATCAAACGTTTACTCTTATGGTGGAAAAAAAGGAACGGAAAGTATTCAAAGTAAATTCAGTTTATTACATTAGCTTGACAAGGCATAACCACATGGACTATAACAGTGTTATTCTGTGATCCAACTTGAAACATCTGCCATCTGTAAAAGTGATACTTCTATCAATCATCATCTGATTCCCAGTAATACTCAAAGTCACGGCCAGTTAAAGGGAACTCAGGCATGGCCTCCTCTGGTGATGAGGGCTCCTTTCCCATCTTCAATTCCCAGGACTCACTGGTGATCATTGACTTAACTGTTAGAGACAGAAAAACTTGTCAGCAAATCAAACTTAACTTTGGGAAACAAATCCATTCACACTGACCAGACATCCTTGGAGAAGCAGGACATGTAGATGCACAGCAGTTACAGACTGAGTCATTACCATACAGCTCAGTCCACCTAAACCACACAGATATCCACATTTCTCAGTCATGGATACATTTAAAGTCTTAAGGTGCATTAAGGGATTTCTGAGAAATGCTGATGAAAGTGGAACCGACAGAGCGCTAAAAACACGTGTAGCCAATCATCAGTAGTGGGCGTGTCCACCCATGAAGGGGAGGTGCCTGCGCTGTTTTGTGAATTTGGGGGCGGAGCTATCAAGATAGGGGTGTAATCCTTTTGGGTAGGGGTGTGTTTGTGACTTCAAACATAAACCATTTCTTAATCGCTTACTGCACCTTTAATGATCAAAATTGTTCAATAAAAGGATATGAGAGGGAGATCACATCATTGGAGCAGACATTTTTGGGAATAAATGTGTGGTTTTAAACTCACTTCTTGGTGAGTCTGTTATACATGCATGACTTGGCACTAGGTGTAGGAGTCTCAGGTCCAAAGTCCATCTCACAATGCAAAATCATGGTCTATCAAGAAAAGAGGGGATTTTAAAAGCGGCCAACAAGCCAATCATTTATTAAACATGAAACAAAAAAGATGTTATACCTCACTGGACTGTGGTTGGGAAACCATGTGTTTAAACAGAAAAGCTCCCACACAAAGTCTCACAGTCATCTTGTCATTGCTGGTGTAGAACTTGGTCCAAACGCTGTTTTTACTGTCCACCAGGCATCTATACGGAGATAAAGTTGGAACAAAATGGAAACTCCAATAATTTCTCTTTTCTACAACATGTATTCATAAAAATATTGAGTATCAATTACATCATTACACCAGCATGCAATTATTAAAAAACTGTTTTTGTCATTGAATAATTCGAGACATTTGTTCCAAAATGCCAATTCATCCAATAATGAAACAAGTGAAGTCTAAATTAATTGAAAAATAATAATAATTCAAATGAAACTTAATCATTTTGTCAGAACCTCTATCTAGTACATTTGGTTTTTATAGTTTATCCAGAAACATGAAGTGTCTAACAGTCAACCTTAAATGGCATTTCATTGGCATAGATGATGCAACAACGTACTTGCTTCGTTACATAAATAAGACGCATTTACCCATAATTCTCAACAACAGAATATTTATCCTTCGACCAAAGGCTTGGTGTGGATGTGACAAAACAACGGTTCAGGTACAGCCGTTTTCTTGGTCCCCTGCTGGGACTTTTAGCTTCAAAGCATACGGGTTTGCCAAGGTCAATGCTCTGGCCAACCGGAAGCAACTTCCAAGACTCTGAAGTCACAAACAAAAATCAGTTTTCACACATAATATTACCAGTTCTGTACAAACTTGCCTTAAATAAACAGAATGTGAGGCATAATGGCGATTAGTCACAATATATAGTTGACAGTCCCAAACAAACACACTGCGAGGCAGTTGGAACGAAGTAAACATGGCCAAATTTTGGGAGAATTAAAAAAAAATATATATATATATATATATATACACACACACACACACATCTCATTACAACATTGAATACACAGAAATATTTCAAAGAAGTGAACACAGATGACTTATGTACCATCCATTGCAGCAAGTGTGGGCCCTGTTCGAGTTTCCATGGACTTGTGCAAGACTCCACCTGCTACTTTGGGTAAGAATCCTACCTTATAAGAGCGATGGAACCTTAAATTTAGAAACAAAAGAAGCCACTTAAAATAAGCACAAGCAACACTTTAAAATGTACCAGAAATGTAAACAATTTACTTACTTTGTGTAGCTACACTGAATAGGCACCCTAAACTGCAGTTCCCTCACAATCAGCCCAGTGTCATCTGGCATATATTGGAGTGTGTTCGAGTAAGTCACACGATCTGCATTCTCCTGAAATAAAACGCATCACCAAATTTGACATGGTGTCAAACATTTGACTTTACCCTTTTCACATTACATGGGGAAACTTTTAACAGTGAATGAGATACTACATTGAATATAATTGTATTCCCATTTCCTTAAAGGGATAGTTCACCCAAAAATGAAAATTGAGTCATTAATTATTCACCCCCATGCTGTACCAACCCCGCAAGACCTTCATTCGTCTTCGGAACACAAATGAAGATATTTTTGATAAAATTTGAGAGGAGGATCACTGCTACATAGGCTGCCTAAGGGATCGAAAATTTACAGCCCAGAAAGCCAATGAAGAAAATGCTTAAAAATTCCATGCGACTAGTGGCTCAACTATGAGTTGTCAAGCGACGAGAATACTTTGTGCAAAAAAACAAACAAACAAAATAACGACTTTATTCGACAAGCTCCTGGTCTTCCTTGTAGGCCTGAGAGGAGAGTTCAAGAGATTTCCACAACGCATGCCTGAGAACTGAACTGAAGTAGTTGAAGAGCGCAGTTCTCGCGCATGCGTCATGGAAATCTTGTCCATTCACAGAAGCGCCATATTGATTTTTAAAGGGGATGAAAGCGAGGCTGTGAGGGATAGGCAGTAACTTACTGCGTTTTTTTTTTTTTTTTATTGTTCTGCTTACATAAAAAAAAGCCAAAATATCTTTCAGAGAAATTTCTCAAACAAAATGAGCTGTGGGAAATAAGTGATCTAGGAGCTAGACCGTTTTTATTTTTTATTTTTAAAGCGGATGCCAATGAAAACACAGCCTCACCTTCTATCTGCCACGGAGGTGCTCTGAATAAGGTCTATCGACATGGAAAGCGATAAAAAGAAAATCCGACCCACCCCCCGTTGTATGCCACATCCTTTCAGATAGTACACAAATTCATAGTGAGTATCTGAGACTTTGTTGACGGCACACGTTCCCAGCTTCAGATTTTTCCATGCGCTGGGGTCGGAAAACAAACTTCTCCGCACTTTCACGTGAATCCGGTCCATAAAACACAGCACCTCCATATTCGGATCACCGACAGGTTTCATACGCATCTCAGCGGTCGTTTCGGCCAGAAGTATCGATTTGAGTAGCGGAGGCACCGGCCTACTGTAACTTTCTGGGGTGAAGAGTTCTTTATGTAGCATAGATGCCTGTATTCGTACTGACCCCGGTAGTAATAGCGGACGAATTGGTTTTGTGGGGGATAAACCGTCTTTTTCTTTAACTGATTTTGGGTCCAATAAACTGCCCTTTTCTTGAACTGGTTTTGGGTCCGATAAACCGCCTTTCTCTTGAACTGGTTTTGGGTCCGATAAATCGCCTTTCTCTTGAACTGGTTTTGGGTCCGATAAATCGGGTTTGATTTTAAATGGTTTTGAGTCCAAATCCGCTATGCCTTGAACTGGGTTTGAGTCCGTTAAACCAGCTTTGAATTGTGTCATAAATCCATCACTGTCGTCGTCGTCGTCGTCATCATTATCATCATCATCATCATTATCATCAAATGCGCTTAGTGTAATACTTTCCAACCAGTCCCATTCCTCTTCTGGATCAATGTCAATATCAGTGTCAGCATCTTCAAAATTAAGCGAGTTTACTAAATAATTAGAGCTCAGAAAAACAACCAGAAGACAGTTCAGCCACATCTCTGCAGTTTCTTGCAACCGTTCCTCTGCTTAATTTTATGATGCTCTCCTCATCCCAAGACAATTCGTAGTAGGCTAGCATATCAGTGTGACAAGAAACACCTGCTGTTAATTGGCTCAAACCTACAGTCTTGGCTCAAACCAAACCTGAAGGAGCTCCATCAAAACAGGTCAAGTTTGACGTCTGCTGGATAAAGCTGGTATTGCATTTTGCCAAGGCATCTCAAGACAGGAAAAAAACACCTGCATCTCTGGGTTGAGTAAGTTTGAATTATTTTTGCCTCACTCTGGCTTCATATTAAACCAAATTATTTACTTGATATATAAACTTATTTTTTCTTGTTCTGCTGCAACAATTCTATTGCATCATGTCTGCAAAATGTAACATCCAAAACTTTTATTTCATGCTAATTATTGTGTCTTTGGCCAATGCCGCCAAAATACCAAGTGCTTTTGGCATTGTGTGCGAGCCACACTTGTTAAAATGTTTAAATGTTGTAATTTCACACAAATATTAGTTGTATACAAATTGCATGTTTTTTTGGGGTTTTTTTTTTGACACTGACACTTTTGTTTTGAGGGAGGATCTAATTCGAGAATTGAGTCAAAGCAATTAAGAAACCTGTAATAAGAAAAATATAATGCAATAATAGTATTTACAACATATCTTTTTATTTGTTTAAGCGTTTAAATATGTTTGAAGAACCACCAAATAACAGGACATACAATAAAGTGACATACCAGAATACATGCATCATCATATATGATAATAAAAATGACAAAAAATGCATTAGTTCAGTTATTCTATCATCTGTAAATAAAAAAACAATGAAAGGTAATTTAATATATATTCACAGTCACACATATATATATCACAACGTCTACTGTGTACAGTAGCTCTGACATCTATAATGTTTATTTACAATTATTTACAATTTTAAGATAGATATTTTAATTGACTGAGCTGTTTTGCATCTATATTTCAAACTTGTGACTGAAAGAAGTTTAGGGAAAGAATCACATAGTTCATATAACATTTTAAAAACAGATAACCTACAAGTTTTATCAACATACACTCAGTTTTGTATATTTTGGGGTTTGGAACATCAATGGATGTTCACATTCGTCCAAAAACCTGACAAAAGTTGATTGCATGTTCTAGCTTGTTGCGAAGTGTGTTGATACTGCTGTATTTGGGAAGAATTAATCTGCCATAACAGGTCTGAGCCTCTGGCAAACGCTGATCTGTATCAGGACCATCTGACTGACTAATCTTAAGAGAACGCTTTGAGAAACCTCCCACTGGTGCACGGTCCGTCCCATACAAGAACACTGCAGAAAAATATAGAGTGAGGATGTGAGGCAATACAAATAACAATCTTTAAATGATGTAGCAGATGCGTCAAAATAAATAAAAAAATAAAATCATGTGTGAGCTTACTCAGAAATTTCTTCTTGTTCTCTTCAGAGAACTCAAAGAAAACAGTCCAGAAGTTCTTGATAAGCTCATCAGAGGCAGAACATCTTTCATAGGAAGCAGACTGAAGACAGAGCAGAAAAAGTCTTACATTTTTGTTCAGTTCTTATTACAAATTTGCAAATTCTGCTAAAACATTTACCTGGTGAAGTTCCTGCCAGTCATATTTAGGGGAGCCGTGGAGAAGCTCCTGCAGTTCTTCAGGGTGGAACACGCTCCAGATATCGAGCGGGCAGCCATCAGAGAAACCTCTTGAAAAATTCCTGAACTGATTCTTCACAGACTTGTTGAAAACAAAGTCGACATACAAATCCACATACTTCTGTCTGAAAAAAAAAAATAAAAAATCAAGACAAGCTTGACAAAGTCTAAAATGCTGATATAGATAGATAGATAGATAGATAGATAGATAGATAGATAGATAGATAGATAGATAGATAGATAGACTGTAAAAATTATTTTCAAGATTTGTTATCACAACATATTTTCTTTTGTCAAATCAACTTTATAATAATTTATTTAGTTGAGATAACTTATTATTTTGAGTTTCTGATGATTAAATTAATCTCCTTCATTGTATTAACTCACTTTTTCCAGTTCAATTAACTTAAAAATTTAAGGCAACCCAGGTTACTTACTTTTTTAAGTTAAACCAACAATAATTTTTTACAGTGTAGTAATCAAAAAATCAGTGTACAAAGTAGATAGATAGATAGATAGATAGATAGATAGATAGATAGATAGATAGATAGATAGATAGATGGATAGATGGATAGATGGATGGATGGATGGATGGATGGATGGATGTTACTAAGTGCGTGGGAAGAATGAGGTTAGTTAAACAAGTGCACTACCTATTAACTTTGGTCACTGGAATTTGACCTCCGTTTGGAACGAGCTCTTGCCCTTTGACCTGAAAGAGGTAAATGGCTCCTGTAAGCATTTAAACAACAGCTGTGTATTATACAAGTGAATATAGACTGTATTACTGTGAAATCCAAAAAGAGGATATCCACGACGTCCTCATCTTCCTCGAGAAGGCTTTTCAAACTTCTAATGGGGGATTTATAAAATACAATTAAACCATGATCAGCTCTGTAAAAGCACTGGGAAACTTACAATGTGTAACATCTAATGGTTTACCTGGCCTCCACAGGGGACAGTTCCTCCAGATCATTCAGAGTGGGACTCAGCTGGAGGAGTTTCTTGAACAAGGCCAATGGGAAGTCAATGTTTATGCAATGATGGTTGTACAGCGCCATTCCACAGATAACGCCAAGATAGTAAAAATCCTTACATTGCGTGCGCTGAAAAGACACATATGAAATGTATGGGGAAGACCACATAAGAAGCCTAGGAATAAGGAGTGTTTGGTGTAGAGCTTACATTAGGATTGAACCAAACCAGTAAAGTCTCATGGACCTCCAGCAGCCTTTTCTCCCAGTTGAGGAGAGACTTGGAAAGAAGGGAGAAGAATTCGGCTGATAAGCCCATCTCATCTATTCCATTCTCCCCGATGAACTCGACCTGTACAGGAGACGTTTTCATCATTGTTAAAGTAGAATGCAATATCAGACATTTCAACTCTGATTTCAATTCTGTAATTCTTTTACCTTTAATAGATTTAAAAATGAGTGGGTTTTTTGTCTGAGATACTTTAAGGTGTCTGTCAACAGGGAGTCCCTGTTTACACGCAACACGTTGCCATTTAACATGAGCATCTCTTGGTCAGGAAAGCTCCATATGCACTTATTCTGCAAGTTCTAAGAAGAGTAAAATTATGTTAGTTTTAAAGGGGTAGTCCACCAAAAAAAAAATCATCATTTACTCACATCTGTGTGATTTCAAACCTGTATGACTTACTTTCTTCTGTGGAACACAAGCCTATTCTGAATAACCAACCAAACCAGCATTATTTTAATGCACAATGACCTCAATTGTATGTTCTAAAAACAGGAATTCCTCAAAATCTCTTACACTCTTTAGCTGGGGACACACCTAACGACTGTAAGGTCGATTCTGAATGTAATTTGATACTGACGACTGATCGTGCCAAGTCGTGTTCAGTCAGTGTACAAAATCTGCTGCAGTCCTTGGAAACTGTCTGTAAGTGTGTTCTGTCAGTCTTAGAATGTTTCAGTCATTAGTCATTAAGTGTGTCTCTGGCATTAGAAGAAAAGGTTGTATGTATGCTCTGCCATTCAAACGCACCATTGTTTTCAGCGCTTTGGATGGCAGGGTTGGAGCTCTCAGTGTCGACGCCTGCCCAGACACGAGATAGTTCGCAAACGTCTCGTCAATGAGCGGCATCGACATGTACCCATGCTCTTCGATCCCCTCAACATCACCGAAACTAGCCCGCTGATGTTGGTGGATACGAGCAGAGAATGGGTACTTCCATGCCCTCTTGACCTCAGTATGAAGGTCAGGAAGAAATGGAAGGCTTACCTGAGCTGGTGGTCTATGGCCGGGGAGAAACCGATCGTCGAGCCTGCCGCGAACGGTCTCTCCTCTAGCAGTTGCAGCCTGTCGGCGGTGCACCCCATAACATCCACCAGCTCCGCATATATGGGGCAGGGTGGCTGAAGGGGGTTCAGGATCTACCTGATTATCAACCTCCTCAGCCATCTCCAGCTCGTCCTGAAGAGCATTATCTGCAGGAACAGTCGGCGAGAAATCATAATCATCGACCTGCAGATCGCCCTCGTCAGTCGCCAGAGCATTTGAGAGGAATAGCCCTTTGAGGTGATCAACGAGCTCCATCTGGGAGCTCCATGATGCAAGTCGCTGCTCTGCCTCGGCACGAGCGGGACCTGAACCACAAAGTCCAGATGCTGAGCCCTCTTCACTTGAGAAGAGGGCCAGACAAGAACGGAGCGTTTTCAAAGAAAAACGGTCACAGTTCGCACAGAGGGCTCCCATGCGTGCTCTTCACCCAGACAGAAAATGCACAGTTCGTGTGTGTCACCCGGCGTCAATAACCTTGGGCATGGGTCGACAAACTTCTGAACGGCCTTCACTGTACGTTGCATTTTAATTTCTCTAACCGCTCCTGTAGCTTTTTACAAACAGACAGTCCCTGACGACAAAAAGATGATTTGTCATGTTTGCAAGGCACCCTTATATACTAGCAGTTTGCACATTAATCATTCACGTTAATGATTCCTGAGCTGTTGCCGGTCAATGTGATTGCCGTGATTTGATAGTGATTTCAGACACTTGTCACACCTGAGGCGTTCCCCAAAGTGTCATTCGAGGCAGTGCGAGTTCCCTTTTGAAAGGGAACTGGACGTTTTTTAAGGTCCAAGAACCAACACTGAATATTTGGAGAACATTTACAGGTCTAAACGGGGCCTAAAACGTTTTGAGCTTGTCCACTTTCGACCACTTTCAGAGTTGACAAAGCATTTGACCGGATTGCTTTCATAGAGAAGATGCTCACGTAGTTGAAAGCGTTCGAACAGAAACAAGGCCCTGTTTACTCCTGGTATTAAGATGTGTTTTGGTCGATCGAATCACAAAATGAAGGAGACGCATTCCCGTTTACAGCTGGTGTTTTAATCCGTCTCTTTTGTCCAATTTCTACCACTTCTGTCCTGATTTCTCCGAGGGGAGGGTCTATGGGTGGGTAATAATGGATTATATGGGTGTAAACAGCGCCTAAGAGTGTATTTTGTGTCCCACAAAAAAAAGCATATTATACAGGTTTGAGGGTAACTGGAGCTTAAAAATTTATTATTTTGCTGTAAACATATGTACTATATGTATGTCATATGTACATCCATCTCCAACTTACAGTAAACATCCTCTGTTTAGATAACGTGTCAGCTGCAAAAGGGAACTTGACCAATATATCAATAATTACCTGAAAGAAAAATCCATGGAAGTACTTTAAGATGTGTTAGTTATTGAACACAGAACAATAAAAATGTCATGCAAATCTCATTGAAATATTCGTATGTATCATGACAGAAGCCTTCAATACTCACAAAGTAGTATTCATTCAATTTCACTATGTCACGGAAATCTTCTGTGAAACAACCTCTTAAAAACATCTCACCCAGTACTGCCATGGTGGCTCCCAGCTATTGATTTAAAGAAAAAGAGAACGTTCTGTTATTTCGGTTTGTTGTTAAATATATATATTAAACTATTGCTTTGGTTCTCACCGTATCTAAAAGATCATTGATCTCATGAATGATGAAATCACTGTTTGTGATGTCACTGTGGGTAGTGCAACAGATCTTCACAAAAGAGACAAAGTATAAACAATTATTATACAATGATCGGGTTAAATTTAATCTTGAGATCAAATTATTTAAAAAGGCACCTTATAGAGCACCTGAAGGACCTGCAAAGAGTTCTGCAGGCGTCTAGTAAAGTCATGCTCAGTTTCCCCGCAAGAAATCTGGCCAATCAACTCAGCACTTTCTTTCCGAAACAACTTCACTAAGTCTTTGAGCCAACCGTTGGGGAGTTTGGACCAGTACATCACTGAAAATATATCATACAAATACTTAGGCAAACACAACAAGCCCAAAAAACACAAAGGTCGAAATGGTCCTCCAGTTTTACCTAACACAGTACGAGCATCTAGATTCAACTGAAGGATTTTGGAGGCCAGTGCTCCAGTGAGTTCAGTTCTTTGTTTCTGGAGTCCTCTGATGAGCTCAGGGAGGAGAAGGTAAAGTCTCAGAGCTTCCACACCAGTTGGATTTGGGTTCAGAGACGGCAGGAGTGTCTGTTGAACTACCTTCACTACCTGAGGGCCAGAAACCATCAATTGCATCTCACTCATGCAGTTTAAAATATAATATCAACATTGGATTAATCATTACCTCTGATATCAACCCTTTATTCTCGAATAACTTTGCGAAGGAGGTTTTAACCAGATCAAAATCCAATCCACAATGCTCCTCAGAAGTCTGATAATGTTCATCACAACTACAAGGACAGAACGTTACTGTGATGAAAGGAGTGATTTAAGGCACAGAAATTACTAGATAAGACTACCTAATTTGACCTTGTTTTGAGGAAACTTCCATTCAGACAAGCAGCCGAGGAGAACACTGTGTTTATTTCCCTGTAAACAACAAAACAATATTTATAGTTCATTTATATGCTTAAATTGCTAAAAAAAAAACACAACCTCTAATTACAATAAAAAGTAAGAATCCTTAGATTTACATACTAAATTGTGTAAACATTATATAAAATCAATCAGATTTGTCTGCTATTTAATATTAAGTTTTAAAAGAAGGGTGAATGCATTAATAAGGTTAAACGACACACACCACATGTTTTTTCACAATATTTTAAGAGCATGTATGCGGTACACTGGATTTTTAACAATATCATGAGAAATCATGTGAACTTAAGCTAAGCCAAACCCTCACTTCTTTATTGTTGGCCATGTATCACTTCCAGACACCCATCGGTCAATCATTCTGTCATTTAATGTCAAAACCCCTTGGTGACTGGATTCTGACTTACTCTCAAGCCCCTAAAAACACAGAAAAGTCAAATATAAGCAATCACAGTGCAGCTATAATTTTATATTTATGAATGAAAACTGCCTGACTTACTTTGAAAACCAAGGCAAAGGAATGATTCTCCCCAGTGATGCGTTTTTCAAATGTATATTCATGATCACATTCTGTGTGCAACAAACATTTCGTTTACAGATCTGTGCAGCATGAGTAAAACAAAATAACCTACTGTTAAAATATTTTTTTTTTTTTTGGCTATTTACCATTTGACAGATCCACAGGGAAAGGCACAGACTGCTTGGTCATTTCTCTATTTCCCAGCTTCCCTTGCATCCCACATCCAAATGAATAGATCAGCTTTGACGATTCGACTGATACGAGTGTGTGACGTCTTTATTCAAGAAAGAATCAAATGCCTAATTACTGAGCTTATCTCAAACAGAAACACTGATTGCTTCTGAAAAGTCTAGTTTACCTCCCACATGTGACCTGGGACACTTTAGATCCCCACAGTTCAGCAACGACCCTCGGATGATGTTCATCTTTAAATGAGTTGTGCCCAAGCTGGCCAAAACTTCCTGATCCAAATGTAAAGACTGAGCCGCCCTGAAACATAAACTATTGATTACCTTTTACATTTAAATTTTTTAATTTAGCTGACGCTTTTAAGTGACTAACAATTGCTATGTCAGAGGTCACACGCCTCTGGAGCAACTAGGGGATAAGTGCCTTGCTCAGGGACACATTGTTGTCTCAGAGTGGATTCGAACGCGGGTCTCTCACACCAAAGGCATGTGTCTTATCCATCACCACCCCACTTTCTGTCCATTTTGTTGTATGCTAAATATGGTATTAATTATGATATGGATATTTAAAATATTACAAAATACTACCTTTGATAAAGTGGCAGTGTGTTCCCCTCCACATGATATGGACACAGTTTTCTTTCGGTTCAGACTATTTACAACCGTTGGGACGCGTCTGTCTGTGGTGGAACAACAGTAAATACAGGTCACAAATATACAGACCATAAATGCTTGAATGTCTCAGAATAAAGTGGTAAACAAATGTTGTCTTAGCTAAATCTTGCAGTGTACGGGCTTCCTCGCACCTTCGCTTCCATGCTATATTACTATGAAAAGTAAACTTAGCTCAGTTTCGATAAACAACTGCATAAGAGGAAGAATAATTGTCAATACTGGTCAGTTTATCCTATGACTCAGGCCTTGCTCCTTCGCAACCCGTTTTTTCAAAGAGAGGTCTCTCAACCACTTAAATAATCTTTAAGCAAGAATATTATACTCAGTGTGTTAATTATATTTCACTTAGAACTATCAGAAGTCGATTTAACTCTCCATTTATGTTTTTTTTTTTTTTATAAAACTTTTAATCCTGATTATGGATGAATTAATTGTACTCCTCATTTATTGTTTGATTGTTTTACTGTTAACTAATAAAATTTGACTTAATCATCTGACTGGGTCCTTGCATCAGTGATTTCGTAACATGATGAAATATTCAGACCTGTAGTGTCTCCGAGGCCCAGCTGTCCAGCCGAGTTCTTCCCCCATCCGAACACGACTCCAGAGAGAGACAACACAAAGCTGTGGTCTCCTCCAGCGCTGATCTGAGCCAGTGGGACCCCACACAGACTCTCCACACGTTGAGGAGCTGACAGAGACCTGGGCTGTGCTTTCTTCAAACCCAGCTGACCGTGAGTGTTATCACCCCATACAAACAGCTGACCGTCTGAAATACCAACAACAGCTCTGCATCATATTTATCATATTTATTTTATTTCTGACTCAAAACAAGGTCCATAGGAACGGACATACAGACAATAAAGGATTACTATAATCCATAAACAATTTCTCCAAAGCAGCGAACTGTACCTGGTCAGGCCATATAAAAACAATTATAATTTCATTTTGCGAGTCCATAAGTCTCATCATAAATTTATAAACAGCATTTCTTATTACAGCATTTAGTGTGGTCACATCATTCTGCACACACAACTGGTTTGCTGGTCCAGCGAGATCCCAAGAGCATTGTTGCTACTTAACTTGTGAAAAACAGCTTTGGTATATCTACACTCAAATAGGCTACCTATCAATTCATGTCAATCTTAAGAAGTCAAAATATTAAAACAAAACATCAGCTGTAAGATGAAATGGTTGTGAATACCCCTGGTTAGTGCCATTGAATGCTGGTCTCCACACGCGATCTGAATCACCTGCCTGTTTTCCAGACCTTTAAGAGGACTGCAGAGAAAATACTTTCTGTAATTTGCTATTAATATTATCATTCATGGTATTACTGTTATGCCTAAATAAACATACCGGCTCACAGCCATAGTCGCCCCTGCAGCAGATTTGTCCATAATGTGAACTAGATGAAAGCATAGAAGCTAGTGAAGCAGCAACCCCGCCGGTTTCAGCATAAACGAAACCACTAAGTGAAACTGTTTGTGAAATCATATCTACAATAGTTTTCAATTGAGTGATTGGCTAATGTACAACAACAAAAAAACATAATCGAGCGGGGAAAGTTCATTGGAAAACGAAACAAAAACTTAAAGGGATATTCGACCCAAAATTATATTCTGTGTAGTTTTCTCTAAGTCTTCCACGGAGGCACAAAAAAAGAAGGTGTTTGACAAAATATAATGGATAGTCTATAAACGAACAAAAGTCAACATTCAATCTATTTTCATGCAACGAAATTGAACGGCACAAATCGATTCTCTCATCTCTCCTCCTGCTACACCAAGATCTACATGTCAATACATATATTTTAACACATATCCGCTAGCCAGGTTTGTCTGTGCGATCAAGTTGAGACAAACAACATATTGCCGGTGGTATGTGAATAATTTTTAGACCAGACCAGTTCCAAGCCAGTTCGCTCTTTTACATGATAAGTGCCAAAGTACTGTTCCTCCTACATCATTGGTTTAGATCCATGTCAATCACAGAAATCTGGCCAATCAACTGATTGAACTCCACCGACGAAATGGGGGATTCTGATTGGTTCACTGGTATTTTCTTTGCAGAGCCAAGCTGAAACGACGAGAAGAAATGACCGCCTTTATTTTTCCATAGTATAATACATATACTAACTCTTTAGAATAAACAAAAGCAATTCGAAATTCACTCTTTTCACACAATTTGAAGGTACGTAGTAAATAAAAAGCTAGAAATTACGCAATATTCTCGTTTTGTTGTCGCGGAATCTGTTTTTGCTAGCAGCTCGAGCGCCGAAAAGCTCGAGGATTCATCTCCATTTTGCTTGTTCTTGTGATTAATGTTATCATTAATAAGCTTCTTCTAATATAATTTATATACGTTTATATATATTTCTTGCGTTACTAGTTATGTTTAAAATGTCACTAACGAGCTGTTCGAAAGCATTGCTAGCATGCTGTTATATAAGCGGAGTGTTGCGTCATGTTTGTTTACACTCTTTTTTTATATTTTAACTTGTTGCTTATTTGCCCATGTGTCTTGATTTGAGGTTATTTTACTTTTAGAGGAATGTATTGATGTTGTCTTCGCAGGTTATGTGTATAACGTTAAATCTATGACATCTTGTGTGAATTAAATAGGGGGTGGGGCACATTTGCGTATAACCTTGTTGCTTACCGAATGACTCCATTGGTACAGGCAGTAAACCCACTGTTTAGTGTTTAAACAAAGGCTGTCTTATAACCTAACCAGTATCGACTACTTAGGCAGCATTTTTGGACATGTATTATACAATATTTTTTATTGAATGACTTTTTTTTGTTGAAGTAGGAGGGGCTGTATAGTACATGCTGTTTAGTTTTACAACAAAGGCAAGTCATTCATTTGTTCATTTCCTCCTTGTTTTGCAGAGAACTCCTGGTCAAGACTGTAAATTCTTCAAGGTACACTTTCTGCACTGACTTTTGAAGCGTGTTTTGGGTCCCATTTTGTATCAAACTCTTCCCACCTGTTCCATAAGTGTGGTGTCCAGCCACAGAGTATGTCAGTGGCTCTTCTCATGCGATATGCCACGCTCAGCGGGTCCCGTGTCTGCAGCAGGGCCGCCCTCGGCCTGACCAGCGCCCATCAGGAAGACCCGATACGGTCTCTACACACTCCATCATCTCCTCGGTGCAGTAACTCCCGCTTTGATCCAGACAGCAGTGGCCGTCCGACTACCTGGGACTCCTTTGGTATCTGGGACAACCGCATCGATGAGCCCATCATGCTTCCATCAAGCATCCGCTATGGTAAACTCATTCCCAAAGTTAGCCTGACCAAGGTCGGCTGTGCCTCGCTGATTGGTCAGCGGAAGGAGAATGAAGACCGCTTTCAACTATCGCAGATGACGGACAACATAATGTACTTTGCGGTTTTTGATGGGCACGGGGGTGCAGCGGCTGCTGAATTCTGCCACAAGCACATGGAGAAGCATATTAAGTAAGGATCAGTCGTTTAATGACTGTTATATAATGTTATATGTTTATTTTATTTGAATAAAAATCACCAGTTTTGTTGTCACGAATATCCATCCGGCTACAAGAAAAAATCACTGAGCCACATAGAGGCTCAAGCCGTGTGTTTAGTAACATAAAACTTTGGAGGTTTCCTTCAGGAGATGGGCTTTGGAAACTGTGTTTTATAATAACTAACTGTTTATGTTGCATTTGGTGATTTTTGTTTCAGAGACATTGCAGAGGAGGAGAATAACCTGGAGTTAGTTTTAACCAGGGCATTTCTTGAGCTGGACAAATCGTTAGCCAGGCATCTTCACTTCAGTGCAGATGGTAGGTCCTGTTTCACTGATTTATTCTTTTTTGAAAGCATGCATGGTACATGAATACATAATACTCTGTAGTCCCTCAGCTCAGTTTTAGAGTCTTAATGCATAAGTATTGCTTTGATGCATCAGGTATACATGTAACAGAGCCAAATTGATGTTTGTGAGCAGAACATGATGATGTAGAGTTGTAGACTAAAGAAATATTTTTGTTTAATAAAAAAAAACACACAATAAAAACGGATCCCTAATGCAGACAGAGCAGTGAAGGCATGTAAAATCTTCTCGTGATAGTTCACAGACTTCTCTTTGGCTCTGTAAAATGCGTCCATCCTAAAATAAAGATAGCACTAGTATATACTAGGGGTGGGTAAAATAATTGATTCCTAGATGCATTGATTTTTTTTCTCCAAATTACGAACTGTTCATCACAATTTCAAAATAGAAGTTTAAACCCTTGGTCTGAGTTTGAACGTTTTGATGTCCACACATGTTCTTACTCAAGAAATTACAGTGGCTTTAGCATTTCATAAAAAAAAAAGACAATTATTAAAGTTTAAGTAAACATTTGAGTTAAATGTCATTTGGCCAGTATTAAGGTTGGATTTGATCTGTTGTAAAGTGCGACAACACCAGGCTCTTGGCGCTCTCTGCAGGCATTTGTTAAAATACATAATATACAGAAATATGATTACTTGCTTTTGATACTTTTTTTCAACCATATTATTGCCTCGTTGTTCAGTGTTAGACCATGACTTCTGGCAAGTTTTGTGGATAGAAATGGACATTTTGAGACTCAAGAGAGATTCAAGGCATGATTATTGTACCTTGAACTGGTTACAAACAGAAACCTTAATTTTATAATTTTAGGCAGGATTATTCATGTTTTTCTTTTGTGTAAATTAATAATATATTGTTCACTCAATGTGTTGATGTTAGATAACGCGTTAAGTAATGTTAATGATGACTGTTATCTTATTGTAGAGTTACCAAACTATACAGGAGATAAAACGTGTTTTATTTGACTTGACTCTACTTACATTTAATCCAAAATTGTGTTCATATTTAATTTTAAAAGGAAGCTAAGAGTTATCCAGCCAAGAATAAGCCTAGAACTGCTTATCTGACGGACTAATATTAATGACATAAATAGGGATGCACCGATACTGATACCAGGGTGTATGTCCGATATTGTGCTCATGTAGGCTACTCTTACTCGTAAAACTACCCCGATTCAACCACACCGAGTCCACTTTAGGGGCCGTTCACATATTACGTTTTTTGCGCACAAAAAAAACATCTCAACATCTCGTCTCAATAGGTCATGTGACAAAAAACAGCTGATCAGCTTCGACCTTTTTGCAACAACATTGAAAGCTTGGCTGAACAGCTGATCATAGCTGTACAGGGTGGATTTTTATTTCTCATCTCTATAAATATATCTAGTAGTAAAGCTAATGCAAGGGCTAGAAATAAAAAAATTCTTTGCTGGTACTTCCTCGTCCTCATGGAGAGCGAAGTTCGTACCGTTTTCTCCTTTCCACAAGCACTTTCTCTACTGTGGCGTCTCGCATGAAAAAACAAGAGCGCCGCGTTGCTTCTATTATCAGTGTGCTTGCCAAATCTGAAATAACAAATTTGCGCGTGTAAAAAAAAAAAAAGTGCTATATGAACAGCCCCTTATTGCACCGTGACATAAAAACAATCTAAACAACCTAATTGAAAACATTTTCATATGTGGCTCTTTCCTCCTGTCTTGTCAACAAGGGGATTTAGAGGCTGAATACATTGTAGGGGAATCACTGTTGTTATTATATATGTATTATAAGTCTATAAAGGCTTAGGTCTTTGCTTAGGTCTATATTTATTACCACGAAATCAGATTACTGGAATAATCTTCTGAATAATCGACTGATTACTCGGTTAACAAAATAAATGTTACCGACATCCCTACTCATTTATTTTATTACTGTTCATTTTTACAGAAAATGTACCTACAAGGTACCTTAACTTTATAAAGATTTGGATCCAGTGAAAAATCAAAATGCATCAGGAATCATGAACAACATCATGAACTGAAATAGTATCATATATTACATTTGATTCCCACCCCCAGTATTTAATATTAATGCATATTTAAAAATACGCTTTTGCCATTTTTCTTTAGAATAGTCTTTGTTAGATTCTTATGTGTTAATAAGGATATTAAATGCTGTTAGAATAAGTACGATTATGCCAGGCCCATCTTATTCATGTAGTGTGCGGCCCACTAGTGTGGCCTGCTGCGTGACTTGTCCAATCTTGCCCTTTGTGTGTGCGTGTTATATCTACAACAGCCGTGGACCCAGCTTACCCCCTATAAGAGCTGCAGCTCTGCACTACCTTTATGGAGGCCGGAGGGCTAGATTGCTCCAGCGGGTCCTTGCGTGGACTTCTGGAAGGTTCCTGACCTTTCTCTCTCTCTTTTCCTTTCTGTCTTTCTCTCTTATCTCTCCTTTACTGTGCTCTGTCTTCTTCACATGTGTTGGTTGCTGGAAAATGATTAGTTAGTAGTTGTGTTCAGAGCTTGTTTTCTGTGTATGGATAACTCTAGTTTTATTTGATGATGTAGAAAAGAAAAGCACAAGATGCTTACTGTGGGAGAATAAAGTAATTTTCAGTGAAGAAAAAAAGCTGTTTGCTTTTATGCTATTAATGAATTTTTGTTAACCACTGGTGTTTACTGTCATATGTGCCATAGCTAGTCAAAAAGACACAATGCTACCTGGTTGTCTTGACCAATCCAGTGCATCATCTCCTTTGGAATCTCCCTCTTTTTTGTTTTCGGTTAAAGTTTTTATCAAAAGCTTGTTTACCAAAGCATTGCGTACATATTTATTAAATATGCATAGTATTGTGTAGTACAGTACACTAGAATTATGTGTAATTCTCAGAACAGGACTAAGAATTAAAGCTTTTTAGTTTTTGTGTGTGTGATTGATTACAAAAACTCACTATTGCGTATTATTCTCTATCAGAGACTTTAAGCGCATCACAACTAACCATTCTGCCTCGGTCTCTGGTGTGTTACAGCCTCTCTGTTGAGTGCAGGGTCCACAGCCACAGTGGCTCTGCTGAGAGATGGGATCGAGCTGGTGGTGGGCAGTGTGGGGGACAGCCGTGCCATGCTGTGCCGCAAAGGCAAGGCCCTCAAACTCACTGTGGATCACACACCTGAGAGAAAGGATGAAAAAGAGAGGTACAGTTTGCATGGGAGCATTTGTTTCTCCAAACAAATTGAGGCACCGCGAGAGCACTTCTTTTAATCGACATGTTTGTTTCTGAAGGATACGTAGGACCGGAGGTTTTATTACGTGGAATAGTTTGGGTCAGCCTAATGTCAACGGCAGACTGGCCATGACGCGCAGCATTGGAGATTTCGACCTCAAGACGTCAGGTGTCATCGCAGAACCAGAGACTAAGAGAGTTTCAGTGAGAGCTTTTTTTTTTTAAATTCACTTTAAATATACTGAAAATGTCTTTTCTTTCTCTCTCTAATTATATATATATATATATTGTATATTATGTATATTATATATATTATAATTTTTATTATTTTTAAATAAATACTTGTTAAAAGTTGTATTGATTTAAGTGTACCTGTGTTTCAGTTGCATCACGTCCATGATTCTTTCCTGGCACTCACTACTGATGGCATCAACTTCATCATGAACAGTCAGGAGATCTGTGACGTCATTAACCAATGTAACGACCCTAAAGAGGCCGCACAGCGCATATCTGAACAAGTGAGTCAAATAATCCAACATCCACCATTAAAGGGTTAGTTCATCGTTTTTAGTTCATATTTTTGATGAAAACCATGAGCTTTCTTACCCGCTCCCCATAGACTGCAACGTTATTACCACTTTCAGGCCCAGAAAGGTAATAAAGACATGGTTAAAACAATCCATGTGACTCCAGTGGTTCAAACTTAATGTTATGAAACGACGAGAATACTTTTTGTATCAGAGACTGACACGGAAGAGAAGAAATTGTTTGAATAAAGTTTTTTTTTTTTTTTTTTTTTTTTGCACATAAGTATCCTTGAGGCTTCATAACACTTTTTTTTTTTTTTCCATGATTGATTTTTTTCATGATTCGTGCACATCCCTAACCTAAACCATTTTTTTTTTAATGTCCGGCAAAAACAAAATGATTATGATGCGTCCTGTTATCATTATATAAACCTACTCATTTATTCTGCTCCCTATTGTGAATGCAGCAGGTTTAAACATGCATACGATTCGTAGTAAGTTAATTGGTTATTTTTTGTCTCTCTCAGGCTCTTCAGTATGGATCTGAAGACAACAGCACTATCGTTGTGGTGCCATTCGGTGCCTGGGGCAAACACAAAAGCTCTGACGTGAGCTTCTCCTTCAGTCGCAGTTTCGTCTCCAGTGGCCGCTGGGCCTAAGCAAAAATAACTCGAGACACTGAATCGTATAAGTGATACACAAAATCGACTCACTAATCCGAGCTAAACAATGTGCAATATTCTCCTTATCCATCCTGTGAGGATCACCTCAAAAAAGACCATTAAAGCCAGAACCCACATTGAATGTGGTTTTGGAGTTGATTTCTCTTATCAGAAAGCTATTTAGCCTAGAGAAGCAAAATAAGCATTGAATGGTGTTAAAGTTCTCCTGAGCTTTGAGGTTTTCCTGGTCTTTAATAGTTAAAGGTTACCTCAGTTCTGTTTTTGTCTTTCGCAGATACTTTACAATAGTTTGCCTTGCCATAGTGGAAGCAACACCCGTCACATTTTAACGTCACAATAGGATTGTCAAGCATTTTCAGATTTTGGGAGGTTCCATTGTTTTTTCATGACTCTTTGTAGTGTTGCATATTCACAGTTAGACTACTGTGTGTACTGAAATATGAGCTCCTAATCCTTGTGCAAGCACACGTTTCTATAACTCCGTCTCCTTTTATAAGTGTGAATATATTTCTTCCAGCTTAACAACCAGCAATTTTAAAGCTACACTAATGGAATCTGCAACCCATCTTGAGGACCATTGTGTGAACAAATCCACGATTTTTCTGTGCCTTGTCCATAAACGTCTGTTCTTATTTCTTATTGCTTGAGTTATTCTGATGAGGAACTCAACTTTAGGTTCATAACTAAAGTTTTAAACTGTGACGTGTGCTCGTTTAGTGTTACCAGACAAACTATTTTTATTCAGATTGTACACTTCTGCGGTTTCCCTACAATGTATAGATCAAAGTGCGGATGGTTGTTTTATTTTATTTATATAATGTATATGATGGACAGTTAACTTTATGGTATATGTGAATGTATATATGTAATAATACATATTTTCTTCTAAAGTCTCCTAGTTACAGGAGAGAAGTGAACATTCATTCATTCATTCATCCTCTGACTTGATTGTTGTAATTGCAGACATTCAAAATCTGTCGTGATCTCTGATGTCCAGTGAATTTTATTTGTAGAGCCATACACACGTGACCTCAGCAAGTCGGCATCTCATGTTCAGGCTTCGTTTTCGTTTCTTCATGTTTTGAATCCGACATTTAACACTTCATTTCATTCTCATTCAGCATTTCCTCTCATTTTAGACTTTTTACAGCCTTTTTTTGTTCATGTCTTCCTCTTTAAGGTCCAAAAGCACTTCCAGTACTTATTATGTTTCTTTTAGAATGTATTACATTCAGTGTTAACACAACTGTGCATGGATTTTGCTTAGAACAATCTGTAAAACAACTGCAAGTGTTTCCTGTTCTATATATTTGGACCTAACTTTGCTATTATTGATATGCAGTTTATTGTAAAATACAATGCAGCTGTGAATAAAGTTTCACCAGAAACATCTCCTTTGGTTAAACTTTGATATTTTTTTATACCTGTGTTCAAATACTGATGCATCCAATCTAATTGGATCCATTAAAAGTAGGGTTGGTGTGTGTCACATTTCTCATGGTATTAGGCACCACAATTGATTGTTGCTTTTTCTTTTTTTCTTTGACTTCGCATATATTTTAGTAGGCCTGCTGCAGTGTGAATAATTTAACATGTTATATTATTGTGTCCTAGTAAATGTAATACAGGAAAATGTTCATGTTTGAAAGCCGATGATGCCTGTGACTGAATCCCACCCTCTGCTCCATCTATATAAGATCTCCGCTTCTCCGCCTCAAGTCAGATTTGGATTTTTCCCATCTGATACTTAAACAGCTTAAAGCCTTGCGGACATCCAGCGGTCACTGCTGCAGCGAGAGGAGGGTAAGCATCTTTCTCTAATGTTTCACTGATGATAGATTAATTTTGTAGATTGAAGCTTGTGGATGTTTATGCTACTGTAACCTGTTTATGCTTATTATGTGTAACCGACGAGTGAAAAATATGCTGATAAAGTGTTAAAGCCATGTTGTATTAATCAAATATGTATGTTTTTAAATAATGGCTAATTTAATAAAAAGATAAGATATTAGATAAAATCGCATATTCATATAAATGATATTGCCATTTCAATTTCGTACTTGATACATTGGAATATAAAAAATTAAAGCTACATATGGAGAGACTGGGTCTGATTGTCAGATATTCTAAAAGTTGCTCTATAGACGTGACTTAAAGTCTTGGCTACAAAAAAACTTATTGAACATTTAAGCATTATAATTCTGAAAATAGCATAACTGTAACTCTTAAACTCACTAAATTCTGTTACTAATTTCTGAGGTATAGGTTATAGTCCTGATACAAGCTAAGTACATTGTGTTTGTCTTTTTAGGGAGAAAACCTGGCAGAAGATGACTGACAATCTTGCCTTTGAGCATGATCAAATCACTGAAGAGACGGGCAGAAATGGGATGTCTTTGTCAAAGATAATTGCCATGGGGCCCGTGAAAAAGCAACATGGAGCCACTGTCAGCTTCCATAGCATCTGTTATAGAGTAGATCAGAAGAGCGGACCCATCTGCAAGAGGACAACCGTCCAGAAAGAGATTCTGGTAGACCTCAAGTGAGTCGATCTCATGCACAAAGAGAGGTCATTGTAATTCAGATCAGGGCTCCTTTAGTCTCTTTAATCTATTAAAAGATCGTCCTCCATTGAGTTTTGGAACATCTTTTTCGGCTTAAGCTTTTATTGTATTTATTGTGGTTATTGCATCATAGGAATTAAAAAAAGATTCTATGGCATAATAACTCAAACAACTTCTATGATAATATAGGAAAGGTTCTCCTATGACATAAGAAATGAAACCTTCTGATAATGCAGTCATTTTTAAAAGGTTCTCCTATGACACCATAAGAACTTAAACATCTTGATATACAGGAATTTTAAAAGGTTTTCCTATGACATCATAAGAACTTAAACATCTTCTATGATATACAGGAATTGTAAAAGGTTCTTATATGACATCATAAGAACTTAAACATCTTCTATGATGATACAGGAATTTTAAAAGGTTCTTCTATGACATCATAAGAACTTAAACATCTTCTTTGATAATACAGGAATTTTAAAAGGTTCTTCAATGACATCATAAGAACTTAAACATCTTCTATGATAATACAGGAATTTTAAAAGGTTCTTCTATGACATCATAAGAACTTAAACATCTTCTATGATAATATAGGAATTTTAAAAGGTTCTTCTATGACATCATAAGAACTTAAACATCTTAATATACAGGAATTTTAAAAGGTTCTTCTATGACATCATAAGAACTTAAACATCTTGATATACAGGAATTTTAAAAGGTTCTTCTATGACATCATAAGAACTTAAACATCTTCTTTGATAATACAGGAATTTTAAAAGGTTCTTCTATGACATCATAAGAACTTAAACATCTTCTATGATAATATAGGAATTTTAAAAGGTTCTTCTATGACATCATAAGAACTTAAACATCTTAATATACAGGAATTTTAAAAGGTTTTCCTATGACATCATACGAACTTAAACATCTTCTATGATATACAGGAATTTTAAAAGGTTTTCCTATGACATCATAAGAACTTAAACATCTTCTTTGATAATACAGGAATTTTAAAAGGTTCTTCTATGACATCATAAGAACTTAAACATCTTCTTTGATAATACAGGAATTTTAAAAGCTTCTCCTATGACAGGAGTTTTCAAACTAGAGTGCTAGGGCATCTGAAAAAAATCTGGATAACTGAAGGTGTTTGAAGTAGTTGGATTGTTTCCATTGTTCTGCTTTTGAAACACTGATTAGAAATCATTAGATGCATTGTGACTTTTTTATGACAGCCTAGTTAATAGCCATAAGAAATAAAATCTTTCCTTGCCATGTACAGGCATTCAAGAACAGGATGTATTTCATTCATATCTTGTGTATAAATGAATGCATAAATATAAATTAATGCATGTATTTGATTCACAAGGTGATCATCATATTTTGGGGGCCTTAGCATCAAAATGTTTGAAAAAATCATATGCATCATATGGATCTTGAAAAAAAGTCAGCACACCTTGTCTCCAAAAATGTGAAAAATGTAATAGACTCACACACAGGTGGTAACGTTTCGAGAACGTAGGCTCTTCGTCAGACAATTAAAAGTTAAACACACCCCGGGTGTGTTTTACTTTTAATTGTCTGACATTCTCGAAATTCCTCACATTTTTACACCCAACTTGAGTAACATAGTGTTTAGCTGTGGATGTGCGTGCTTTTGGATCTGATTTTATCACATGGATCTTAACAAAATTTCTCTTACGACATCACAGGAACATAAACAATTCTCCTATGCCATCAAATGAAATGGTTTTCTCTCTGGCTTCAAGAACGTCAGTAGATTCTCCAATGGCATGAGGCTTTACAAAACCTTTTTACTTTTACATGTTCTGCATTACATGTGTGTTCACCAGAACAATGGATAGCAGAAACCCAGAATGCTTTTCCTTAAAGCATTAAATGAGCTTGACATTTCCCAGAACCAAGTGCATAGTTTCTTTGGACATTCTCTCTATAGTGTCAATTATATGATATTATGAATGGGTTTGTGAGTCTAATCTCTTGATCTCTTGGCTTGCAAACCCACCAGGGTTAACCCAGTTTAACTGCCACTCTCGGGCATCACCTAGATGACCTAGTTTTAAGCGTTATACTGTATTTTGTTAACCATTTAACCATTTCTTGAATGTCAGGAATTTAATGGCAGTTAGATTCATTGCTTAGATGAGTAGCATTTAATATGGCGCTCTACATCTTTTAGACTAGCCCAACAACATCTGTGCAATAAGTTTTTTCCACCAGACCTGAAGTGACATGAACATAATCTTATTTTATTCTCCCTTTTCAGTGGGATCATGAGACCTGGTTTAAATGCTATTTTGGGTCCTACGGGAAGTGGCAAATCTTCGTGAGTACATATTTCGAATTCACATTTTAATAAGATATCAGTGCCAAATGGATTCTGTAATGAAGGGGAGATTATTTTTTGTTTAACAAGCTTCTGGAGTATCTTTCCTAACAGTTTCCTCCAGGAAAATGGGATCAGATGAATGATAATGCAACGTTATCCTTCTCAAATGGAGTTTTTCTCTCCATCTATCAGGTTTTTGGATGTACTTGCAGCCAGGAAGGATCCTGCTGGTCTTTCTGGAGAAGTTCTCATCAATGGAGCCCCTCAGCCACCTAATTTCAAATGCCTTTCTGGTTATGTTGTCCAGGTACAATGCATGCATGATATGAGCTCTATATACGAGTCTAAAATGAGTTGCTATAAGGTGTAGGTATGGGATATTGGGATTCAGCATAGAGTTTCCTAGCAATATATTATACGCAAGGTTTATGTGTGTATGTTTAGGATGACATTGTGATGGGCACTCTAACGGTGAGAGAGAACCTCTGTTTCTCGGCTGCACTTCGTTTGTCTTCCCGAGTTAGTCCAAGGGAGAAGGAGGCGAGAGTTAACCACCTCATGTCAGAGCTGGGCCTCAACAAAGTAGCAGATGCAAAGGTGAAATAGCACTTTTTGTCCAGGCTAAATTAGGTATGTCAAGTTTTCTTGCATCCTTGCATTCTTTAACTTATTCTTCCCTCGTGGGTTAAAATGACACCCTAAATTATACTTTATACTTTAAAGCTTTATTTTATTTCATTTTGATAATATTAAAAAAAATTATTTTGAGATTTTTATATATTTTTTTATTTTATTTACCTTCAAATTGATAGATTTGTAGATGGATCAATAAATAAATAGTCATTGAAGCACATTCCTCACATGAACTTATTCTTATTCTTATACTTATGCTTATTCTGCTCCCCCAGAACAACTTAAAACTTAGTAAATTGATTCCTTTAAGTGTTTTTAAGTTGAGAATGAGAAGTTTTGAGTTGGATTCCCTTACATGTCAATGTTTTCATTGAGATTTCATTGTAAGTGCATAATCGGCTTTTATTTGTGTCTTTGTACGTATGTACTGGTGTGATGTAATGCTGCCTATCTTGGCCAGGTCTCCCTTGCAAAAGAGATTTTTAATCTCAATGGGTTTTTTACCTGGTTAAATAAAGGATAATAAAAAAAAAACTTAAATTCAAAATAACTCATTTCATGCATAAACCTTTTAATTCAGCTCAAAATATCTTACATTGGTTGTCTCTACCATCCTTTGTGGGGGAAACAATAATATAACATATTTTATGACTCTAACTATGGCATTATATCACTATTTGGAGCAAATGAGTCCAGTCATTCCGCTGGGTCCTAAAGGAAATTTACCTCCGTATGCATTCAGACACATGTAGTCATTATAAAATAATGACATAATTTTTTGGGATAGTTATAGCATTTTTAAATTGTGAGCATTTTTAGGTTTTTCCGTGTGTACTGAAGGATTCCTCCCATTCCATTCATTCCAAATTGACCTATGAGGGAAGGATTTGTTACTTTTTTAAATGTGAACCACAAAACTCCTCGAATCCATTCAATTTTTGTGTGTGTATTCAGGGTTCAAGTGTGACAAAATTCACGGGGTCTTAGACCCCTCCGATGAAAAATTCCGCGTCAAAATGACCCGAGGGTTAAGTTAATAAAAAAGTGTAAATACTATCATAAAGCTGTTACTTCTTTAAAAGATAAAATTGTACATATAAAGCTCTGCAACATTTTTGATTATCCAACATAAATATTTTAGGTTAAAATTTCTAAATAGTTTAAACCGAAATTATTCGACCCCCATTGCAAATCAGGTTTATTGGCAAAACGTACAGACTTTCAGCTGTTTGCAATGAACAAATCAAACAAGTTATTGAAATAGCTGGAAAAAAGTGGTTTCCCCAAATTCAACTGAAAATGCAACTTTTATTGACTTCTGCGTTCTAACTAATATTCCATGTAGTCTCTACAAAAGATCTAGACCATAAGTGTGCACGTATGTCTACAAAGGTGGGCACGCAGCTTATCCGAGGGATCTCCGGTGGGGAAAGGAAGAGGACCAGCATTGGGATGGAGCTGATCATAGACCCCTCTGTGCTGTTTCTGGACGAGCCCACCACCGGGTTGGATGCTAGTACAGCTCATTCTGTGCTTCTGCTGCTGAAGAGGCCTGTATATTCACAACATCCATTCACTGTCATGGTAACACTAGGTACATTAGTTAACATTAGGTAATGTAGTAACTAACATGAACTGACAGTGAGCAATACATTTGTTACTGTATGTGTTAATCTTTAATGTTAGTTAATAAAAATACAGCTGTTCATTGTTAGTTCACAGTGCATTAACTAATGTTAACAAGATTTTAGTAAATGTTGAAATGAGAATTACCGAGGAATAATAAATTCTGTATATGTGCAGTTTAGCATTGTAGTCAACTAATGAACCTTATTTTAAAGGGATACTCCACTTTTTTTTTGGAAATAGGCTCATTTTACAACTCCCCCAGAGTTAAACTGTTTTTTACTGTTATTGAATCCATTCAGCCGATCTCCGGTTCTGGCGTTACCACTTTTAGCATAGCTTAGCATACATCATTGAAGTACACAAGACCATTAGCATTTCTAAAAAAAAGAAAAAGAAAAAAAAAAGACTAAAGTGGTTCGATATTTGTTACCATTGTCATCTCATAGACGATACTTTTACTTAAATCAGAAAGGGATGTAAAATAAGGCCCATTTTTGAGATATGCGAGTTATCTCATATCATACTATTCAAAAGTTTGGGGTCGGTAAGATTTTGTAATGTTTTTGAAAAAGTCTCTTATGCTCGCAAAATTTTTATTTGATCAAAAATACAGTAAACGGTAACAGTTACTGTCTCAACACTGTTGTGTGTTTGTTTTTCAGAATGGCCGGTCAGGGCCGCACCATCATCATGTCCATTCATCAGCCGAGGTACGCCATCTACCGGCTTTTCGACAGCCTCACCCTGCTGGCCAGCGGCAAACAAGTCTATCACGGACCCGCTCAAGATGCTCTAGACTACTTCACCAACATTGGTACGCATTATTTACTGATACGAAAGCTTAAAAAGCTTTTAAATATGCTTAAAAAACTAGAGTTGAAAGAGACTTTCTTCTAAGATGTGAATATCAGGAGCACAATGCTAACATCTTTACTTGTTTTTTCAATGATATCTTAGGATATGCGTGTGAAGCTCATAATAACCCAGCTGATTTCTTCTTGGACGTCATTAATGGGAGCTCCGCAGCGGTCAACGTGACAAAGATTCATAATAATGGAGGTACTTTGGTTATACTTCTTTTTAAATGGAGTCAGATTCGCTTAATATAAAACATGCCAAAAATGCCAATACCAGGTTTTCCTTGCTTTTTTCTTTCAAGTAAATAGCCTCTTACACTCAGTTTGGCTATAAATAATTAAAGAGATGTTTTGTATTAGTGGTGCATTGCGATCACTTACATGAACTTGCATTATACACCATGTGTAATATCATTGACAGATTTTGGGTTTGAAGTGGCTGCCGTCAGCCAGCAGTGTATTGAGGATCAGCTGGTGGACAAGTACAGAAACTGCAGTTACGCACGGGTCATCAAAGCTGAGCTGGAACGCATCACCCGGGCCAAAGACAGCAATATCAGAGCCGAATGTCACACCATCACCTACAACAGCTCTTTCTTCCAGCAGCTCCACTGGGTGTTGTGGAGAACCTTCTGGAATCTGATGCTGAACCCGCAGACTTCAGTAGCGCAGGTAACGCTGCCATCTGACATCTAACTTCTGTCTGTCTGTTAATCTATTGCTGTTTTCTAAACTTTTTAAATGTTTTATTTATAATAATTATATTAAATGTATCATCCTAAAACCCCAAAATAAAATAAATTCTACTAATACAAACTAATAACTATAAATAAAAAAGTAAATAAATAATTTTGTAAAATAACTTTATTAAAAAAAAATTATAAGGTATATTAAAAATATTAAAACATGTATTTGTGTGTGTGTGTGTGTGTGTGTGTGTGTGTGTGCATATATATATTATTTATATAAATCAAACCAAAATTATTATTATTTTTTTTTATAAATGTATTAAATGTATTTCCCCCAAGCTAAAGAATAAGATATGGAATAAAAAAAAAACAATAATAAAAATAATTTTGTAAAATAACTTTATTAAAAAAATTATAAGGTATATTAAAATATAAAAAATATTAAAATATGTATTTGTATATATATATATATATATATATTACATAAATCAAACCAAAATTATTATTTTTTTTTTAATTTATACATATATTAAACTCTCTGGAGGCATTATAATTTAAATATAAAGAAAATGTCATATTATGAAATCTTCTTAGGGTTTTAAAATATACTTTTTTATGCAAAACAATCTCATTTATTCTATGTAACCTAGGCATGTTTTTCTGAGATCTGAGCATTCAAGTCTAAACAAAGATTTGTTGCCCCAACTGTTAAGATCCAGATTTACGGAGACTTTAGATGCTCATTAACCACCAAATGCCATCAGAGAAACCCTCGATTTAGTCATTATTAACAGCTGATTGCTCCCAGAGGCTTTCGGCTTATTCCTCGAGGTCAGAGCTAAGCGGATCTGGTGACTGTTGTGACCCTGGTCTCGCCCTCCTCGTAGATCTGAAGTGATATGATTATATGATATCTGGCCATGCAGTGTGGATAATTTTTCACGAGCATAACAGAATAGTGTTAACCAGACCATCACCTGACTGGAGTTAACATAAGGGCTGAAGGCTCTGCTGTATTTGCTTAGCCTTTTACTCTGGGAACGACCTTCACACTGCAGACACTCATACGCTGTCAAGAGATTATTGTCAAACTCACTCTTTCTGCCTATTATCTCTGTCCAGTAAATTACGCTAAGATGTTGAGCGGTGCTAATTAGCACGTTGCTTTCCGCTTGCTATATTCTGGGTGGTTGATGCATTGTTGCTGACTAGGATGTTTTGGGTGGTTCAAGTCAAAAGCCATCTAGCAGATTTTGATTTGCCGCTAGTTATTGCCGCAGATTTCGCCAATTACAGTCCAAATAATATCTGGTAACACTTTACAATAAGGTTCAAACATTAATTCATCTTAGTTAATATTAACTTCAAAATAATATCAAAATCAAAAATTTGTATTTTTTAACATTAGTTAATGCACTGTGAACTAAGAAATAATGAACAGCTGGACTTTTATTAACATTAACAAAGATTCATAAATACTGTAACAAATGTATTGTTGATTGTTAGTTAATGTTAACTAATTGACCTTATTGTAAAGTGGGTTACACTTTAATTTAAGGTGTCATTGTTAAATTGTAGTTATATATTTAAGTACTGAGTAAAATTAAGCAACTACATGTACTTACTATAGGGTAGGATTAGGATTTGGTTGAGTTGCATGTAATAATGCATCATTTACTGTTATTACTACGGGAAGTACATGTAACATATGTAACAAGGACACTGTAAAATAAAGTGTTACCTAATATTTTAATGAAAGCATGTTCATGTGTCATCAATACTGTGATCATTTATGCCAGTTTTAGAGTGCACTGCTTGAATTGTGAAGGTTATGTTTGGCAGTTGGCAGTCACGACCCTCATGGCTGCTATTGTTGGTGCCATCTTCTACGGAGTCAAAGATGACCAGAGTGGCATACAGAACAGGCGAGTTCAACTTCTCTCCTGTGTGGCATTAAATAAGTAGCCTAACTTTATTTTAATGCCTTTCTAGGAAGCATTGTGAATGTATATAACGCTTTCGTTCTTGTTCGGAGTGGGCAAAATACACAAATCATGCGTTTAGAGTATAATATGTGGTTTTATGCTTTAGCACTTGGAGCGCCCTCTGCTATCCATAAGGTGCCTCTGCGCACCAGCCATTTCAAACCCATCCTCCGGTATTTGGAGATGGTCCTCACTGCAGAACACGAAATCCAGGGGGAGGAGTTGGATCCAGATCCAACTCCTCCCACCTTACATATACCTAAACGTTGTCCTGCAGAGTTTGGCTCCAACACTGAAAAAAAACTCTCCTGCTTATACCCTTAGTAATCCTGAAGACATTGATTAGCTTTTTCAGGTGTGTTTGATTAGGGTTGGAACTAAATTCTGCAGGACAGAGGCTCTCTAGGACCGAACTTGCCTACCCCTGACCTAAACCTACCAATTTCCGCCCCCTGATCCCTAACCCCACCCCTAATCCTACCCAATTCCGCCCCTTAGATCTGGATCCAACTCCGCCCCCTGGATCTTGTGTTCTGCAATGAGGTGCTACTATTTGGGCCACGCCTCCTTATTTGTATACACTCCTCAGTCCTCAAATGCCCAATCCTAAATACCAAGTTCCTGATCCTAAATCGCTTAGAATGACAGGTCTTTTTCCACCTTTGATGTGACATTGAAACCAACAAATTTTGCGTAGCAAACAATATAAACGCACGATATGCAAATTACACAGATTAGCCAATTTTCTCCAATTCGTCAAAAAAGTAATTAGTTAAAATAAATGAATCAAAGTACTATGTTTATAATATATATATATATATATATATATATATATATATATTTAGAAAAGGCATGCAAGCTTTTCTCTGAGTAAAACACATGTACTTACTTTATATAATTTTTTGTAGTTCCATGTAATTGTCACAATTTTCTTTTTAGGTTCGGTGTTTTGTTCTTCATCACGACGAATCAGTGTTTCAGCACACTCTCCGCAGCCGAGCTCTTCATCGCGGAGCGCAAACTGTTTATGTATGTACTTCAGAAGTTTCATCAGTTTATTATTTTGAACTATTTTATATTGTAATTGTAATTTATTTATTTTATAATAATAATATTTATATATTTAAATAATATAAGTAAAAAATAAATATTTATATTTTAAGTATATATATATAGTTTTTAATTTCATACACCATTTAATTTTTCTATTTACTTATAATTATCTTATATTATAATTGTAATTTTTTATTTTATGACAATTAAAATAATATAATTCAAAAAATGATAAATATATAATTAAACATTTATAATTTAAGTATTTTTTAAAGATTTCATACACTATTTTCATGTTTCTATGTATTATTTTATATTGTAATTTATTTATTTTATGATAATTAAAATAATATAATTCGAAATTTGTTTTTTTTAAAGAAAGTATATATTTTAAGATTTCATTCATCATTTCATGTTTCTATATTTATTATTCATAATTTATATTATAATTATAATTTATGTATTTCATAGTAGTTAAAATATAATTTAAAAAATGATTAAAACTTTGAATTAAGTATATATTTTTAAGATTCTAATTGTATTTTTTATAATTAAAAAAAAAAAATATTTATTTATTTTTCTCTTTTTGCAGTCATGAATACACAAGTGGATACTACAGAGTGTCCGTCTACTTCCTGTCTAAGATCCTGTCTGACATCATCACTCAGCGCACAATCCCTACCGTACTCTTCACTTGTGTTATTTACTTCATGATCGGTAAACATTATACACGCTTAAACCCTAAAGAGGCAGCACACGATTGCATAATCCTTATGTTTTCTGTAAACTTATAACCCACAGTATCTACATTTAGCCTGCAAATTAAATAAAAAATAGCATCAAATTGTTTTAACATGTTGAAAATGTCTTTGTTTTGCAGGGCTGAAACCCACAGTGTCAGCGTTCTTCATCTTCATGCTGACAGTGATTCTAGTGGCTTGTACAGCGGCGGCCATGGCCATGGCCATCTCAGCCGACCAATCAGTGGTGGCGGTGGCCAACATCTTCATGACCATTAGCTTCATCTTCATGATGGCAAGTGCATATTGCAGAACAAGTGTTTTAACCGCAGAGTAGACCTGTTCTTTTCTCTTTAACCGAATGTGTGTCCAGATCTTCTCTGGTCTGCTGGTTAACCTGAAGAGCATCATGGACTGGCTGTCCTGGTTGAAGTATCTCAGCATCCCTCGCTATGGGCTTGAGGTATGAACTTTCACTCTCTTTTTCTTTTGAGAGATTTTCTGTTGAGGTGATATTTTTATGATGGTTGGTCTAATCTTTTGAACAGGCATTGGAGATAAATGAGTTCTTGGGGCTGAATTTTTGTGGGAATGTCTCTGCTGTGATGAGCGGCCCTGCAACCGACATCATCATGTATGTACAAATATGTGTTATATATATATATATATATATATATATATATATTGATATGTGTGGTAAATAGTCTCTACAGGTGTAGAATTGTGTATATTGTGGCAGTTTATCTTGTATAAAACAATATTGTTACATGTTAAACCACAAATAAATGCAAGTAGGTTATTTTTTTTTAACTTTCTATTCATTAAAGAATCCTGGGAAAAATATATCATAGTTTCCACAAAAATAGTAAGCAGCACAACTGTTTTCAACATTGATAATAATTAGAAATGTTTCTTGAGCATCAAATCAGTGTTTTAGATTTCTGAAGGATCATGTGACACTGAAGACTGGAGGAATGATGCTGAAATAAATTAATAAATTTAACAGCAATAAATTACATTTTAATATTACAATAGAAAACAGTTATTTTAAATTGTAATAATATTTCACAATATTACTGTTTTTTTGGTCAAATAATTGCCGCATTAGTAAATATAAGAGACTTTTTTTTCCCAAAACATTTAAAAAAATATATATTCCCAACCTTTTGAATGGTAGTGTATACATGTATCTGATTTTTTTTTGTTATGTTCTACTACATATTCAGTGCATTATATTTTGCAGCTGCACAGGAGAACAGCACCTGACGTTCCAGGGAATCGATTACTCATCCTGGGGTTTATGGCAGAACCACGTCGCACTTACAGTCATGACTTCGATCTTTCTCTTCATCGCTTACATCAAGCTCAGATTCATTCATAAGTTCTCATAAATGTTCCGATTTGTGTTAAATGTCAGCTTTATCATATAGTATAATTGTATCCCTCTTGGTAACGCTTCCTTTTACAGTACAGTACTTACAGTGTACTTACCTAGAAAGTACTGGCTAATATAAGGTAAGTACATGGAACAGGGGTAGGTTCAGGGTTAGTAGTAGTTATTACCCAGTAATTGTAGTTACTAAAATAAGTACATAGTATTTACATGGGTAACTGGACTGTAAAAGGAAGCGTTACCTAAGGATGTACATAGATGTGATTCTTTTAATACTGATTTCATCCCAAGTTCTAGATTGTAAAGGTCAAAAGGGTTTGATAGTCAAAAACTGGCCCTATTTACTTTCCACATACACATAACTGGTCTTACTATGAACAATTGTAATGTATATTATTTTTCCAGTCTGATCAACATGTCCCCTTCTTTCTTTCTTTTTTTAATCAAACATGTCACACCAAGAACGATAACTCTATTCGAGTCCACACCAATGCATTATTATAAGCATGCGCTTCAGCTTTGTAGCCTGCCACCATAAAGGAGTAGTTCACTTTTAAAAAAAACTTTTGCTGATAATTTACTCACCCCCATGATCATCCAAGTCGAAAAGAAATTAAGGTTTTTGATTAAAACATTCCAGGATTTTTCTCCATATAATGGACTTCAATGGGAACCAAACGGTTCAAGGTCCAAAAGACAGTTTCATTGCAAACTGCAAACTGTTCAAAGGTCTTTAAACGATTCCAGACGATGAATAAGGGACTTATCAAGTGAAACGATCGCTTATTTAATAAATAAATAACAAAGTTGAAGTTTTATAAGCTCAAATGCTCGCCTTGCTCTGTTCTGCGATGCGCGTTCGTGACTCTCCTGTTCGAACTTGTTCAACAAAATGAACAAATCTTTTTTCGAGTCATTGGGTTCATATAACAAACGAAATGAACGTATTGACTCGGGGGGAAAAAACGGTCTTTTTAGACCTTGAATGGTTTGGTTCCTATTGAAGTCCATTATATGGAGAAAATCCTGGAATGTTTTCATCAAAAACTTTAATTTCTTTTCGACTGAAGAAAGAAAGACATGGATATCTTGGATGACAAGGGGGTGAGTAAATTATCAGCAAAAGTCTTGAACTATTCCTTTAAAAGCAGGGTGGATTCTGATTGGCTGTCAGTGTTTTTATAGTTTATCAGCTGAAAAAAAAAATATGATTCCATTTCCAACGATATCGATTCTCTGTGCCATTATTATTATAGTTGTGTGAACTCTGCTATTCTTTCATATTTAGAATGATTTTTAAAACCATATCGTCACAGTTGGTGTGAGCGGGGCTTTGGAGAAATAAAATGGGCTGTAATAAATCTAAACATTATTATTATAGTACAATTATGGAGATTTTTTTGTAAACCTACACTAAGTTTAATGAATTGCGCTAATCAGCTTAAACCTAAATATTTTGTCACCCCCAATCCTTTGAATAATGAATAATTTGAACCCCTATGTTACAAACAGGACTAGGGTTGTGCACTGGCACGGCTCGCTCCTTCATAATCCATGTAATTGGTCTTAATGAGTTGTAATCCACTGCAAACATCAGTGAGATTACTGAAGTGCTAAAAGCACAGACGAAAGCTAGCAAATTCTTTCACTGATATCTACACAATATCCCTTTACAGTCGAGGGCATCATGACTGGGATCAAGCTACACGTGCTTCGTGAACAAATAATGAGCACATGATGAGTTGAGTTTCAATGGTTTTTATTTCAAATGACTGTCGTATTGAACTGTAAATAATGTGTATGTAAAAATTGGAGAGTACCATAGTTACAGAGGTTATTGCACACATGAAAAAAACCCCATTAAAGCTGCAGTACGTAATTTTTTTGCGTGTTCAAAATTTATAATAATGAGCAAGTACATCATGAATCCATTTTCCAATCTTGAATCACTACGATACACCTATAATAATTGTTTATATTCTGATTTGTTCATCCATAAGCTTATTAACCACTAGAGCGCCAAGAATTACGGACTGCAGCTTTAAGATCTTGGATATTTTTATTCTTAAAGGAGAAGTGTGTAATTTCTGGTTCTCTAGCGGCACCAAACGGTTCACTCAGCGACGGCCCCAACATAACAAATTTGTCTTAATATTCGGCGTGTTTGAAAACGGCTAGTTGTGCAGAAACTATATACTTTATTGTAAATCCTATCTTAAGACAAATACGCATGGGTTTCCCATGAAATCAGATGCACTCCAAATCGAAGTTTGTTTCAAATTACAAAAAGTATCAAAATGATTCAAGTTTCATAATTATTAAAAAATAAATGTATAAATGATTAACAGAACATGCCACAATTGTATTAAATCAAGACAAGAACTATAAAATATGCAAAGCAAACCATAAACTTGAGTGAAATTGCACCAAAGTTGATATATACTGTGTAAAGCAATGTGACCACCTTCATTTTTCATTCTTTTCACAAGTTTTTGTGTTTATGAATAGCTATTTTCACACATTTCTTCTTCTGATTCTATATAGAATGATATTGGTCCTTGCTGAGCATTATTTCCTTCATTACATTCATCATTGTAAGCTTTCCAGCTGGCTTCTTCATTACTGTTGAAACTGGACTTGAATACTGTGAAAGCTTAATGAATAACTAAGTATATACTGCATTTATTTGCATAGCAGGATACAGAACGAAAAACTACAATGACTTCTAAATGTTTTTAGAGACTATTAAGTTCGTCACAAGTGTCTTGAACACAATCTACTAATATTCATTTTGAATAGTGTCTCTATTGTAACGTTTTATCATTTGATACTTGCTACTTTCATGGATTACAGTTTCATTTTTTTCGTTTGTCAAATCAACTTAAATAATTTATTTGGTTCAGATAACATAATATTTTGAGTTTCTGATGATTAAATCAATCTCCTTCATTGTATTAACTCAATTTTTCCATTTCAATGAACTTAAAATTTTAAGGCAACCAGGTTACTTCATTTTTTAAGTTAAACCAACAATATTTTTTTTTTACAGTATGTGGTTTCTAATGTTATAAAATGGATCAAGAAATATTTGGGATGAGTGTTTACTGTAAATTAGGAGTTTGATGAAATGATTGCATCAGTATAATTATAGCTAGGATTGAAAGCAAAATACACATCAAATTCCAAATACATGTTAATATGAGTAAACTAAAGCTAAGCTGCCACTGACTGACCTTAAATCTGATTTGCTTTATTAGGACGTCTACAAAAAAACTCTTTTCAATGAGAAATGTATCTTCATTTTTTGCATTATAAAGCACTGTAAAGCCCCGATTAACTTTAATATAAAGAAACACAAATAAATAGCTTTGATGCAGGACTATTTAACAGCTGTGGCTTTAATACTTTTAAGTAGGTTTTGCCCAGTGCACTGCACCAAATTGTGAAACAATGAAATTCATGATCGGTAGGAATGTTTTTTGACAAGCGAACCCCTTCAAATGTGTCCGGCAGCACTGGCCGCACCATCCGGGCCCTCATTGGACAGCGAGGAGGGTGAGCGGGAACTGCGCGGGCGGAGCTGAGCGGACGAGATGATGGGAGTGGCCTGATGGTGGCTCACCTGTGACATCGTGTCATCAGACTCCCAGCGCTCCAGTTCGTCTCTCACCAGCCGGTCCATTTGCTCTCGGCGCAGCTCTGGATCTCGCCCCGTTCTTTCGTCCTGAGGGCACAAGTTAATGCGTCTGAATTATTTGCACCGATCCAGTTGACAAAAAAAAATGACCCATTGTACATGTTCTGTGTGGACCAGCCCAAAGGCATTTTGGGAGTCAAGAGCACGCTCCAGGTAAGTAAAGTTTTTAGCAACAAATAATTTGTCTTAGAGCGAAAAGTGCTGCCCAACATCACACATATAAGTTATATAATGCATTCGTATTTTTATTTAATACTTCATGTGGAAAATTATAAGACAGTTTTTGAATCATTTTTTTTAGTAATTTGATTATTAAAGTATGAAATAATTTAGTTTTTTTATGCAATTATGTGATCAAAAATACAGTAAAAACTAATATTGTGAACTATAATTACAATGTAAAATATTTATTTCTGTAGTAATATATTTTAAAATGTAATTTACTCCTGTGATGTTAGAGCAGAACTTTTTTCTTTCTATCTTTAATTTTTATTTATTGTTTTTATTAATACTTTTGAATTAGAATGGAAATATTAAATGGATCAAAATGAGCAGTAAAACAGATTTAAAATTGTAAGATTTAGGATTTTAAAACATGCTGTTAATTTTACTTTCAATTCATGAAATAATCCTGAAAAAATGTATCACGATTTCCTCAAAAAATAAGCGGCAAAAACTGTTTTCTACATTAATTATAAGAAACATTATTAATAACTGAGCTACAATAATAATTGAGCAGCAAATCAACATATTAGAATGATTTCTGAAGGATTATGTGACACTGAAGAAAACCGTTTATATATATATATATATATATATATTATAGTAAATATTAAAAATGCAGTGTTTATTTAATACATGTTTTATACTTGTGTGTGGTTTTCTAGGTTTTCAGACACTGCAAAACCACTGGTAGATCTTATCATAATGCTATCGCAATGTTAAAGGTGCATCTATGTAACTTGCATTCTCAATCTGGCAACCCGCCTGAGCATCGAGTCTGAGGAGGAGGGGGCGGGGGATACAACAATCTCCAATATTTTGAATTTTTATTTCCACCACTAGCTGTCCTTCTTACACACTGCACCTTTAATGTTATAATGCAAATGTGTAAACATTTTTCAACCATTTTTTATCATTACCTCCATGACTCCATCCAGGATCCGTCCAAGCACATCTCTCCTCTTCATCTTGGCTCTCTCCATGGCCTCTAACTTCACGATAACGGCGTCAATCTTTGACACAATGCTGCCGATCGAGTGCTCCATGCGGTCCACTCGACGTACAAGCCTGATGGGCCACATCAAGCACAACATGCTTTTCAGTTAGAGGTCAAACATCGGATATTGTGAAAGCGTAATACCAGTGACAGATGATGTTTACACTTGAAACTCCTCGTATGACACGCCTCCTGAGCTGCTGCCACGGCGACGAGAGCTGTGTCCACTGTCCTCATCATCGTCCTCCTCAGAGTCGTCATGGCTACGAGAGAAGCTCCGCCCACTCACTGGCCTGGGCAGTGAACTGTGCTCCAGATCCAAGTCCTCCTGGCGAGTGTTCAACAGATACTAAACATCTGCTCCAGTGTCGTTTAGTGGGTTCACATTTGGCATATTTGGTTGGATTAAAACCAACTCGGATGCGATTGCTCTGTTAGTGCGGTTCATTTGAAGCACTTGACTAGTGCAATGCCCGTGCAAAATCAGTTTTTTTGTGTTTTTAGTAATTGTTGGTTTGGTATGTTTGAGTTGCTGAATAGCCTAGGCTACTATTACACAGGAGCCTAAACTCTGAGAAAACGATAACGTTAAGCAAACCAGAATAAAATATAATATTCAGGATTAAACAGTGTAGCTGATTTACAGATTCAGTTAAATCACTTCTTTTTCAAAAGTGAATCGCTACTTTTTTCAAAAAGAATCGCTACTTTTTCAAAAGTGAATCAATACTTTTTCAAAAAAAAAAAAGAATTGCTACTTTTTGACAAAGAATCGCTACTTTTTCAAAAGTGAATCAATACTTTTTCAAAAAAAGAATCGCTACTTTTTAAAAAAAGAATCGCTACTTTTTGAAAAAGAATCGCTACTTTTTCAAAAGTGAATCAATACTTTTTCAAAAATGAATCGCTACTTTTCACAAATGAATTGCTACTTTTTCATAGTTCTATACATAGTTTTTAAACTATGTGTAGTTACATTGTAATAAACAATTATATTGTAATAAACATATAATAAGACTGTAACAAATGTATAATTACATTTTTACACTACTTTTTTCAAAAAGAATCGCTACTTTTTTGTATAAGTATAATTACAATGTAATAAACGTATACTAAGACTGTAACAAATGTATACTTACTTTTTTACACTACTTTTTTCAAAAAGAAAAATATAAAAAAATAATAATGTAACAACTGTATAATAACACTGTAATAAATGTATAATTACATTGATAAGCATATAATTAAATTGTAATAAATGTATAATAATAACTTTGAAAAGAATCGCTACTTTTTACTTTAGAAGTAAACAGTGTAGCTGACTTAATGTTTAGCTGACAGAATGTTTATTTTTTAAACCACAATTTTTGAACCACAACCCCCTCTAATGTCAGAATGTTTATTTTTAAACCACAATTTTTGAACCACAACCCTCTCTAATGTCAGAATGTTTATTTTTAAACCACAACTTCAATGTGTGCTTCTTTGACACATATATTATTTACTGATATATTTGCATTTCTAATCCAAACAACGTCAAACTCTGCACTGCACTTACTCGTGCCCTCTAAACATCTCTAAACGAACCAGTAATGAATGTTTTTTCTCCCTCTTTGATCCAGATCAAGCGAACCAAACCACAGGTGTGAACACACCCTTTATAAATTAAGTTCTTTATTTAAAAAGTTTTAATAGTGCTCTTGAATTTTTTGGAGCATTTCTGTGGCTCAAACAGTAGATCATGGCACTAACAACGCCATGGTCATTGGTTTAATTCCCAGGGAATGCATGTACTAATGAGATGAATGTAATGTAAGCGACTACCAAATGCATAAATATAAATTGTTTTCTTTGGTCCATTTAGGGTGCGTTCAGACTTACAGTTCAGTTCGTTTGTTTCAACAAAAAAAACTTTTAGCATTCACATTGGAATTTTAACACCAAGCCTAAACGCATAGGGATGCATTCACAACCTGATTGGTCGGCTTGTCCATTTGGACCATGTTGCGTTCATATTTCATTTGAACCGCACTAGAGTTGGTTTGGAAGCAGATCGAGACTCATCTTTTCAAGCGCCTCTCTCTGCTTGTTTGAGGCACCAAGGTTCAGATGGCAGTGTACACACTTATTCAAATGAACCGCACTAATAGAGAAAATCGCACCAGGATTCGTTTTACTTGGACCAAACATGCACCCTTGAATGAAGTGACATGTTACAAAAACAAAACTAATTGTACAACTTCATTCAGCATTAGTTTTTCACTCACTCGCTCTTTCTCCAGGTCATCTCTCATTTGTTGGTGCTCGTGTTCAGTCAGTTCCTGATCTCCGTCGAGGTCATACTTGGCAAAAATGGCTTCAATCTCAGCATCTGAATGGCCCTTTCTGTGTAAAAACACACAAAAACAATTCGCATTGATCGTTGCGTCCATTTGTATAATTTAGTGTAGATAAATGTTTCTCACCCTCTGAGGTCTTGCCGGAGCTCATCGAAGCTGAGTTTGCCAGTAGCCTGGTGTAAGCTGTCTGGGATGTCATTGATGGAAGTCTTCTTCAGCTTGAGTTTTACCATCGCCCTGTTATAGCCCTTTTTGATAAGGTCTGTAATCTCCATTTCTGACCTCTGCTGGGCCATGTCAGCTTTCACCTCCGAGTACGTGTCATTGATGATGGCCAAGAACATATTCTGAACAAAGCAAAATCCACCAGTCAAACATTAGGATTCCTTCTTTCATATTCGATTTATTTTATTTTCAAGCTATTTCTTTTAGCTCAAATAGTAGAGCGTGGCACTTGCATTTCCAGGGAAAGCAAAAGCTTATAAAATGTAGAAGAATCGATATACTTCGAAATTGAAAGAATGAACTGGTGTGATGTCATTTCAAACAAAATAATGACAGAACGAAAGTTCATTTAGAGTTCTTCTCTGGAGTTCGGAAAAACAAACAACAAAGAAAGAAAAAGAACTTTGCCAATATTTTGGGGCCTTAAAGGTACAGTTCACCCAAAAATTCTGTCATCGTTTACTCACCCTTAAAGGGATTCTCCACTTTTTTTGGAAATAGGCTCATTTTACAACTTCCCCAGAGTTAAACGGTTGAGTTTTACCATTTTCAAATCCATTCAGCCGATTTTCTGATATTTAGAAGAATATCAGTAACCAGACAGTTTCTGGTCTCATTGACTTCCATAGTAGAAAAAACATATACTATGGAAGTCAATGGGACCAGAAACTGTCTAGTTACTGATATTCTTCTAAATATCAGAAAATCAGCTGAATGGATTCGAAAACGGTAAAACCTAACTGTTTAACTCGTAAAATGAGCCTATTTCCAAAAAAAGTGGAGTATCCCTTTAAGTTGTTCCAAACCTGTATGAGTTTCTTTCTTCTGTTGAACACAAAATAAAGTAATTTGAAGATTAACAACATTCTTTAAAATTTCTTGTTTTGTGTTCAAGGCTGAGTAAGTAATACATTGAACTATCCATTTAAACCTTCAATCATGGAAGAGGAGAGAGGGGAATTGGACCGGGAAAGGACATCAAGATGAAACGTATTAAAATAATTTGAATCCTATTTTATTTTTAAGGTTCAGTTCATGTCATTTATGTCAAGTTCCTCTTTCTGTGTTTACCAGCAAAATCATGAAGATGAAGAACACAAAGGTGGTGAAGTAAATGGGTCCCAACACGCTGTCGGCCTCCTCGATTTCCGAGAAGTCAAAATCACCCAGAATGATCCGGAACTGCGTGAAACTGTGAGCAACAGAAACCACCAACATTAACAATATTCATAAAAAAAGTGTATTAAAACTAAATAAAAACATTTATTATTAAATTAATTACTTTTGAAATAATATATATATATATATATATATATATATATATACGTAATTCTATATATATACGGGGGGACATGTTTTTAAGTTTCACTTGTTGATTGGATGTGAAGATGTGGGTGTGGCACCCAAAAATGAGGGTAGATGAGCGTGAGATTGCAGAGTCAGGGTTTAAGCGGACTACATGATTGGAGAAGTGCTGCATTCATTACGTCAGGCGTTTTCAATTTCAACGGAAGATTGATTTAGGCTCAATTTTTTAAGAGGTCAAAAACATACATGGATGAAATGTTCACAATAAGATCTATAACAGTGTGTATTTTCATTTCATGCCAACTTTAGCTAAACGTGTATGAAATTTTTCTAAATAGCTGACGTTTTTGTGAATTACTTCATTTTTGTTGTTTATATAACAATATATTCTGAGTGTAGGTTATTTAAATGCATCCAAAACTCACATGCAGGCCTGAAATGTGCTGAAGTCGTTGACCTGAGTTCCAAAAACTAAATATGCCAGCTGCGCGTAGGCCAGGAACACGATGAAAAACATGATAGCGAAACCCATCAGGTCCTTGGCGCAGCGTGACATGGTGGTGGACAGCTGATTCATGGTCTTGTTGAAATTAATAAACTTAAAAAGCTGTGGGAGAATCAAGATGGTTGTATTTTGAGGAAACAACAACAACTAAAAATCATTTTGGAATGACAAATGTTGAGATAACACCTCACCTTCACCCATGAGAGGAAGACAATGACGGCAGCCAGGTTGTTGAAGTGAACCTGAAGGCGAGCGAGCGGCTCAAAGTTGGGGTATGTGCTGTGGTTCTCCAGCAGGAAGTGAAGTCTGTGACTGACCGCTGATGTTCTACAGATGTTCATAATGATGGCTGGAACACTGAGCTGTGATGGTGATGAAGACGATGAACCAAAGTGTCATGCTCAAAAGCACAAAACACACTGGCTAGAGTAAGCTATACATATGGAGCGTCTGAAATATGTGACTTACTGTAACAATGAGAACGTCCAAGCAGTTCCACAGACTCTTGAAGTAACGCAAACGATGCAAGCGGATCTCTAGAACTTCTTCCACCAGGTAATACAGCACAAAGAGGCAGAAAGCCACTTCACACATGCCCACAAAGTAGTCCCAGCTGGACACGTAGCGGATAAGACGCACCGTCTGGAACTGCCATGAGGTCACGGCGCCCCCTGTGGCAGGAAACTCTGCTAGCAACCTACAGAAAACCAGCAGGAGACAGGTCTTTGAGGAAAGGTGGTATTTTGAGGCAAGAAAAGTAGAGCGAGGATGCTAAAGCCATGCTGTATTTTATTATAAATCATATAGGCTAGCATGCGAAAAAACTAATTAAATTTGTTCCTAACACGCTCATTACTACGATTTATTAATTCGTTCCCTCATTTTAGTTAAATCATAGCCAGGAGGATTTTACTGAATCAAAGTAGTTTGAGGCCATAATTTATCCAAAACGAGGGTTTTGGATAAATAAGTCTTAAGGCCTGTTCACACCAGGACGAATTTCGCGCGCGTTATTCGCCGACGTTTAACGCCTCGTGACTAAACAATGGGTGCCAATGTGAGTGTGCACACCGGAGCGTAAAGCGCTATTTAAAAAAAAAAACGCCTCAGGTTCATTTTTTTTGTTTGACACTCTGCGTCAAAAACTCTCCGACCAATGAGATTGGCGCTTGGCGATTGGAGCTTCTGAAGTTACAGTAAAACACAACTTGGGGGCGCTCAAACACAAAACGGTCTTTTGTTTTGTCAACTGTTATGGAGTGGTATTGCAGAGCAAATGGGCGCCATCTAATGTCAGGGAATGGATTTGCATGTTCGCTAGGCTCATCGTCAGCGAAAATCGCTTTGGTGTGAACACAAAAAACGCGGTAAAAAAACGCTGACAAATAACGCGCGCTGATATTCGTGTAAATTGTACGGGTCTTTATGAACGAATTATTCAACTCATTTAAATTATATGTTTAAAAAAAATGCAAGACAGAAGACCAATCACAGTTTAGTATGCAAATTACACCATTGCGAATGCTAAAGAAGTCAATGGAAGAGCTTTATCTTTTATCTTTTTAAATAGTTTAAATGGAGTCCACATGTTAAACGTAGAGCAATATTTGATGCTATATTTTTATTTTTAAATATATTTGCCATATTTTATTAGTATGCAATATTTATATTTATTGCATGAATTACTATTTAAATAGAGTTTTTCATTTAGATAAATAACGTTTTTTATTAAATAAAATGCTATATTTATTAATATTTATGCAATATTTTATTATAAAAATAACTTTTTAAATTTAGTTTTTTTTTAAGTTAAGTGGATGCATGCATGATTTTCAAAATTTCTTAAATTTCTTTTCAAAAAGTACAAGTTTGAATAGTATGTTGCAAAAAATAAATTGCAAAAATTAGAATAAAACTAAATGAGCGTTAAATCCCATGCACTTACAACACAGCTTCAGTCCATTACCTGACAATACAAAACAGGTTAACGTTGCCATTGTAGACGGAGAAGTCCAGGAACACTGCTCTAGTGCCACGGTCCAACCAGAGGTTGTTTTTCAACTCTTGCAGCTGATTGGACGACTTCTCTCGAGTGCGTGAAAGGTCCTGGTAGTAACCTCCACCGTCATAAGTCGACACCTGACCCCAGTAGCTGCTCTCACCCAGACTGCTCTCCTCAGAGTACCTCCACCTGACAGATAAACGGCATGAGAAACCTTTTCAAGACCAAAGATCCAAAAAAACATTCAAAATAAGCTATCCGTGTATTTTTACATACGCCGTGCCATTCTTCAGTCCGAATGGTGCCTTGTCCTCATTGGCAGGAGAATAGACATTGTAGCAGTCGTAAACCTCATCCCGCAGGTCTTCGTGGACAGAACAGGACTCGTTGCGCACTTTGAGTTGCCGGAGACGTGGGACGCCCAACAGGAGGTTCTCGTAGTAGATCAGACTCTGGTTTTCTGGGAGGCTCTTGTTGTTGTACCAGACCTCCCAGTACATGCCATTAAGAAAAGGCCCTTCTGTAAACTACAGATAATGTTTTCATTAAGGTCTGTGATGCAGTTGGAACTAATCTGCATTTTTGTTTCTATGAAAGAGCATTAATGACAGAGGAATAATTACTTTCCAGAAGTCTTCCATGGAAGAAAGAGTCTTGAAGGTTGTTGGTTCTCCACCTGTCAGCGGTGTATCCACGAAAAGTTGGGACATGACTTTGGTGTAGTAGTACATGTTGGTGCTCACCATACCGTAGGTTACTAAAACAAATATAAAGACATATGGATCTGGAAAGAGATTGGCTTTTGGGGGTGATAAACCCATGAAAGGCATACTCATAGTAAAAAAAATTCACCTTTAAACATAATATTTAAAACTATGGAGCCCCTAAAGGCACACCGTGATACATGTAAAATGTAAATGCATTTGAGCTGACTATAAATAGTCAAAAAGGGAATTGCTGCTGTGGTCATTTTGAGGAATTAAAGTGCCTGTTATTCCAGAAAGAACGACTGCCAGAGCTGAAGCAGACCAGGGTAATGGACAATTTTAGAAATATTTTTCCATTATGACATGTGATTCTCTATGCGTAATGGCAATTCATTTTGTTACGTTCAAAATAAATAAATCTTTATACTTTTTAAGTATCATTACATTTCATGCTCGATTAAACTGACTCTTCATCTGAGAAATATTTCCAATGCCTGAAAAGCATTAAAAACATTATTGTAACAAGGTGTGTATTCACATATTTATGCATGAAACTGTCCAGAGTCCAACCTACATATGCAGAGCGTGACCAGAAAGAGGATGTAGGTGATCATTTCTCGTAGGACGGTTTTCAGATACATCTCTCTGTTACTGTTGCTCTCGCCCAAAAGACGAGTGTCCCACAGCACTGAAATAGAGAATGAAATGAAGAAATATCAATTTTACACCAAAGTTAATAAGTGAAATTCTCACTTATTTTTTTTCTTAATTATTTTCATCTGAAAGGTTTTATCTATTGCTTGTTATATTGCTTAATGATTTTTAAATAATGATTAAATAAAAAACAATGTACATTCTAAATCTGAAATAAGATTGCACCCTTCCTTAATAAAAGGGATTCCTATCCTAGGGATTCTATATATATATATATATATATATATAAAGTTAGCTAATTACAAATACCAATTACAAAAGCTTATTTAGATTTTACTTGAGATGTTATTTTGGCCCATTTATGAACTTTATAAAAAAAAAGTATGACCCAGCCTAGTAAGGCGATTTGGTAACACTTTAGTTTAGAGTTCAATTCTCACTGTTATTAAGTAACATTAGTTGTTTTTATTAGCATGCATATTAAATAGGATATTCTGTTTATAAAGCACATATTAATTCCCTATTCTGAACGAACATATTACATGCCTTAATTCTACCTAAACTTAGCTAATATCTTTCTAGGTACAGGCACTAATTAGGCAGTGAATAGTTAGATAATAGTGAGAACTGGACCTCTTTTTATTGTTAAACCATTTTTTGAAATGATAGAAATGTTTAAATAATAGAAATGTTGCAATAAAGTTATGTCCCACAACATACATGCAACCCTGTTACCAAAACATATTTAGCCTGGCAGAAGAAGAAAAAAACAATGAGTGACATGATTCACAGGAAATGACACCACTAAGCAGTTTGCTGCCCGAATGGGTAGAAGGCCCGAAAGGTATGTTCTATTTTCGATTTTTCATGTTATTGTACAACTTTTAGCATTGATTGAATGTGTCACTCTAACCAATGCAACCCTGTTACTCTTATTATCAGAATAAGACAAATTAATTTAAAGGTTTTCTTCTTCTTTTTACATAAGTAAATTTGTCCTAAAAATGACAGTAAGAGCTAGCTTTAGCTACAGACTCAGACTTTGACACAGACCGACGGATGGACTGTTATAAGATGTTATTAAATTTTATTTAAGAATTTTCCTGTGTTCCTGATCATTTGTCACATTATTGACGTGATCTTTAATCAAAAATAATATCTATCCAACCCCTGTAGCTTTTCGCAACCCTGTTACTTAAATTTCAACCCTGTTACCATGTAATTTTTATTAAAATAACCATAAATTACTTTTTTAGCTCACAGGGGCTTGAGCTATTGTCCTTAGTTTGAAGGATAATATATTATATATATATTTAGATCAATAAATATACTTTTTTCAGGTTCCTGAGTATTGGTAACAGGGTTGCACCAAGCACAAAAAAGTATTATAAAAAGTTTGCCTTTAATGTCTGAGCTGGACGAATCTAATTATTTAATGGTATATTGCCTGTTTTTAGGAAATAATAGGCTACATAACAAAAATAGTAGCCTAAAATAAAGGGCCAATTTTTCAAAATTATGGATGCCTAAATGTCCTCCAATTCTGGAATGACCCACTTATAGAAGTAAGTTCAAGCAAAATTTCCACCTCTCATTTTCTCGAGTATCCTCTTCCCACAGCTGCGGTGTTCTTGTGCTGGTGGAGTTGGATACAGTCCTCTGTTTATCCGTGCACTGATGCCGGAGAAGCTCCTGGGTCTGCCGTTGCTGCTGCGGCTGGACGCCGTGGACACGGACCTCCTACCCGGGCTCGACGGAGGCCAGTCCGCTTCCATCATCCCCTCCTCCGGCTCGAATCCTGGGTTATCTCGGCTCCACGCCTGTCTGGAGCTGGAGGCGGGTGGGGAGGGGGTCTCATCGGGCACTCCGAGGCCCACTTCAAGTTCTTCATGATGCATTTTTTCCATCTCGATCCCTTCATGGCACGGAGATGTTGCGGGAGATGCCGCCTGGGTCTGCGGTGCTTGAGGACGGACGCGACTGGAACTCATTGTGTCATTTACAGTAACCAAATATAAACAAACATCTTCATTTCAGTAACTAAGTCTGGATGATAGCAACGCTTGCGAAAAGCGCAACGGGACGCCACGAACTCGTATTCAGAAAATCTCGGATTTAAATTTCTTTGAGCAAAAAATTATCGAAGAGTTATTGTTTAAGCTTTTTAAAAACTCTAAATTCACTATTTCGATGGTATGCAACAGAAATAAGTTACGTAAGAAAATTCGACTTTAAACTTCATACAACAACAAAAGTTTTTGTCTGAAAGGACTGATATTGTAAAATAGGAATAGGCTAGTTTACTTGCATGTTTCACTCTAAGATAATTTTGAGTGACTTAGCTTCAGTCCAGCTTTTGTGAGAGAGGGGGAAAGCAGTTTTCCAGTCCACACTCAGCCATCTTTGTTCCCAGTTGTTCCCAGACTAGAGGAATCCAGTTACACACTGACATCAACCTCTGGAAACTTCAACATTTCCCAGCTCCTCCCTTCTGTCCACCTCAATTTCACTGACACTCACAAAATCATTTAAAAGTTCGTTTAATAAAAATGTAAAACAATTGTAAATGGTCATCAATTTATAAAGTGGTAAAAAAAAGTTTTAAAATATTAACCATACATATTCAGTCTAAAAAAGTGACATAATTTGTTCAATTGGTTTAAACTATTGCATTTCACACTCTGTTGTTAATGTTTGCGAATAAGACAAATAAGTTGCCAGGCAACAAGATGATGCCCCCCTCCAGGATTTGATGTGGAAGGATGAGTCACCATTGATGAACCAATCAAGAGATCAAACCAAAACACTTTCTGTCTGATCCCTTCAAGCAGGAATGGATTACTGACCGCCGGGCCCTTTGGAGATACCTGGCCCCTGGGACTTTACAAGTCATAATCCGGTCAAAAAAAACCCCTGTTCTTTACAGTAGAAATTCTTACTCACAAATAAAGTGAACGAAATTTACTTTAAGCCTATACATATTTTCTATCCTGTTATATGGAATGTATGCTTTCTCTTTTGTATGTTACCATTCTCTGCAAAACACCAAACACGTTATATGTAACAACAAAAAAAGTACCCCGAAATAGTTCTTCTTTTTAACCTTTTTTAATTAAATTAAATTGTCTGCCATTCATGTATTTTACAAAGAGCAATATGTTTTGGTCATTAATATTATGCTTTTTAGTATTAAATAAAATAATTAGTGAGCTTGTAAAAAACTTTTTTTGTCAAGTAGGCCTACTGTTTTTTGGGTTTTTTTTTTTTTTTTTTTTTTTGTATCTTCAAATTTGACTTGGTGACTTTGACTTTTTATACATAAAATACATGCATAAAGCACAATACTTACACACTTTTGGGAAACGACTTGATCAGTCGTTTTTCTGGTATTTGCATACAACAGCAAGTCTACAAATTCTACATGGGATATTCAGTGAGTCATACGAAGCCTCCGCAGACAATTTCAAACACATCTCACTGATAATGTTTAGAGAAGAAAATGTTTTTCATCTCTAAATCTCAACTGTGTTGCCTTTTAGCACCTTTACAAGTGCATTCATTGTCTTCCAGTTTCTGTTTGATTTCAAGCCCACCCTGGGTGTTTTTGTGGAAACATTTGGTTACCTAACTTCCCCTTGTCTTTACATAAAAAGGATCCTCCCCAGATCCAGATCACCAACTTATTTATCTTTGTTCCTCAGTGGTGGAATCGACTCCCAACACCTGTTAGAACTGTGGACACACTCCAGACATATGGGTGTATATTGTAAGCTTGTGAAGCTGTATCTACCATGAGGAATCAGACACAGTCAAACGCAGAAGATATTTTGAAGAATGTCAGTAACCAAACAGTTGATGGGCCCCATTCCATATATTTTCTTTCATACAGTCAATGGGGCCCAACAACTGTTTGGTTACTGACCTTCTTCAAAATATCTTCGGTGTTTAGCAGAAGAAAGAAATGCATACAGGTTTGGAACAACTTGAGGGTGAGGAAATTATGACAGAATTGTCATTTTTGGGTCAACTATCTCTTTGACAAAAATGTAACAAAAAAAATGTTGACAAAAAATTTAGTTTTGTATTCATATATATATATATATATATATATATATTGGGTCAATGGAGCTAACACAGATTTCACTTTACAGAGGAAAATATAAAACAGAACATGATTGGTATTCTTCTGCCTATGATTCAGACAAGGCCCGCCCTTGACCTGATACTTGTTTGCTTTCGTTGCCACGGCTATATGAACGACTTCTTAACTGTCTAATCACGAACGACTTGAATGCCATTCTGACCAATCCGATTGGTTAAAGGGTGGAGTCTTGACGCGCTAGAGGCGGGACTTGTCGGAGCCTCCATCACTTCCTGTGCCGCATCCTGTAAAGATCTACGCTTCCTTCTGGAGTTCAATACGCACAGTGCACCCGGCACGTCACTAAAGCAACTTCTGCAAATATATATATCACACTATTTATTTGTTTACCAAGTGTGAATTCAGCAGCTCGTAATGGAGACATTTGGGAACTCGAGTAATAAGAAGCAGAAACTGAGTAACGCCCCCGAGAGTTGGGTGAGTATCACGGTAGCGGCTGTAAATTGGATACATTGCATTGCTAATATAGTTACAGTTACAGTACCACACCTCGTGCTGTGAATAATGGTGTTTGTTTATGATGCATCTGACCCACACAGTATTTGAATTCATAATAAACGAAATCTAGAATAATCGTTCTCGTCATGGAGGTCCTCGGCTTTGATAAGTGAATGCATAACATTAATCCTTTTATTTGTGCATATTGTATGTCAACTAACAGCATTTCTGGCATCACAAGCACGGGTATCATCACTTTTTGGACATGTAACGTTACTATAATATTAACATGGCTTCTTGGACATGCAAATACCATGGTACAATTATATGGAAATAATTCAGTACAACGTTATATAGGCCTATAAATATATTATAGTATTTTTGAATGTTGAATTTTTTGCATTATAGACCTGTGCAATTATTTATACAATATTGTGCAATAGCCTGTTTATAAATATCATCAATCATCAGTAAAATAAAATACGCTGTTTTTTGGGCAACTTCAAATTATTTATATATCTGATACAGCCAATGTCTTTCTTGAAGTGCCTCACTTCAGTCATTCAAACAGGAGGCCTTTGTCAAAGAAATTAAATGAATCTGAATCTGCAATTTGTGCAGGGGATGCAAAGAGCCACCAATGTGACATACCAAGCCCATCATGTGAGCAGAAACAAGCGTGGGCAAGTAGTCGGCACTAGGGGAGGATTTCGAGGATGCACGGTGTGGCTTACAGGTAGAACATGAATGACGTGATGTAATCTTCATGGTTGTGTGTGTCCAAAATGTTCAGTAAATATGAAGACCGCTCTGTTGTGCATCCTCAGGTTTGTCTGGTGCAGGTAAAACGACGGTCAGCATGGCTCTGGAGGAGTATTTGGTGTGTCATGGCATCCCCTGCTACACTATGGATGGAGATAACATCAGGCAGGGCCTCAATAAGAACCTGGGCTTCAGTCCTGAGGACCGTGAGGAGAACATTCGCCGTATCGCGGAAGTGGCAAAACTCTTTGCTGACGCGGGGCTCGTGTGTATCGCCAGCTTCATTTCCCCATACAGCAGGGTGAGTAACATAGGGAGCTGTGTGTATAAGACTTCTTAACCATGTAAAGCCTGACATATCAAATAATTGGAATATCTGTTTATGGAACCTGTTTTGTGTCATATTTGATACATCAGGCTTCTTTTATGAACCATTGAATTTGATGTAGTGAGAATGTGGAGCTCATGGATATGGAGCAAAAAATATACATTTTTCAAACTGAGAAAAAATATACAATTTGGTGCAAATGTTGTTATTTACGTAGCTTTAATTTAATGTAAATCAATGGCATTTTTTTATTGCTGCATGACAACATGAAATACATATAAATATCAGTTGTCGCTTAATATCTTCCAGTGTATCCCAGGAGGATTATATTTAAATTCTTAGTTTTAAGTAGGGCTGTCAAACGATTAATCACATCCAAAATAAAAGTTTGTGTCTACATAATATATGTGGGTGCACTGTGTATAATTATTTTGTATATATATAAATACACACGCATGCATGTATATTTAAGAAAAAAAATATGATTTATATATAAAATATTTATATTTATATATAATAATATATAAAAAAAAATATATATATATATATATATACACTGAATATAAAATAGTGTGTATATATACTGTATATATACATAGTGCACCCACATATTTTATGTAAACACAAACTTTTATTCTGGATGCGATTAATCGTTTGACAGCCCTAGTTTTAAGATAAAAAAAATCTGTAGTTGATATAGCAGGTGGTGAAATATATAATGTAATGCAATAATTTTGAAACCAACAAAAATAAACAAACAAATTCATCAATAGCCTGTTGTATCATATCTGATACATTTTAACATGAGTTTTCAAAAAAAATATGTTTTGATGTGATCAAGTAAACCAAAGTAGCTTTAGTTCAGTGAATGTTATTCTTGATAGGAAAGTTATTCTTATGTTTACTCTATATAGTCATTAAAGATAAAAAATATGAACTATGAATAGGACAGGAGGCATGTAGTGGATTGTGTGCAGTCTAAAACAACTGGTTTTACAGCAAAGTTTTGGTCATTTAGAGGCATAAGAAATGAGATATTTTAGGGCTAAAACATTTGATTAATATTGGTTTGGCCCCAGGACCGCCTGAATGCCAGGAAGATCCATGAAGCAGCTGGTCTTCCGTTCTTTGAGGTGTTTATAGACGCTCCTCTGGATGTGTGTGAGCAGAGAGATGTGAAGGGGCTCTATAAGAGGGCAAGAGCTGGAGAAATCAGAGGTAAGACAATCATGTCAAATCATTTTAGTTTTTTTTTGTAGTCTGCTGCAAATATCCTCATGAAATACAAAGATTACTATTCAGATTCAAACTGCACATTTAAATTTCGTTTGGACTTCATCTCAGTTGCTGTCAGTGTCTATTGAATGTAACTTTTGTCTGTTTGCATCTATGAGATGTAAAGGTGTGATCCCTGAATGCAAATTCCCATTGTTAGCACGTTTCCCATGTTTCCATGTAAAAGGGGTTCTGTCTATATAATGAAGTGCAGCAATTTAAAATCAATGTTTTAAACCTAAATGGATTTGTGTGCTGCTGTCATCAAACTCAAAGCATCCTCTTCAGTTCTGCCAAGATCTTGCAAACCTGATTGTGCAGAAATATGTGAAATGATCGAGTTAGACAAGACAAGGGCCCTGGGATGTTCGGAGGCACTGAAGGAGGATGAAATGTTTTGTCTGAGAAGAAAAAAGCGTTTACTGGATTTTTGCAGAATGACGAAAGAGTGAAGCTTGTGGCCTTTTTGGTGCGCATTATTACTTCATCTTGAGAAACACAATTGTGATATCTGCAGTGTGTATTTTTGAGAGTAAGTTAAAGGTTTTTGAGGTCACACAACTTTTTGAGCAAACAAGAGGTGATTCATTTCCTGAAGATAAGAGACACTGGACTCGCTCTTGACTGACTCAGTGTTTCCTGTTGTTTTTGTTCAATTTAATTTGTATTGCTGTGGACCTGCAAATTCAGTAACGGCCAATCAGATGAAGAGCGACACAGGAAACAACACTCAAACATTACTCGCATTAATCTGAAAGTTGCTTACATCTTGTGATGAGAATGAGTGATGTTTAAACAGGAAGTGACTTATTCACATGATACATGCACAGTACATTTGAGCTGATTTATACGCTGGAGGAAAAATGCTAAATCCTTGTAGCATTACTAAGGACTTTGTCCCGTTTAGTGAAAAACTGCTCTTTTTTTGCAAGAAGTGCATCCCAAGCATGTCTGTTTCTGCTGATGAATGGATTGACGTTTTAAAATAACCGGCGGCTACTCTTGTTGTCCTCAGGGTTCACAGGAATAGACTCTGAGTACGAGAAGCCCGAGGCCCCTGAACTGGTACTAAAGACCGATTCTTGCAGTGTGAACGAGTGCATCCAGCAGCTCCTGGACCTCCTGCAGGAGAGGGTAAAACTGAATTGAAACTCTATTTGAGAGTGTGTAATCTAAATTTCTGATTGTTGCAAGTGGTAAAACATCTCTTGCTACTGAAGTTTTTTGCATTTACATGCACATACTGGTATAAATTGGAATATGGCAATATTACGATTATTATCAAGTCATGTAACTGCCATAGTCTGATTGGCTGATTGAGTTTTTGCTACCCCTGGAATATGCCTGTTTTATTCGGAAATCTTTTGTATGTAAACACACCCCTTCAAGTAAAGCGTTACCAAAAAAAGACACATTTATATGCAAACCACCATTTAATTTTGCATCCGATGACCCTTTTAACATCTTATCTAGATGCTTTCGTCATACTTTGATATAATTGACATTAATGTCTCTGTGATAATGTCTTCACCTTCTGTAGGACATCGTGCCTGTGGACGCGTCCTATGAGGTCAAGGAGCTCTACGTGCCTGAGAACAAGCTGGACTTGGCCAAGGCTGATGCAGAGACTCTTCCAGCAGTGGAGATCACCAAGGTACCACTCCTCGACTGTCACTCAAATTCAGCCTTCTTCAGATGGCCTTTTGACTTGGTTATCTGACCTATATTGGTTTTTAAACACATGCTGTTTAAAAGCTAAAGTGTGTGGTCTGTTGGTGGGTTAGGTGGACATGCAGTGGGTTCAGGTGCTGGCTGAGGGCTGGGCTACTCCTCTGAACGGCTTCATGAGGGAGAGAGAGTTCCTGCAGTGTCTTCACTTCAACTGTCTGCTCGATGGTAAATGCATAATCTCATGGCATACTTTTAGCTTGGATTTCTTTTTTATCTGCTTGTGTTTTCTGAATGCAACACCAGATGGCGACATTAGACAGTGCAATGGACTTTTTCCTACTGGCCGCTATTACATTCAGAAAAGTGATTTTATCAATAATTTCCCCAAATCCTTTTTTTGTCATCCAGATTTAATTGACAACTAGTAAATCATGATGAATCATCATCACATTTCATAACCAATAAGACTTTGAAACACCAAAATTTTGATATTTTTAATGAAACCACGATTGATATGAACATATTTTTGGATATTTTTGAAGTTTTGGTTACTTGGACTTTTCAATGGAAACTCCAGTTGCACTTTATTTTACAGTATGTGCACTTATGTGTACTTACAGTACTGGTTAATATAAAGTAACTACATGGGTTACGGTTAGGTTTAGGGGTAGGTTCAGGCTAAGTACCTGGTTATTACCTATTTACTATAATAAGTACATAGGGGAACAGGACTGTAAAATAAAAATAAAGTGCTACTGAAACTTCTCAGGAAACTTATAGATTTGTGATAATAATGACAGGATTTTGATTTGTGGGTGAACTATGATGGACTAATAATCTAATATTTTACTAATAACCGAATATTTCAGTGCTTCCGGGTCTCGGAATGGGGGGCCTATCACAAAATAAATTTAATTTAAGTGATGGAATCTTAAAGCTTTGCTAGTGTGGATTTGAAATGACAATTAGTGGTAGAAATAAAAGAGTCATTATAGTTTTAATGGAGGGATTTTGGTTTAGGTTGATCACATCCTTTCAAGGAAGTTTGGGGTTTTCAGAAACGGGATTGTCTGAAATAAAAAGTCATCATCCTTTCGATTACGAGAACAACAATGTGTGAATGGCTTTTTAAACCACGAAGTGTTGCTCGCATTTATAAAACTGTTGAATTACAGCAATTTCCCACATCATGCTTGAGTTTCCAAAAAGTGTCAATTTAGTTTTACGACCTTGTAATGCTCTGCCGTGTGTTGTCTCGCCTACTATTCAAATTTATGTTTATAGTATGCATTGATACTCACGCACCTATTGAGATAAAAAATGGGCCTAGTAGACGTTTGACTTGGGATATGACAGAAATACGGCCAGAGAAAGGCGTTAGTGGTTCATGCATTACATCATCAGCGTCATTAGACTTGATTACTGTACATCACACCTTGTGTTATTATTATTTTATCCTTCCAATACGCCCAATTGGACTCTTGTTGGACCAGACTGGCGTCTTTATGAACGCAGTGCATCTTACTGCCTGATACTAGTTTAATTTGGATTGAGCTGAAATGGGACACTCAAAGGGCTTGTTCTTATGGAAAACAGCTGTTTCTGCCATGATGTCGGTGTGTTATATTCCGAAAATGGATTTAAAAGCTTCCCGCTCATATTGCTTTAATCAAGGTGTAGGACCGACCTCTTACTTTCTTAGAAAACTCGCCACATTGACATTCCCTTATCTCGCCTCATAGATCCTTAACTGTTCCCCTTTAGCCCTTTCAAAGCTGTCAATTTCTCAAAGTCTCGGGTTGTTTGATGTATGTGCCGTGCATCTGACCTCTGTTCGTAGGCGGGGTTATTAACCTGTCGGTGCCGGTGGTCCTCCCCGTCTCGAGCTCCGACAAAGAGCGCCTGGACGGCAGCACTGCGTTCGCGCTGGCCTACGGTGGACGGAGAGTCGCCATCCTGCGAAACCCAGAGTTCTACGAGCACCGCAAGGAGGAGCGTTGTTCCCGGCAGTGGGGCACCACATGCAAGGATCATCCATACATCAAGGTCAGAGGTCAAATATGGGCAAAAACCTGCATGTTTAGTAGATTATGAACACTGTGTCCTAACTAGGCAGTGTGTCCAGCATCAAGAAAGCGGAAGATCTGCATGACCCATTACAGTACATTTACATTTATTCATTTAGCTGACGCTTCTATCCAATGGCTATATATGTCAGAGGTCACACACTTCTGGAGCAACTAGGGGTTAAGTGTCTTGCTCAGGGACACATTGGTGTCTCACAGTGGATTCGAACCCGGGTCTCTCACACCAAAGGCATGTGTCTTGTCCACTTATTCTTTGTTCACACTACGTTGCAGTTACTGTAATTACTCGATCAGCCTCAGAGCTGTTCACATCTATGGAATTATGCTTTTATATGGCAACACTGTTAAAGGGATACTCCACTTTTTTTGGAAATAGGCTCATTTTACCACTCCCCCAGAGTTAAACAGTCGAGTTTTACCGTTTTCGAATCCATTCAGTCGATCTTCTGATATTTAGAGGAATATCAGTAACCAGACAGTATCTGGTCTCATTGACTTCCATAGTAGGAAAAAAATCTATACTATGGAAGTCAATGAGACCAGAAACTGTCTGGTTACTGATATTCTTCTAATTATCAGAAAATCGGCTGAATGGATTTGAAAACGGTAAAACTCAACTGTTTAACTCTGGGGGAGTGGTAAAATGAGCCTATTTCCAAAAAAAGTGGAGTATCCCTTTAACGCCAAAATGAATCTGTGTAACTTGATTAATCGGTAGACAAAACCACAATACAACACATTATGCAAATGGCTTATTGATTCATTTATAGTTCATTTAGCGGGACTGGGACATTAGATGGTTATTTCAACTCTTCTAGAAACGTTAAAATTCATTGTATGTCTGTCGTTTTGTTTTCAAATTGATATTTTATTATTAATAAATTAACAAAAGTATAGGAATTTTTAAAAAGAATTGACAATATTGAGTTTCTGCATGATGTTGGAGCACTCAGAATATTCATTTTACAAGTAATTGTTACAAATGACCAAAGCAGATCATACGTAATTTCAAGTTCTACGAGGACGTGAGTGCATTTTATAGGTCGGAATCTCGTAATTATGCTAATTCCGACATGGTGTGAAATTGAATGCATTTATATAAACTATCAGGAACAGTGTTGGGAGTAACGCATTACAAAAGTAATACATTACAGTAACATATTACTTTTTGCTGTAACGCAGTAGTGTAAGGCATTACTAATCAATTTTCAGTAATATTTTACTCGTTACATGTTCAGTGAGGCTTGTATTACAGTTGTATTACAGTGTATTGTCTGCTTTTACTTCTTAAAGGCAACAGACTATGTGAAAGTTTTAAAGCAGTCTTTTAGTGCCAGTTCAGAGCGGTCGCGTCTGTAACATTGTTTTTTCCTCATAAATGCGAACACGAAAGCTAAAATAAAATGAATATTTTAAGTTCTATGGAGACTGGAGAGCCAACCCTTCCTCATCCGATTTGCGCAGTGTAATTAACAGAATTACAAAAAATATATTTTGCCTCCTATTTTTTTGTCACGCATGAATGTGTGTCTTTCCCCTAATATTAAAAATAAAACATAGACTGATATTTGTCTAATGTCTGGAGTCCTTTAAGGAAGTAGCCTATATACGTTTCAATACATTATGTATTTTCTGAGAATTTGTATTTCAAGTTTTGACTGCAAATGTCATGTCCATAATGCTGGACTTCCCCAATTTTAAATAATTTATCCTCAACTAGTTTTGTGGTGTAGGTCTACGTATTTTATGATAACTTTAAATAATACTAATAGCCTAATTTAAAGATAAGACAGCATTGGATATGGACGGTAAGGAGAATAACGCTGGAGTTGGAAGAGGTGTGTCGCGATTCTGTAGGTGACCGGAGTCGTGCGGCGAATCGCGATTTCGGTTTCATATTGCATATCGTTACAGCCCAAAAGTTAAGTTCTACTTCTGTAGTTATTTTGGTGAAAGTAACTCAAAAGTAATACATGAGTAATGTAACGCATTACAATTCTGGGACAGTAATATTGTAAGGTAATGAATTACTTTTAAATAACAGTAACAAGTAATACCTAATGTATTACAGTTTGGAAGTAACTTGCACAACACTGATCAGGAACTTGATTTTGGACCAATGAGATTTCTTATCTTATGTAAGCAGTTGGAAAGGATTAACATTGCCCTGGATCTCATTTTTGTTGTCAGCTCCCTCCCTTTCTTTATTTTCTGACTCACGAACCACCTGGAAAGTCCCGATTATAAACCTGTTGTGAATGAGAGCACTGTTTAGACTACATACATGTTAATGTGAAATCAGAATCACAGTGATTCAGCACCATGATCCATTAACGCATCACTTTTCACCTGTCTGGCACCAGGAACACATTGTCCGATGGTACAAGTGCAGAATTGTTGCTTCGTTGCTATTTATGAATGTTCATGAGCAAATATAATAGCCTTTTCTTGGGTTCAGAACTACATTTGATCATAAACTCACCCCAAACTGTTGCTCTACAGAAATTATAGCTCAAGACTAAAGTATCCTCCTTATTAGGTATTGAAAAAGGGTCATTTTAGGAGGGACTTGATATTTAGAGACCAGTTTTTTTGCTGTACATTTTTCTTTCTTTCTGCAATTATATTTAAAAGAGATTTTCCGCTTAAATTAGTAGTTCACTTTTAAAAAAACTCCATCCTCCAAGATGTCCATGTCTTTCTTTCTTCAGTCGAAAAGAAATTAAGGTTTTTGATGAAAACATTCCAGGATTTTCTCCATATAATGGACTTCAATGGGAACCAAACGGTTCAAGGTCCAAATGAGAGTTTCAGTGCAGCTTCAAAGGGCTTTAAACGACACCAGACGATGAATAAGGGTCTTATCTAGAGAAACGATCGGCCATTTAAAAAATAAATAAAAAAGTTTAAGTTCTATAAGCACAAATTTTCGCCTTGCTCTGTTCTTTGATGAGCGTTCATGACTCTCCTGTTCGAACTCGTTTATCAAAATGAACAAATCTTTTTTCGAGTCACGACTCGAAGGGTCCTAGATAAGACCCTTGTTCATCATCTGGTGTCGTTTAAAGCCCTTTGAAGCTGCACTGAAACTCTCATTTGGACCTTGAACCGTTTGGTTCCCATTGAAGTCCATTATATGGAGAAAAATCCTGGAACGTTTTCATCAAAAACCTTAATTTCTTTTCGACTGAAGAAAGAAAGACGTGGACATCTTGGATGACATGGGGGTGAGTAAATTATCAGCAAGAGTTTTTTTTAAAGTGAACTACTCCTTTAAGTCGCATTTTTGAAGGTAAAGTCATGGATATCTAGTCAGAAACAGCTGACCTGATGCTTTAATAGGCCCCTGTGCGGTCTCATTGCCAAGCTTTCCTTGGACTGCACTTTGACAGAAGACAGAGCCATGATGCCCTCTCACTAGGTCTGTGGAAACAGGGTCTCTCTCTCTTTCTCTCTCTCTCTCATATCTTTGTTCAGTCCTTGCTATAGTAATCTCTTTATTCCTTAACCTCCTTCATTTCACACATGTGTTTTAGTTGGATTTCTCGCCCTGCGTTCTATCCTAACAGTGTTTAGGCAAGTGGCGCTCTCCTCCCCTCCTTTCCCCTCACCTTCCTCTTACAAATCTCGCAGAGTAAATACTGAACAATTGTTTCCATCTGTAAGTAGGGATTGTGGGCTTAGGTGGACTTTAATGGCTCCGCTCTGCTCCAGCTCGCACTAATGGGCGCCAAAGGAGAGCTTTCGGACTCTGGAATGGCCCCGTCTGTCTGCTCGCCTACGGTCACAAATAAACCCATCTCCAGACCCAAGAAAGAAATTGCACACATTGAAGTTTCAAGCAATCAGCTTTCGTTTTATTTACGGTGTTCTGTCGCTCAATGGCATTCTCGTAATAAAGTTTAGATTTACCGCAGTCCATAAACAAGCCAAACAAAAAAAATGATTGATTATTAAATTATATATATATGTATATTGTACATATATCCTCTTGAATATGCTGTTTTTAAAGTTACATTTACAGTTTTACTTTTAAAATCGTTTTAATAAAATTATTGTAATATTGACTAATAGTGTATTTAATTTATTTATATATATTTTTTACATTTTTATATATTTTATAATCTTTTAAAATGCTAATCATTAAATAATACTTGATGTAGACATGCCTAAATTCATGTGCTTTATTTAAAAAATTTTTTTATAGCATATAAGTTAAATGTATCGTCCAGAATTGTATTATTGTTGCATCCCTAGAAAATATCTTGCGAATTCCATATCTTATTGAAATGATTGCAGTTTCTTCCATAAGTTCAGTCAAGGCTCGAGCTGGAACTACCGTCATGCCTGTTTTCATTTTACATGATCATTAATATCACTTACGCTGAAACCCCCCCAAAACAAATGAGTCTGAACATCTGTTTGATTAATATTGTTCCAGAGTGCCCAAAATGGGAAAATTTGCTCTTATGAATGTGGAATATGTGATTATAAGTTCACAGAATAGTTCATCTCATTACTTCACTATGTCTGGTTTGTATGTTAAACTCCGTCTGGTGAAGCACGTCAATCAGTGGGGCTGTAAAACCGGCCTCCATTACGTGTGGTAAATACTCTTTTCCTGTTTATTTCGGCTGTCAGTCTGACAGCTGAGGCCACATTGTGAGATTTGGGATGGGGGGGGGGGATGTTAACCAGACTTGAGAGCATTAACTTAATTACATTATCTATGTTTTTTCCCCTCATTGAAAGGGGTGCAGTGCTCAACCAATGCTCAGTTATTTTCTATGACAGCTAATAGAGTTGATTTACTGTATAGATGTGATGTAGTGCCAACAGATCGCTCACTGAGTTTTTCCACTGCAACGTAAATTAAATAAACGGCTGCTACTGTTGCGCTATACTGTGGCCAGAAAATGACAGCCGCACATGCATTCAGTCTTCAAATGCAAACGCAATGCAACTTATGAAGCCTTTTATTAACATTCACTGCTTTCAGGCCTCTCCAGGATTGCTTAATATGATCACATACTTGCACATAAAGTTCTCAAGCCACCAGTGATGCTGACAAGTCAAATCAATAGATCTTAAGTAAGTCTTGTGAAATGGCATTCTCCATCCTAGCGGCCCCGAATCTGCTGCAAGCTCCGCATACTTCAGCATACTTTACTGGTTCTTAACCCTGGCCAAGTTAGCGGCTCAGCCAATGACCTCCTGAAGGTAAAATATAAGTAAAAGCAGCCAAGAGTTCTAGTCTGATTTGATATGCTAGTCTTGTTTTTAAAAATGAATGTTAAGAAATTCAAGCGAGTCCCAAAAGTGGGAATGACTTGCTTTTAGAGCTTTCTAACTAAGATTGTCAAACTTGTGCCTGGAAACAGTTTCCAATTAGTTGCAATTAGCATTTTTGAGGAAGACCTATTTGGGTTTCTCAACGTTTGCAAGGTTCATGACATCAGATCTTTGAAATGAATACAAGAGTTTTGTAATTTTGTATATTTTCCTGTTTCAGAACCAACTGTGTTTGCCAATTTCAAAGAGTTTCTTCTGTGTTAGTGGACATTTTGTGGCCAGAATATGCTACAATGTGGACGTTCGCTATATTAGACCACTTTCTTACCCTAAACCACCATGCTGAGATTTTAAGATGAAATGTTCTTGCATGTATCATTTGGCTTTCAGAATTTGGAGGGATTCTTATGTTCCTCAAACGTCACAAAGAAAGAACGAGAGTGCAATTGGCAGTTTGTCCAACAACATTGTGCAGATGAGGTTGGAAGTTCATTGCTGTTGTTCCTGATGGTCTTTCCTGCGGCAGATGGTGATGGAGAGTGGAGATTGGCTGGTCGGAGGTGATGTCCAGGTGCTGGATCGGATCTACTGGAACGACGGGCTGGATAGTTACAGGCTCACACCAACCGAACTCAAGCAGAAGTTTAAAGAGATGAACGCAGGTATGGAACAACACTCAGTAGTTGCTCCTTTTGAGACAATTTTGACTATTACATTAGTTTTAATGCAAACAACTATTATTACATATATTGCATTATAGAATTGCTGCAATAAAATGATATGTATGGCAAGTTAAGAGATATTGAACACGTTTCTCTCATTTTTAGATGCCGTCTTTGCCTTCCAACTGCGGAACCCAGTGCATAATGGCCACGCGTTGCTCATGCAGGACACACAGCGACGTCTAATTGAACGTGGCTACCGTCGACCCGTGCTTCTGCTGCACCCGCTGGGAGGCTGGACCAAAGATGATGACGTACCACTGGCCTGGCGCATGAAACAGCATGCAGCTGTGCTGGAGGAAGGGCTGCTTGATCCCAACTCCACCATAGTGGCCATTTTCCCCTCACCGATGATGTACGCCGGCCCCACAGAGGTTAGTGTGGAAAGAAAAGGGACCAAGAACAGACCCCTGAGGCTTACCATTACAATAATAATATGCGGTCAGTTGGTCATTATATAAGTTTTTTCAGTTTTTGTGCTTCGAATGGGAACTCTTGATCATCTAGTCATCTTTTGAAGATTTTATGTTCACTATATACAGTATATAACTATATACTAAAATCCCCCAAGACCATTTTTTTTGCACTTGGTAGCTACTCGTTTTGAGACGCCAGATTCATTTTAGCCTTTGAGATCTTCCTCAATGTGTAAATCCCCAAGTCATTCAATCAATCAATCAACGTTTATTTCTATAGCGCTTTACACAACCGTCAGGTATTCAAAGTGCTTCACATCATAAAAAAAATATTAATTTTTTATAATATTTTTAAGTATCCCATAAAACTCTATTAAATGTGCTTTTTGCTGAGAACGATAATTAAAATAGCGTTTGCAGTCAAGGAACTGTTGTATGGAAAGTTAGCGGTGAGGAAACTTGCGCAGGGCACATTCCTCCTTGAGTACACTGAATTGGTGATCCGTTCCACCTAACCTGTGCTGGAGGCTGAAGACAACAGGGACAGACTCTTCTTGCGGGCATCACGCATCTCTGGACTTTCCTGTAGGAATTGATTTGTGTCTCCTGAAGTGGCTCTTAACAGAACCAAAGTGTTTAGAGGACAGTGGTGTCCCTCTATGATCCATTTGTGTACACACACACACACACAACAAGGACAAACAGGGAGCTTTCTTCTAAAAAAATTGTTTCTGGTGTAGTGTTCCATGGCTATTTTGAAGTCTGTTGTTCTTTAATCATGTGGCCAGGGACATTAAACATTTTATTGGGAGCAGACAGAGTCTGTAAGACTAAAGCAGCCCACAGGAAGCAGTCGTTCGCCTCATTGAGTTATGAGAAGGAAGTAAGGGACATGCTGACTCCACAGAAAAGAATTAGCTTAGGTAGTGTAGGCCAATTCTAATCATGTGTCCATCCAAAATATGTTTTCACTTATTTCAAAATGATGCGTTTTGACATATTGTCCCTATTGCCGTGTCATTGAACAAAATTCCCATTTGTTTTACATTGTTATTGTACGCAGAAATTTAAGTAGGACTGTTCATCAAAAAAATGAAATCTGTCATCATTTACTTATGTTGTGCCAAACCTTTTTTTTTTCTTTCATCAACAACACAAAAGTTGTTCAGCACCGTTTTTTTTTTCTTTTGCTATCTGTTTGACTTTAAAATTTCTAAAAACATACAGCAGTTTTGTCTGAGTAAAAGATAAGAATGTCGTGGGCACTCTCAAATCTCTTTCGCATGCTTTTGGTTGCGAGACATGCGAGAACCAATTGACGTCAAAACTGTTTTATTCATATTCAAATGTACGCATATGTGAATGACATTTGAGAGCTAAGATTTCAAGTGAATTATACTTCAAATTTTGGCCTAACATAAATATTTTATGGTTTCAGAAAACTTGGAATATGGTGTACAAATTGTATGGAGTCCTCATTCACTTTCATTCATTTTTCACACTACTCTTTTTCCAGACATTCTCACTTAATTTGTGTTCCACAGAATGAAGAACGTGAACTGTTTGAACTAACACTCTAATTGATTAGCTTTAAAGAGAAAATATAATAAATTTGAACCGTTTCCAACAGGTCCAGTGGCACTGCAGGGCACGAATGGTGGCCGGGGCCAACTTTTACATAGTGGGCCGTGACCCTGCAGGAATGCCTCATCCGGACACAGGTAAAGATCTCTACGAGCCCTCCCACGGAGCTAAAGTTCTCACCATGGCCCCTGGACTCATATCGCTGGAAATCGTGCCGTTCAAAGTGGCAGCCTACAATAAAGTCAAGAAGGCCATGGATTTTTATGACCCCAAAAAGTAAGTTTATGTATTTTTCCCCATTTAATTTCTCTTCCTTTTTTTAAACTCAAAGTAACTACGATAAGATAAGATAAGATAAGATAAGATAAGAAAAACTGTATTGCCTGTCACAAGTGACGGAAATTTGTCTTTGACAAGACCGACTCGGATAACATAAAAACACATACCAAAACATGGATACACTCAAGACAATTTAGCCACATTAGCTGTACACACTTGTGCAAAATACAAAAATGTGATGTGTTCTATCTATAGTTGTTCAATATAGTAATGGCTGTGAGTAAGTCAAGTGTCTTTATGAATCAAATCTTATCAAGTTCGAGACTTGGACATCATCTTGAGTTGAACTTGCCTCCGTATCAGGCTTCCTCGATTCCTAATCGTGTTGCCAAGAATAACAGGACATTTTTTGTTGTTGTGTGCCTTTACCAAATTATATGGCTTTGTTTCATTCTTTGAAGTCATTTAGAAGTGGAGATCTGCCATTATTCCTCTGGCGCTGTGCAAATTCTGTGGAAGATGACTAACGAAAATCATGCATTTTCGCCGCGTCTCGTCTTGCAATTAATAGCGCCCATCCCGCTATCGAGTTAACAGGCATTTTTAGTCATCCCTGATGAAGACCATGCAGCATGTCAACATGGAGCAAAACTGACAGTACTATGTTGAATGATCTTTATGCAAATGCACGTCCCACACAAAGAGTTTAAAGGAGTATCTAACCAAAAAGAAGGAAAGAAAGAAAATTGTATCAATTACTCACCCTCAGGTCATTCCAAAACCATATGTGGCTATTTTTTTTCCCCCTGGAAAATCAACAGCAACAAAAAAGATCAAGCTTTAAATAGATTTTTCATCTGTCAAGCTTCATAAAGGGCGTTAAGAAAATGGAAACGATACTGAATATTTAATTGGAATACTAAAAAAATAATAGCAAAAATTAACATTTGTAATATTCATTAATCAATATATGGAAAAGAGCAGCTTGTATATTCTGTGAAACGTTCCAAACACGTGTGAAACACAAAAGATGATGACAGCTCTGTTCCTCTGTCTATGTCACGTTCCATTATCATAACTACCTTCATTATGATTAAGTATTGAGATTGCTTACCTTGATATGTCAAGTCAAGTGTCAAGGTGACAGTGGGGCTGGAGGTTGCTGGCATCACTTCCCTCCTCCATCCCAGCAATCGTTTGGAGGGGGTTGGGGTGGCAGACTCGCACTCCGTCTGAGTTTCAAAGAGCCCCGCTTGGCGCCTTAGTAAATTTATGGCGTTCCGTCTGCTCCTTGAGCAGGGTGTTGGGCCTGGCCAAATTTGAGACGAATATGAATGCTGAGCCTAATTGCCAGCCATCCCCCTTAAAGTCCTCCTCTAAAACGGCTCAAATCAGTCCAAGCTGTTTCTCATTTAAATGCATATTAACGGTTCTCTATGGAGTCAGGGTTTATGTGTTCCACCCCTTCACCCCATTGAAGTGACTACCAGGTGGAATGGTGATAATATTCCATAAACCGTCAGTTGTGGGTCCATCCAGTAGTAGGATGCATCATATTTGCATCTTACTATTGGCTGCTTGCTATGGAATTGCTTGGCAGGAATTTTGGGTGGTTACTAGGGTGTTGCTAGCCAGTCACTTGGGTGTTCTGGTTGCTTGTTAGGGCATAGCTAGGGTGTTTTAGTGTGGTTACTAAGATGTTAAGATGTTCCTAAAATGGTTGCCAGGGTGTTCTGGATGTTTGCTAGGATTTTGGTTACTGGGATGTTGCTATGAGAACATTACCTTAAAAAAAAAGAAAAGAAAAGAAAACACAAGAGCTGCGTCCGAAATCGAATACTTCCCTACTATATAGTATGCAGAGTGGAGTAGTATGTCCGAAATCATATAATTCGAAAAACAGTAGGCGAAACGTTCCCGGATGTCCTACTACTTCCGGCGAGATTCTGAAGTGGAAACCGGAGACGAGGCTCTTAACGTTAGGAGATAAACACAGACACACATGCGTATCTCTATTGATTCATTCATGTTTATTTATCGATGGTAATTTTCCTTGCCAAAAATCAACATCTGTCATTGTTCATAGGGGTTGTGTGTGTGTTTTATGAGGTAAAAGTTATTAGGTAAATAAATGTTATTTTAGAAATTCCGCAAAAGTTGCGATCTGCGAGCAGCTGACCGACGCCTCCTCTTGATCGTCGGCTCGGATGACGTAAAAACACAGATGAAAACAGAAAGCAGAACTTAAAACAGCGCGAAGTGGGTGCAGTCTTTGGAATGGGCTCTTTAAATTTTCGCATTGTTGTGACCACGTATGTCACACGAGAGCAACATGGCGCATGTAGTACGTCCGGATTCATTCATACTACCCGTATTTTCACTATATAGAACGTACTTTTTTAACGGTCGCGAAGTACATGCTTATTTAAATATAGTACACGATTTCGGACGCAGCCATGATGTCTTTACCAAAAAATACAGTAACAATTTAAATATTGTGAATTATTACATGTTACAACTCTCTGGAATCCTTGATTCTGATTGGTCAATTGCACCATCCTTGATAACGATAACAACATTAAAAACGGATAACACAGACTCATCCGAGTAACTAAAGTCGGTGCTTTACGCTTGTTAGGAACGGGTTTTCCTCATGGGAGTTTTGCGTTCGGTGAGCTAATAAAATCATAGGTCTATTCAAATCAGTATTTAGTGTAGAGTTATTTAATGATGTCATGCGGGTATTGCAGACTGGCTCTCTGTTGAAAAAAAAAAAACAACTGCTGCTGTTTTGCAACGATTGTTTTGTACACTGTAATAGATAATAAGATAACAAACAGGTACGATTTTTAAACGGTTTCATCTCAAATCAACATCTCTAATCCCCATAATTATTCATGAGGTGAAATGCCGTGTAATACATGTCTGTCTAGTTTGAACTTGCCACAAAAAAAGTCTAATTATTTACTTGTGTGGCAAGTAGCCGTGTAATAAGTGGGGTAATGTACATTTATCCCTTACTTAATTCAGCTAACTTTTCTATTTGAATATATTTTAAGATGCAAGTTATTCATGTGATGGCAAAGCTGATGACTTTTAAAAATAATATTTGTTTGGAAACCGTGATACTTTTTTTTTCAGGATTCTTTGATGGATAGGAAGTTAGACCTTATATTAGGGTCAGGGGTTTGTTCAAATGCAAACGTTATAAGCCCATATAAAATACTTTAGCCCATTTTAAAAAAACCTTTCTGAATGACAGCGTTGTTTTATTGAACGTGATTACGGCAGGGAAGGGGCAGTGCAACAGTATACACATTTATAAATGCATTGTGCTGTGTGAAATTGTTTTCATAAGGTCTGCTTCTTAATCTGAAGAACAACTAATCCGTAACAAATAAACCCTATCCCTAGGAGCCATTGAGGATTGTATTTAGACTAGCGTTCGAGTTGTATTCGTGCTGTTGGAGACTGATTAGCTCTATTTATCAGACATTTTGCACACTGTTTATTTTCAAAGCATTTGTTTAAATGAAAACGTGTAGCAGAGAGTTTGGATTTAATGACATTGGTCTGAAAGTTTAGATTTCTGTTTCTTGCTAATTTATTTTTGTCTAGAAGTAAAGCCAGCCTGTTTACCTCGTCGTCTTTGCACCGTTGAAAGGAATTATGTGGATTAAAGAGCCACTTGAGAGAACATATTTTATCATAGCTAGCTCTTTTCAGAGTACAATACAATACATCGTTCCCGCCAGAGCGAAACGTCCCGAACAAAGGAGCAGTGTACAACACCTAGTTATTATCTCTGACGCAAACCCTGATATTATGTTTCTTTTTCATTTTCTTATCACATTGGGTACCACACTGTCCCTTTTCTGTGCACATCTTAAAATTCCCTCCGCCGTCTCGTTTTACCCAGACACCAGGACTATGACTTCATCTCAGGAACCCGCATGAGGAGGATGGCTCGCGAGGGCCAGAACCCTCCGGAAGGCTTCATGGCATCCAAAGCCTGGAATGTTCTCAAGGAATACTACCAGTCTTTGGAGAAGGCCTAAGCCGTTTTCCAGGCGCGCCGAGAGAAGTGGAAGCAATTCTGTTGCATGAAAAGGAGGAAGAGGAGGCGATCATGGTTTGTAAAAAAACAAAAAACAAACGTTGGGACCACCCAAAGGACTTCTTGAACTGTTTTGGATGTTGTTCCTCATTAAATCACTGTCGGTTTCATGGTTCTGAGTCTTATGGCAGCATTGAAATTTGTTCATTATGTATCATTATGTTCAGTTTGGAAAAAAAGAAAGAATGCGAATCAGCTTGTGAAAGGTACAATTTTAAATATACAATACTGTAAACAACAAAAAAAGTAAATTATTCTATCTATATTCTTGTACTCTCCCTAGATTTCATAATCGCAGTTACAATTGAATGAAAGACGTCTAATTTGAAAATTGCCCTACTTGCCTTAAAGATCGTAAGCTTTTATTGAAACGGTTACATTTACAGCTTTATTCTGGCTTTAATGCAATTTAAACTCTATCAATAGCATTTATGGCATACTGTCAGGCACGGTAGAAAATCATTTCCTCATGGGGTTTTTAAATGGCAAAAATAGAGGTTGCAAAGTCAGTAAAGCTAATAAGTTTGGCAGATATGTTCTCGGAGACAAATATCAAAATAAAGAGGAAACAAATTGAAATTATTTTGTGGTAATCAACATTATGATACAAATTCTGTCAAAAGAGCTTTAAGTATTGAACAGCGAACAATCTTTTGAGCCAGAAATGTGTGCCTGGATGTGACGTATACAGTAGGTTGTGCCCGGCGTTGTTAATAGTTGATATAATATGGGGGGAAAACTGTCGTTTAATTAATGGTCTGCAAATATTTGTAGTGACAACAGTATGTTCTTCGTGCACATTTAGGCAACATTTTGTTCTGAAATCTGTACAATTGTTTTTTGCTTGCAAAGCAGCCAAACATACATTTCACGTATCTGTACTTTGAAAGTTACTGGCATTAGAACTTTAATAGAATTTGTTTAGTCAGCAACATTTCTAACCACGGTGTTTCGATATTTCTTTGTTTGAATGTAGCGCTTTGTTATTGTTGTGTTTTGGTATAGGTGCATTTTCTTTGTAGTATTTATTTTTTTATCACTGTAGTATAACTGTAGTATAACTTTTTTTGTGTTTATTGCATTAGAATAGAATAGAAAGGATCATATTCTTCAGTTTGCAATTCATATTTGTCCTGTTTATATTTTTAACAGTTTTGTCCTTTACTCAGTGTTTTTAATAAAGCATTCCACCAAAAAAAAAAAACACACATCAATTTAATTGCGTTTTAAAGTTTTATTAATTAAAAATCTGCACTCTCACACAAAATAGCACATCCAAGGTTACAATAACCCAGATACATTTAAAAAAAAAAAACGCTCTCCGTCCACAGTAGCATTTCAAGCGTTTTCCAAAAGATTCTCATCCATACTGAAATGGCAGAAGACGCTTAAAGGGACACTCCACCCATTTGCATTAAGATTTCCATTGTTGGAAATCAAGTCATACTATTGAATGGTCGTGCAACACTCTCTTATTTTTCCCTGAGACGAGAAATACGCTATTTACCTTTTTCACTTCCTCCTACAATGACGCAAAAATCGTCATTTTACGCCATTGTAGGAAGTGTAAGAAGTGGGGATTTCTGTAAAAACTACAAGCACTAGATCCCACCCTTTCAAACCCGCCCACAGGGGGTTGGACCTAATGCGCTAACAGACCTATCACAGATCAGTGTCAGTGCGTTTGATTTCACCGGCAGAAACTTTTTGAAAATATGGACGAAGGTACTGAATACGCAGACGGATGCATTATGGATAGGGTTGGGTACCGAAACGTGGTGCCAATAGGGAACCGGTTCCGAAGTAAACGATAATAACCAGACCGAATAAGAATGAAATTTCGGTGCCTGATTTCGGTGCCTGAGTCTCTGTGTCACAAGGCGCACACACGTAAAGTCTCTTGTCAATTGTCGGAAGCCCATATAGAATCACGCCAATCCATTGGCTGATGGCACGGGCGCCGCCTCGACGCTCCTACGTCGTCATATTATATTAGCGCGCATTATCTGATTTCATCGTGCGAAATGATTTTCAGGCGGTAGCGTAGAGTGGAGCTCAACTCTAGTCTACATTGATGGGCGGAGTAGTAGGAGTGGCCTGCTGAGCATTGCAATGCACTCTGGGGATTGTTGTCGAAAAAAAGTAATTTTCTGCCTTTTATCGGCCAAGAAATACCCAAATTAGAAATTTATGATACTATTCTACTACATGTATGACCCACTTTTAATACATATTCATGTCTCCACCGGTGGAATAACCCTTTAAATCAACTTTACTGCATATGCGGAAAACGTAATAAAAGCTCACCGAGTTGATACAGAGATCGAGAGACCCGACATAATAAAGTTTTCAAGCTGTTCTTCTGAAACGATCACTATATTCGCGAATTATCCCACCACTTACTGGTGCGTTCGGGTCGCACTCAACTGCCACTCCAAGTTTTGGAATCAAAAAGCTGGACAAAAATGCCATCTCCGTGTGGACGGAAGGCCGAATCTTAGTGAAAAAGATCTTTCAAATGTATCTGGATTCATAGACAAAGACATGAAAACATCTCTGATCATAATGTACTTTTCCCCTAGTTCCCGTGTGCAGCTGCTGTACAAGGTCAATGAAATATATCAGAAAATACACTCAAGCCCAGCTGGCCTCCAGATGCAGTCGTGCCCCTGTGAAAGTGGAACACCTAGGGTTAATCCAGACTCTTTCAGGAATATCCTGCGTCTCCTTTGATTCCAGCTCAGAGATGAAGTGTCCAAATGTGCCAGCCGTCATGTTTTCCCTCTGCCAGATCTTGTTCAATCTCTCAACTGCATCGAGTGGGGCTTTCAACATGACTGAAAAGCACTTCAATATGAACATCAAGTGAATGTGTCCTAGTTACTTTTTCTTCCCTCTTTATCAGTTTACCTATATTCTTAGAAGTTCACTTGACTGAATTATCAGTCACCTTATATTTTGCGAATCTTGAATAAATGTGCCAGAAGTAATTCAATATTATATAAACCCAGTTTATCTCTGTTCTACTGTATACCGTTCATTCAGTCTCGTAACATAAACGATGTTTGTAAATGCCAACTGCTTTTTTCCTTCAGCCGTGTCTTGTAACTCAGGCTTTATTCATACCGACAGACAGGGGAGCAGCTCTCGGTAGCACCTGGTTCTTGTCTTTGCCGCTCTCGGCCCATTTGACCTCCCCTCCAGTGCAGAAAATGCAAGCTACAATTAAGGTAAACACATCAAGTCATTGCAATATGCTTAACTCATAGAGACAGGCGAGTTAGTGCAGTTGTTTTTGAAAAGGGGATGGGGAAAGAATTATTGTGGGGCGAATGTTTGTTGTTGTTCTTGACGGATATCTTTGTCAGGGCATCCATGTGTTCTCCTGACAAATAAATATACATTGTAGTTTATTTCCAAGTATAGACTCCAGACTCTTGGACCGTTTTGCTGAGACAGTTCATGTCTTTGAATATAGGTATAGCTAGCTTAAATACATGATACCTTTCCACAAATAGAGTACTTTACTGTAAAATGTTGATTTTTTTTGTGACATTTTCTGATTGCATGTTACATTTATCTGTTGAAGTGATGTTAAGTTAATTAGAGAACAATAATAATAATTATAACCAATTATTATATTATTATTATATTACAATTATTATTATAACCCTGATAATTTACTCACCCCCATGTCATCCAAGATGTCCATGTCATTCTTTCTTCAGTCGAAAAGAAATTAAGGTTTTTGATGAAAACATTCCAGGATTTTTCTCCATATAATGGACTTCAATGGGAACCAAACGGTTCAAGGTCTAAAAGACAGTTTCAGTGCAAACTGCAAACTGTTCAAAGGGCTTTAAATGTTTCCAGACGACGAATAAGGGTCTTATCAAGCGAAACGATCGCTCATTTAAAAAAAAAAATAACAAAGTTTACGTTTTATAAATTCAAATGGTCGCCTTGCTCTGTTCTGTGATGCGCATTTGTGACTCTCCTGTTCAAACTCATTTATCAAAATGAATGAATCTTTCCCAGTGTCAACTCAATCATTTTGTTCGTTGAATGAATAAAAATGACACGAAAAAAGAATTGTTAATTTTGATAAATGAGTTCAAACAGGAGTCACAAATGCGCATCACAGAACAGAGCAAGGCGACAATTTGAGCTTATAAAACTTAAACTTTGTTATTTTTTTTTTAAATGATCGATCGTTTTGCTTGATAAGACCCTTATTCATCGTCTGGAATCGTTTAAAGCCCTTTGCACTGAAACTGTCTTTTGGACCTTGAACCGTTTGGTTCCCATTGAAGTCCATTATATGAAGAAAAATCCTGGAATGTTTTCATCAAAAACCTTAATTTCTTTTCGACTGAAGAAAGAAAGACATGGACATCTTGGATGACATAGGGGTGAGTCAATTATCAATTAAAGTGAAGTATTCCTTTAAAAATGACAATCATTAAATCTCAATTTGTACACAAATTGTAGTGTTGACTACAGTTGTCAAGCTCAACCATACAACACTGTCATTTATTTTATTCTATTATGTTATTTAATTTCATACAATATAGTATTGTTTGGTGCTTTAGCGATCCAATGGTCATTGGTTCAATTCCCAGGGAATGCATGAAGTGACTTTAGGTTGCTTCAAAAGTATTTTATTTTATTTTTGTACCTGCATTTTTATGTAAAAGATTACAATTTTAAGTGACTGCTCATAAAACTCATATCTACTTTGACCTCTTGATGTTGAACATTTTGTCTGAATCTTTGTTCCAAGTCCTGTTTTGTACCCATTGGTGGAAAGTGTCCGATAACTCGCATGCGTTACTCCAATCCTCCATGACTAATTAGTGTCACCACTCCATCATGAGACATCACCGGCTGTACCGGTACACGAAGCCCAGTCATTTCCCCTGCATCTGTTTTTACTTGCATTCAAAGCAATCCATGACAAAATCTGACTCTTATAGAAGGACAATGAAATGGTGCTGAGACCCCAAAAGCTTTACAGGTTTTATAACAACTAGCTGTTAGTTAAGTCTTCTCTTTAAATTTGTGATTGAATAAGAATGCTGATGTTCCCGTGTGATTTCCATGGCTTATATAAATATTTGCCTTCTTCCACATGTCTTTTCCTGGGATGTCTGATACTTGAGACATCAGTCACAAACATTCATGATTTTCAGTGACTACGATCTTTTTAATCTGCTTTCATCCGGTTTGGAATATCTGCAGATATTAAAATCTGACATATAGGGCATTACCTCAGATGTGAGGGGTTTGATTTAAAGGGATCACATGGATATAGGGGTATCATACATCAAATACTACAGCCTGGCATGTTCACATCAAAGAGACGCATCTGTTTCATGACATAGGGTGGATCCGAGTCCCGTGAGACTTGAGTCAACCCTCTCGCTCTCCTCATCTTGTCCTCGTTCGTCGTCTTGAGTGTCTTCAAACTATGGCAACACTCCAGCCTCATGCCACCTACCTGGGTAAGCGCAAGTGATCTTTGTCATTTCCAAAAGTTTCAAACTCCGTTACGCCTAAAGGCTGTTCACCATATAATGCATATTGTGTTTAAATGACAGGAACCTCTGAAATCTACTGTTTCCAGGAGTCAGGAGTGAGCTGGGAAATGATCAACTATATAACTGAAGCTTTTTTTTTTTAATCTGTAAAGGTAAATAACTCAATTTCTCTCTCTTTTTAAGGTTTCACATCTGTGTCTCTACCTCAATACTGCCATATATTTATAAAGCTGGCAAACTTAAGTCTTAAAAGTCTTTTTTTTCATATTGCACCTTCTACAAATTCAACAAGGTCACACACAGACTCTTGTGAGTTGAATAGTTGTGTATAGAGGGTATGCGCGTGACGTCACCTGCGTCCGGAGTGCCTGCAGTTACTTACAGTGAGTGGCAGAAAGACTGTGCGGCTGTATTTGTTTTTAGCGTGAATGCCGCGAAAAAAAAATCACAACCATAGATATCTATATAAAGGCTAGATATGTCGTTCACGCTGCTGGCCAATGGAGGTCGACGTCTGCACCTGGCGGCCATCTTGTCACAGGCAGCTCGCTCACTCGTAACACTGTGTTAATGGTACATGTACTATTTAAATGACCATAACTTGCTCAATTTTCTACCGATTTTCAAACGGTTTGTTTTGTTATAAACGTCAGAGATGTACAGTAGTTATGACCCTGCATACTTATGAATAAAAAATGTATAAATAAATAATCATCCAGATAATTATAGCCACGTTAATAACGTTCGTTTGTAAATCCGTCAAGATTTCAACGAGATAAGAGTATTTGTGTTCGTGCTGACCACTCATCTTACATCAGCTTGTCTGTGACAAGATGGCCGCCGGTGATGACGATGGAAACTCCGCCGTAACACATTTAGCCTTTATATACATATCTATATGAACACAACACATATAAAGTGGGAAAGAGCTTTGCGATTGACTGTACAACTAGATTTGACAAAAAAATCTGAGGTATATTTTTACCGACTGCTATAGAAAGAGGAGCAAATGGATCGCTGCAATTCACAGAAACAACTGGACTCCAGTCAGCGAAAGTTGGATTTGCAGTTATCATTGTTTGTTAATATGCTGAATTTAGGTGTAAAACCATACCCATATATTTTGTATTGTTGTATATATATTAACAACTCATCAATTTAATATTTATCATTGCATATTCTGCGTTATTGGATGTTTTTTTTAATAAACACTGACCAAAAAAAAAAAAAAACTATAAAGTTTTAGGGCTGGACGATATGATGATTTATATAGGCTACATATAACACTGATATAAGTGATCACCCGGATTTAGACCTATATTGTATTTATATAAAGCGTTCACAGGCAAATTTGCTTCACGTTTAGGTCTATATTGCTTTTATTTCCCCGGTGTCGAAATCAGACAAACATAAATGGATCACTGGATCTTTAGTAAGTTGTAAGGAACACTATATTGAGTCCAACATTTAGTTTAAATTGATAAAACTGTTCGTTATAGTCACATTTTCGCAGTTTCCCCTATTAAATCCAGTCACGCGGCAGATCTTTTGCCACTCAATCAGGCTGTTCCGGCGGGAAAGTGACGTCAATACATTCCCTCTATAGTGTTTTTAATATTATTATTTTTAAGAGTAATCCCTTCATTTACATTAATTATTTAGTTATGCATTACACCCAGGATTGATTGTGATTAGTAAAAAGTTCAAAAGAACAGCATTTATATAAATCTTAAATGATATATACGTCTTTTATAACATTTTAAACGTATTTACTGTTAATTTCTCCTTGCTAAAGAAAAGTATTAATTTCTTTTTGCCTATTTCTCCTGTGAGTAATTCATTTGCTTCACATTATCTTACAATATTGGCCACTATTAGCCAACCCTACGCAGCCGTATCCAACTGTTTCCTGCTCATTTACATAAACTCACTTCAAATTGCCAACTCTCATTGATATTGACTTTCAGACGATTTTCTGCTTCAAATTACGGTGTGAATGCATCTTTTATTAGCCTGGCTAACGTCTCGTATTTGAGGTTTGTTTACTATATATAAACTACTTAGAACAAAATCTACGGCTGCATCGAAAGGTAACTTTGCGTCTGCTGCCATGTTTGATCCATAGGTATAAACAAACTGCTTCGTCATCGTCTTGCTGCTCCCTCCCCGTTCTGTGATTGGTCCCCTCACTGAGGTGAAAATTTGGTCCATGGTATTCAGACTGCCTATCTGCGTGAATAAAATAGTGCCGCGCAAAGGCAGTATATCATGGGAAAACCAGGCTAATATTTTATGGCACTGACTTTACCCATGTCAGGTCATATTACAAGTCACACAAATGGCTTTTCTAAGTGGTTTCATGATCAGAAATAGCAACAATATGCCACCAGACTTGTGATTGTTGCTGATAGTTGAGTTTGTGTGTGTGTGTGTCAGGGTGCAGTGAATTAACTGAGAAATTTACATGCAGTCACGTTATTTGCGACAGGGAAATTGCAGTGAATCTATCTAGCAGATTTGAAAGCTGTCAGCTCTTCTTAATGCCTTTTGGCCACAATGTGTTGATGACGAAGGTTAAGTTGATGCTATCATCTGCTGTATGTTTTGCAGGTCATAACGGTGCATTAATAAGCCATTAACGTTCATGACATGCCTCTGTATTCAAATGTAATGGCTTGTTTGGAGGTGCTTCTTGCGTCAGTGCCATCTGAATGAGTCCTGATGCAACACTGCTCCATTTATCTTTCTTCCTCAATCAGGAGAATGAGATATTATCTGCGAGAAGAGAAACGAGCGTTGATCCTTCAGTTTATTTGTTCGTCACAGACCACCCTTGAGGGGAGACCTCTCAAAGTAAGCACATATAGCATCAGTTATGCAGGCAAATTTTCTATTGATTGTTGCTAGCTAAAATGGCAACAGTTTAAGGGTTTAGTGGTATAAATTGAGTAGATTTAAGTCACTCTTATGATGATTTGTTTTCATAAATGTATTTAATTTGAGCTAAAGGGCCATTAGGTACTGTAGCTTGGGTCATTTATATCGAGGAATGCTACTCATCAAAATGTCTAATTTAGGTCTTAGGAATAAAACTAAAGATACTATAATTAACTATAATAATTTAAAACTTGGCGTATTAAAGCCATTTCAAGCACATTCCCTTTTGGTGCTCTTAAATCAAGATTGAATAAAGATTTGAACCCACATGAACCACACCACAAAGTGTGGTGAAACTCAGGATTTTCTTTTTGCCCCAATTTTACGAGATGGGGACGTGTCACTTAGAAAACAGTGGACCCAATAATGAAATTATTTTTATTTACACGTTGTATGTACGAAATATAATCGTATTAAATTACATAGTGTATAACGATTCAGTTTATAGCACCAAAATGTTTCTGTATTTATTTATTTTTTGTATAAATGATGCATCACCAAGTTGTTCACACGTGAAGTTTACGACTTCATAACTCATAAATACAAACTTCCCAGAAAGACTTGAACGCACCATCCCACCACACTTACTCGCAAGCAGTACATATTTCTGATTGGCTAGTTTTCTGGTTCGATGAGCATGGATTTTTTTTCTCTCTGTTTACATATATCAGTGATGTTCACATTTTGAAGTGTGCAATTTCAAAGTGTGTATATTCTAAAAAAAAAAAAAATGAAACTTATGCAAAAATCACATTTGCATTTAATCACTTAGCAGACTCTTTTATCCAAAGCGACTTCCAAATGAGGAGAGCAATAGAAGCAGTTAAACCAACAATAGAGCAACAAATATGGTCCCAGTTAGTCTCGCACAGTACATGTAGCAAGTTTAAAAAAAAAATAGATATAGAATAGTAAGTGATGGTATTAATGAATGAATGGGTGAAGTGTTGACAAAATATGCATCTTCAGCCATTTCTTGAAAATTGGCTAAAGACTCAGCAGCTCGGGTTGAGTTACGCAGGTCATTTCACCAGCAGGGAACAATCCAGGTAAAGGTCTATGAAAGAGATTTTGTGCCTCTTGCAGAACGCAAGCTTCTGGAGGGCACATAGGTCTGGAGTACTAAGTTTAGGGGTGTAGAGATTGTTCTGTTGGCAAACACAGCCCATTCTCATCCCAAGGCGTCATCTAACTGACGCTTTTGACCATGCATCATCTAACTGACGCTTTAGGCACCCTTTAGCGTCAGTTAGATGACCCTTTCCTAGCGACCTACCCGCGTCATCTAACTGACGCTAAAGGTAAAGGTAAAGATGACGCCCATGCGTCATCTAACTGACACTTTTGACCATGCTTCAACATCCAATGCTTTAGGCACAGTTAAAGCGTCATGACGTCATGTCAATTACGGGGGGGACGGGTGGGACATGTCCCCACCACTTTTTGCCAGGGTCGATTTTGTCCCCACCACTTTTGAAACATCTCGCGGCACAGATGTACCAATTCAAACAAATAAAACATTTCCAGTTAACAGAATTCGTTTCATTTTTTTTGTTAAATAACGGGCGATCTAGCACTGAAATGCGTTGTCTTCTCTCGGAAACGCGCTTCAATCCGTTGCGGCGATTCGTTCCGGTGAAATCACAATTCAAAATGCACACAAACGTGTCCCTGTTTCTCATGGGTTCTAATCCCCTCTCGTATATATTTCACCCTCATCAAAATGTATACAACCACTGATAAACATTAAATCAATTCAACCACTGATAAACATTATTGGTTTTGATGAGGGGGGAAAAAAAACTATATTGAGTGCGGATTAGAAGCTCGAACCTCCCGAGTCCCGACACGCTAGGCAAAAATTCTGCCTCTGGACCATCACCGTACACATGCAAAAAAGGGCGTATATACTCTATACTCACTATACTCGGACATTGTGCTCATTTTTATTTATGTACATGAGGAAGCTTCAGGACATCGTCTTTCAAAACATGACCTACTCGAAAGAGAAAAAAATAATGAATGCGCCATTGTACCCAGCACTTTTGAAAATGCCCTTCCGAGTACGTCTCTGTCTCCAGCACATTTCAAACCAAACTGACACCCATGAGATGACACCTTGGGATGAGAATGCGTTGGCAAACATCAGTCCCTTAAATTTGATGCAATTGGCAACCAGTGCGAGTTTATGAAGAGAGGTATGACGTGTGCTTGCGTTGAAGACTCTTGCTGAAGCATCTGGATCAGTTGCAGAGGTTTGACAGTGCAAGCTGGAAGGCCTGTCAAGAGATTTACAATACTCCAGTCTGGATAGAACAAGAGTTTGGACAAGGAGTGGTGTAGCATGTTCCAGTAGGAAGGGCCTGATCCTCCTAATGTTGCAGTTCTAGCAATGTGGTCTGTGAAGTTTAACTGATCATTAATCACAACTCCAAGGTTCCTGAATGGAGGTATGTTGAAGTTGTGATTAAAGTGTTGACCACAAGCAGTTCTGTCTTCGCAAGGTTGAGTTGAAGCCGGCGGTCTTTCATCCAGCAAGAATTGTCTGTCAGGCAGGCTGAGATGCGAGCAGCTACCGTAGGATCATCAGGCTGGAGTGAGAGGTAGAGTTGTGTGTCATCAGTGATAGGAAAAAACATGTTTCTAAATGACAGATCCGAGTGATAACATGTAGATTGAGAAGAGAAGTGGTCCAAGCGCTGAGCCCTGTGGCACCCCAGTAGCTAGATGTGACTTAGAGCATAAAAATGACAAATAAATGAATCTGAAAATGTGACACCCTGAAAGACCTACTGTACCTGAGAGGTAAGACTTGAACCATTGGATTCGGTTTCTGAGATGCCCTTCATCATGAGGGGTGACCGAAGGATCTGGTGGCTGTGTCATATTTATGTGCATACTGTACATATGTGTTGTGAATTAGGCTAAAAATGATTGTGGAAAGTTTTTCTGTGCATATGAAAAGGAATAATCCGTGGATTATATAGGGAATGAGACCCATTGTTGGGAAAAAAATGTCCTAGTCCTGCCCCAAACATGCGCCATTGGTTGAACCAACGTTTGCAAGTCGTGCTGGTTGAGATGTTCAACAAACAGAGCAATGTTTTGATAATGTTTTCTTTTTAGAGAAATCAATCTTTGGATGACTGACTTGTAGTTATCTCTGCAACTTTGACACAAATAATACAAAAAAGACTTGAAAAATCGCTTATAAGAAATCAGCTATATGGCTTACTATAAATAAACACTAAAACATACTTGCTATTTTGTATTACACTGCTATGTGTTTTCAGTTTCATTCTAAAATAGAGGTTGTGAGGTCATTTTTACTGGTTTATGTGCTCTCTCTCACGGTATTGGGCCATAAATAAACACAATCTGATGATATACGACCAAACTGGCATTTGCATTCAAATTGAAGATACTATCCTGACAGCATGCAAATAGAGCGGGAGCTTTATGAGGTCATAAACGCATCCGTCAGCGATGTGCTCATCTTGACAACACATTGTGTTTGTTTGTATGATGTCCCAAAGCCCTGCGTGAACATACTCTCACATCTATTTGTTCGCATAATTAATGACTGATAAAGGAGTGTGTAGTTACATCTGCTTGGCATTTAGCCACGGGTTTTTATTAGTAATACATAGTGGCTCTGTTTCAGCCAGGGCTTGTTGGCTGAGCACCTGGTTGGCAAATCTTTATTTCCCATATATCATCTGTTGTGGTGCTATTCGATGCCGCAATTGTATTTGTCTTGGACATTGTTCTAGCTTTGATCATGAGCAGCTGTAATTATTTGGCCCCGCACTTTCCGCAGGAGACAGCCGGTGCAACAGGAGAAGGCCGTGTGTGTGTATGTGTGAACAATCCCAAACAGACTGGGTACAGTGCAGGATTTAAGTAGAGGATAAATAGCCCAATTAAATACCTCCTTTATGGTTTTCATCAACAATACAGTTGGCTGGTATTGTGCAACACTCTTTAAGTCTGTGAATGAAGGCGGATACGTAAATGAATCGGTGGAAATTGAAGCAGGCCCACCCTCCCCCAGCCAGGCTTTCATCCTCAGGTCCCGAAACAAAAATAAACACATGAATTAAACCTGAGAGGTGAATGAGAGGGAATTGTTCATTTATGGATTCCGGAAAAACAGGAGCAATCGGGACGGAAAACAAGGGTGATTTCATTAAACTCCAAAACCACACATTTGACCCCTCCCCTAACTATTGTACGGAGCAGACAATGGAGCCTTTTGTGTGCAATTTTGTTTAAAATAAATATACAGGTTAAAACTGACCAACATTGTTCTTTGTTGCCAATAATAATATTTAAGAAAAAACTTTCATACAATACTAAATTCTATCACATAAGTGCATTAAGTGCATTAAATATTAGACACAAGCTAATAATTAAATCATAATTTAAAATTGAAATAAATTTCATTTAAATAATAATAAAAAAAAATAACAGTCCTGTGGGCGAAAATGCCTTGTTGATGCTAGAGGTCAGAGGAGAATGGGCCGACTGATTCAAGCCGATAGAAGAGCAACTTTGACTGAAATAACCACTCGTTACAACCGAGGTATTCAGCAAAGCATTTGTGACGTACAACCTTGAGGCGAATGGGCTACAACAGCTGAAGATCCCACCGGGTACCACTCATCTCCATTTCGAATAGGAAAAAGAGGCTACAATTTGCAAGAGCTCACCAAAATTGGACAGTTGAAGACTGGAAAAATGTTGCCTGGTCTGATGAGTCTCGATTTCTGTTGAGACATTCAGATGGTAGAGTCAGAATTTGGCGTAAACAGAATGAGAACCATCATGCCTTGTTACCACTGTGCTGGCTGGTGGTGGTGGTGTAATGGTGTGGGGAATGTTTTCTTGGCACACTTTAGGCCCAATAGTGCCAATTGGGCATCGTTTAAATGCCACGGCCTGCCTGAGCATTGTTTCTGACCATGTCCATCCCTTTATGGCCACCATGTCCCCATCCTCTGATGGCTACTTCCAGCAGGATAATGTACCATCTCACAAAGCTCGAATCATTTCAAATTGGTTTCTTGAACATGACAATGAGATCATTATATTAAATGGCCCCCACAGACACCAGATGTCAACCCAATAGAGCATCTTTGAGATGTGGTGGAACGGGAGATTCGTGCCCTGGATGTGCATCCCACAAATCTCCACCAACTGCAAGATGCTATCCTATTAATATGGGCCAACATTTCTAAAGAATGCTTTCAGCACCTTGTTGAATCAACGCCACATAGAATTAAGGCAGTTCTGAAGGCGAAAGGGGGTCAAACACAGTATTAGTAGTAGTTAGACTGGCCTGTATCCCCACTCCTGATATACTGATTTTTATAGTTCACTGCAATTCCTCTATCCTCAGAGCCAAAGCCAAATGGGAGCATTTTTTTCTACCATTTTTTTTATAACCTTTTATGAGTTATAAGTAGTATCGCATGTTTCCATTTCCATTGTCCAGAAATTCCAACAAAACACACATCTCTATAAATCAGGCACAACGGATTCCCAAGCAGTTTTGTTGCTGCCCTACTAGTTTAATCCTGAGCCAGTTTTCAGAGTTTAGTGGAACGCAAACTTGCTTTATATTGCAGATTTAATTAGCAATGACTGCGGAAAAGACAAAGACATAATAGCTTTGGACTAATCATGCTCTTGGAGGACAGTCAGAAACCATTACTTACCACTCCTTGTGTCGCAACCCCCCAACCCCCATGATATTTTAATATCTCTCGGCCACATCCTGACTAGCCTTGGAAAGAGATGTATTCATTCTTCAGTCCCATAATAAACTGGATGAGTTTATTGTTTATAGATGATATTTGTTATAGCATCCATAAATGTTTATTATGTTTTTATGCATTTGGATAAATATACTAGTTGTCTCAGCAGTTTTCTATAAGCTTATAATTTTATTCTTTGTTATTATAAACTCAACTCTTGTCTTTCCAGCTTTATGAAGAAACTCATGTTGTTTTGTTGTTTTGGACCCCATCGACTTTTATTCTAACGACAAAAAAACATTTATTCAAAATGGATGTTGTGTTCCACAGAAGAATTAAAGCCGTACGTAAATGATGACAGAATTTTCATTTTTGGGGTGGACTATCGCTTTAAGTATCACTTTTATCTAAGACGTTTCTTTCCAAATACTTTACTTAGAACAATGGGATAAAAATCTCAGATCTTGGGTGGATATGATGAGAAATTGGTATTATGAGCATGTGCTGTTATATGTCTAATGTATGTGTGCGAATGTTTTTTTTTTTCTTTCTTATATTAATTAGTATGCATCAATAGCTTCTGGAATGATGTAGAAACTTGGTATCATATTATATACTGTATACTATTTGACTTTTAATAACTCAAAACATCACCAACTCTAAATATTGTGCTTAAAACCCCCATTTTGCTTGGTGATCTGTACTGTCTTGGTTTAATTAAAAAAAAAATGAAGTGACCTAGTTGCCTTAATTTTAAGTTCATTGAAATGGAAAAACTGAGTTAATACAATGAAAGAGATTGATTTAATCATCAGAAACTCAAAATATTATGTTATCTGAACTACATAAAGTATTTAAGTTGTTTTGACAAAAGAAAAAAAATGTTTTTTACAGTGTGTTAATAAACAGAAGTTTAAGACACATCTGTATTGGTTTTGCACTACTGTTGTCATGTTTGTGCATAATTGTTTGTGAAGTGTTGCAACATGATTATGTTTAATATTAAACAATAGCGCATGCATATTCACCGTCAGGTGTTGGTTTATCAACATGCATTTAGATAAAATGTTTCTTGTGAGTTTCATTTGGCCCTCAGAGACATGCCTGAAAACAGACAGAAGAAGGGAATTTTACTGGGAAGTGTGTTCAACTAACAGATGTTTTTTTTTTTTTTCTAACTGTAGATCGGAATGTCCATTTATTCACTTTCTGAAGACAAAATTCCAGCTAAGTGGCCAAGACCTCTCGGCAATATGAATATGAGCAGAAACGCGTCCAGCAAAGCGTGATGAATCAGACCTCAACGGCTCCCCAGAGACATTTTTAAAGCATCTGCATCCCGAATCAAGGTAACAAATGTGGTTCTGTATCACGACACTGGTTCCCTGCCAAATGCATCCAAATCAACGTTTTATTTGCGTCATTTTTTTTTAAAGTGGGACAACACAAACTTTCGGACCTCCGTGAAGTGGAACATCTGTGATGTAAACATCTGTGATGATGTTATAAGGGGATGTCGCTGTCCTGCCTCCGTTTATGTGAGAAATTGCTGTGGTATTCCTGACACTATCCCCTCTGTATATTTGGGGGAGCATTCCACCTCTGCTCATTTGCACCTAATCGTTCTTTAGTGTGAAAATCAGGCAAGATGGAAAGGCAGATGAAACATATTAAAAGTATATATTTATACACGCGCACACATGACAGTGGGCATTCTCCGGGCACGTGGGTTTCATTTGTGAAGCTTAGAGGCAACAGATTTCGACATGATTTTTTGACTCCTTATAAACTTCCATTTTGTTGTCATGCCAGTGAATGCATCAAGTGGGATCTAATCTTTCCAGATACACATTTTCAAGTAGTTAAATGTACTATGTGAAAAAAGGATACAATACATGATATAGCAGTGTTTTAAAACCCTGTTCACCTATATAATGTGTATTACACTCATGGGTGGGTAAATGAATAAGAAATGCTTATTTTGATAAAAATGTGCGCACTCAGTACTTAGTAACTAGTACACAGATAATTGAGTTAACACATGGCTCATGAAGAACTAAACCATTCATTAACCACATCAGCAACTAATAAAGAGTCTATTTGATTAATAGATTAATTCAAGCTGTTTATTACATGCATCATCATGTATTCAATCCTTATTAACTAATTGTCTAAATGAATGTGTTAATTACCACAATGGGTCACAGCCATGTGTTTCAAATTCCAGTTGTCCGCTTTAATGAATCATTAGCTAATGGTTTGGAAAGATATCGTTATGTAACAACTTTTCTTGTTGAGGGACATGACTATTAACTCATTATTAAGTAATAATGCACGCTATGCCATGGATTTCAGTTTCCACAACCGGGATTAATTAGATTACTGTACTAATTACTCTCTCTAAAAAGTATTGGATTACGAATTACTTTATAAATCCCATATCAACCTCAACCAGTTAAACAATTCTTTCAAATAAACAATATACAATTGCAAACATTATTCTTGAACTGACCAATGGGTTACAAAAAACAACAACATTTTAACGATATTTTATTATATAGAAGTCTATACAGTATTTCATGCAATTACATCCGAAGTAACTATAAAAGAGAGAAAAAATGGAAAAGCAAATAAATTAAAGTAATTAGATTACTTTGTTATTAAATACCCCCAACACTGATGACATAATACTCAATAATTATTTAATTGAAGTCATCATAACATAAATATTTTTTTGCAAATCATTAGCTAATGATTAATTAAAGCGGTCAACTGGAAGTTGAAATACATGGCCTTGACCCATTGTTGTAATTAACACATTCATTTACACTATTAATACAATAATCAATTAGTACATGATGACACATTTAATTAATAGCTATTCATATAAGACTTAATTGCTAATTTGGTTATGGATTAATGGATTGTTTAGTTCTTCATGAGTCAAACAATAACCTGTGCAATAGTTAAGCACAAATTACTGCATATTAGTGCACCCAATATTTTTATTATGGAGCAATCAGTATTACAAGCAATCTGAAAATAGTTGTTTCTGATTGGACAATCAGCGCTGCGATATCTTGCATTATTGATTGTAGGGATGATAACCTCAGATGACTTCAGTATTAATATTGCTGTCCTTTTGTTGCCATTACCAGACACATTGTTTAATACTGTAATTGACTCATTTTTTCTTAAAGATAATACACAGGTAAGTTTATAAAAAGCTAGTTTGAACTCAAATCTATTTTTTGTTTAAGTGTTAGCCTGACGTCGTCATGCACAAATTCAGTTTATGAGTCTGTTACTGCTGTGATTATGGGGTGTGTTTCAACCAAACCAGGAAAGAAAATACCTCTGCGCTAGATAGACCTACAACCAATCAGAGCAAAGGAGTAGCCTAAGTGACGTATGTTGAATCCCTTAGGAAGGACGGCAGAAACATCTTTCTGATCGGCAAATGCCTTGATCGCGGTTCTCTGTTCCTCTTTTAAATGAATGCTCTGTCGATATCTTCAAATACAGATGCGATGGCTGAATCTATCTCAATTCTCTAGCGGTAGCCAACTTTGTTGTAAACAAATTCAACCCATGCGCTCTTTGGTGACGTGGATGATTACGTTACTGTTGATCATCTGTCCATCATCGTATAAAACCCGCCCGGACAATTTGATCTGGTTTGAGCGTTTACATGGACCCTTATAATCGGATTGAAGGCTCAATCTACTAACTAAAAAACCTTCATGTAAACACCTTAATCGATCTGATTAAGCTCGATCCGATTGGAATTCCTTTTGTAATCCGATCGAGAGAACATGTAAACACTTGATCGGATTGAAAACCGAAACTGAAAGGACTGTGACCTAAACGCGCGCATCAAGCCGATTGCTTTATTTATCGTTTATGTAAACACCGTGTTCGGATTCATCAATCGGATTGATTTAATTCCGATTGAACCAAAAGATGTCCATGTAAATGCTCCACAACGCATCAAGTCCAGACCGAACTTCCCGACCTCAAATGTTGTGGGCGGGGCTAAGTTCGGCTCGCATCCAGACTAGATAAATGTGCGATTAGTCTGTGAAATATCATTTTACTCCATTTAAAACTCATAATAGAATGGCTGCCAGTATAGGTTTTCCTTTAATGCCTTGAGGAAGTGGTTGTTGAATAGACTTTTAATGTACTTTGGGTTTGCTGAAGGTATTACAGAGTTCTATGAGGCCTTTAGAACTGAAAATAAAGAAGTGTTTTCTCACTATTCAGACAAATTACATTTGATCTGGTCTGTTTCCTTTCTTTTCAAATCCCTTTTAAGTTGACTGTTGAGTGAGAGAAGGCAAAAGTGACTTTCTTGGTTGAGCTGAAAGGCCTGAACCATATAGAGCTAGTAAACGCACAAAAGCCCAGCTGGTGGGTTTGACTCTCACTTACTTAACATATACGAGGACTGAATAGACCTTTTTAAAGGGATAGTTTAACTTTAAAACCCGCAAAATAGAAATTCTGTACTTTACAGGACTTACCCTCATGTTGTGACTGTTCAGCAAATTGAGCTCTTTTCTGTCCAAAGAATAAAAAAGCACCATAATCACTGAAAAATATTGACATCACTATTCATGTCTTGTGAGGGATTGCAATGCGCACAGACTAAAGTGGGTGGCATGATTTTTGGTAAATAACAATTTCGATTTTAGTTATTATGCAGTTTAGGTCAGTGGTTCAAACTTGGTTCCCCTTAAAGGGTTAGTTCACCCAAAAATGAAAATTCTGTCAGTATTTACTCACCCTCATGTTGTTCCAAACCTCTATGTGTTTATTTGTTCTGTTATACATAAAGGAAGATATTTGGAAGAATGTTTTAATCAAACAGATCTCATTCCCCATTGACTACCATAGTATGTATTTTTTCCTATGGTAGTCAATGGGGAATGAGATCTGTTTGATTAAAACATTCTTCCAAATATCTTCCTTTGTGTTCAGCAGAACAAATAAACACATAGAGGTTTGGAACAACATGAGGGTGAGTAAATACTGACAGAATTTTCATTTTTGGGTGAACTAACCCTTTAAGGCCCTCATTTCTAAGGATACGTTCAGACGGCAGGTAAACATGGCAGGTACATTTTTTGCTTCTAGAGGTCTGTTTTTGTCATGACTGGGCCATTTCCATATGTCATCCTAAATCCTTGTTTTGCGATGCAACCTCAGTCTGAACAGTCATATCAGGGGGCACTCAAGGGGTAAGGATGATCATGAGAAAGGTGAAGATAACTGGTCCTATAGAACCTATTATGGTTCTGTAGGACTTTAATCTTATAGAAAATCTGTGGAGGGAGCTGAAACTTCGAGATGCGAAGCGACAGCCAAGAAACCCTTAGAGCGGCTCTGTAAAGAGGAATGGACGAAAATCCCTCCTGAGATTTATACAAACCTGGTGACCAAGTACTAGCCTAGACGCACCCTAGTGGCAGCAAAAATTATTTTGCAGCCAGTGTGGTCTTGCAACTCTCCGTTGGCTTTTGAAGTGGAAAAACCAAACTCTGGTCAGGCCAATCACATCGTGTATAGAGTTGGTGGGCGGGCTTAACACAATGACGGCAGAGTTGTGACGGTGATTTCCATAGGTGATTTACCTGCTACTTGAAAACAAACAAGATGCTGCTGGCGAACAGCGGTCTTTCGATTCCGCTTTGGCCGCGACTCTGGATGACTTGGAGTTAAGAGAACGTCACTTAAGTCATTCTTAAAAAAGGAAGATGTGTTCAGAGTTTTGACGACCGGAAACGGCAAACGTTTAATGTATCAACTTGCTCCGCTGGTGGGAAAACGCATGGGACTCACTCAGCCACAGCCATTCGTTGCTCTGGTTGGTTAGCGCTATCCTATGGCGTGCAGAGACATCCTTTTATCCCGCCCCTTGGATTGAGGTACGCCAATTGTGAGTTCCCAGACCTAACATCTTGATGTTGGTCTGGCTTGCAAGGCTAACCAAATTCAAGAAACGTCTTACTATTGACTCCTATTGTAATAAAAATACTTCAACTAAAAAAAATGTCAGTTTGATGTTACATCTTTGTTTGTGTTTAGGGTGTTAATTCAATTTGTTAATATGACTTGGGACCTAGTTGAGAATCACTAGCTTATATGGTGTTGTTCTGCCCCTTTTTTGAAGAATGCTATCTTTTTACATCCTTTTTGTGTTGCACATATAAAATAAAGTCAAAGTGGTTTGGAACTTTATCTTGTAACTACTTACAATTCTTAGAAAATGTCCCCTTTTTTCTTTTGAAATTTACTTTTTTAGGGTTGTTTTCTCCAGCCTAATCACAACCAGATAATCAGAAAGTTTAAAAGAAAGGAAATTAAAAAAAACATCAATTCCTCTTATCTCCCCTGTTTCCCCCAGAGTGTTAAAAGCTATTGCAACATTTAGTCCAGCACATGGTTACAATCAAATGCTGTTTAAAATGTCTCAGTAAGCTATATGGTTTTTCTGTTTTGTCAAGGGTATTTATAGCTTAATGTAATAGTTTAGAGTGCTGCTAATACGAATGTGCTAAAATTTAATTTGATTTTGAGCTAAAATTGAGGTTTTAGCTCGTACTCAAACCCAGCCTGGGGGTCGGAGTAAAGACTGCAGTCTTCCCTGTTAGGAAGCCAAACTTCATTAGACACTGTGTATTTATGTTCCAGTGTTTATTAAATGGTGGTTTGAGTATTTTAGTGATGGTACGCTTGCTCATCACTCTTTCTGCCCAGAACTGGGTAGTTAGTGTCCAAGAACAAGAATGAGGATTTCGATAAGACATTCTTAACTCCGCTTGGAACATCTCCATGCTTGTTTAAACCCAAACTATTCGCTGCAAACATCCGTCGATGGCCAATGGTGAAAAGCATGTCAGAACAGAAGAAGCAACTGTTCATTTTAGATGCTTGTGGTATGGCAAAAAAGGAATATTTTCTTTTAAATGTTACCCACAATTCTTCCCTTTACACCCAGAAGCTCTTCTGGAATCAATTGTCGCCTCAACAGTGTGTCAGCACCTCTGAAAGTTGTCATTTGACCAAAACCATCGCTTCTCTGCAGCAGTTAGTATTTAGTAGAAAATGTCACCCAAGGCAAAATCGCAGCCAACATAGTAGCTCTGTGAGCCGCCTCTCAGTCCACTAGCTAGAGAGACGGCTGTCTTTTAAAGGCAACACTCTAACCAACATGTAAATAGAGTTTGAAGGCATTCCGATGGAAAGAATTCCTTGCCAGATTCTAAACCAAAATCGTGAAAAGTCTATTAAAAAAAAAATGGTGTTCTTTTGAATTTTCTATTCATCAAAGAATCCTGGAAAAAAAGTATCACTTCCACAAAAGTGGCACTTTTTCAGCAATGACAAATATAACAAAAAATTACACTGAAGAGAGTAATGGTGCTGAAAATTCAGCTTTGCATCACAGGAATAAATAAAAAACAGAAAACAGTTATTCTAAATCGCCGTTTCAGCGGCGAATAATTTTTTTCCATTAATTTCTTTCTGAAATATTTGATAAGCATAATTAGCCTTGAAAAAAACAGCCAGCTATGGGGTAGGTGAATCTTACAGTTACAAATTTTGATTCAAAGATGTTCACAAAAATGTTTGAGAATTGGACAAAAGACTGTGGTACAAGACGTTGTATTTAGCAGCTTTAGTGAGGGAAAGAGCTACAATCCCAAGAAGCATTATAGAGAGCATAATCAAATTAAAAACTATGGAGAAATATAAAACGACACATTTAAAAATGTTTACTGCAGTGTGTGTGTGTGTATATGTACACTCACCTAAATGATTATTAGGAACACCATACTAATACTGTGTTTGACCCCCTTTCGCCTTCAGAACTGCCTTAATTCTACGTGGCATTGATTCAACAAGGTGCTGAAAGCATTCTTTAGAAATGTTGGCCCATATTGATAGGATAGCATCTTGCAGTGGATAGAGATTTGTGGCATGCACAACAGTGCTCAGGTGGCATTTAAACAATGCCCAATTGGCACTAAGGTGCTTAAAGTGTGCCAAGAAAACATTCCCCACACCATTACACCACCACCACCAGCCTGCACTGTGATAACAAGGCATGATGGATCCATGTTCTCATTCTGTTTACGCAAAATTCTGACTCTACCATCTGACTATGATATGACTCATCAGACCAGGCAACATTTTTCCAGTAAAATACGATGCGTTTCCCGAAAGCATCGTTAGCCAACTATGGTCGCAAGTTCCGTCGTTATCAGCATAGTTCAACGAGTCGGTGTTTCCCGAAAACCATCGTTCCAACGAACATTCGCAAACAGCATCGCAAAGTTGTGTGGTTTGAACGACAGCTCTCGACCTATGGTTCGAAGCATCGTTTCTATATTGCAACACATTTGGAGGTAATAAATCCTTATATTGAGAAAAATAAGCAAGTTGACATTCAGTACAACCGGTGCCTTTTATTTAGAATACATACAAATGTAATTTACGTCTTTTAGTTTGTCAAAAGATTTGAAGTAACGTGATTGAAGAGTGCGCATGTGCGAACGTGCATACTATGTAAGAACGAGCCAAATATTGAGTCTGGTAATAAAGCAAAACAACTGAGAACAATTAGAAATAGTCCTCAGATGACATGTCTGTAATTTATATAAAACAAATCTAGCGTTAATTGGATCTCAAACAGTTTCATTAAAGTTAGTTATTACTCCACCACGTGCGAAACCAACGTGGTTGAACAATACTTTGCGACAGTGGGTTTCGGGAAACAGCCGTGACTAGCTAGTTGATTTTTCCAACGATGCATCGTACTATGGCAGTGAATCAGCGAACTACGTCGTTGTACGGGAAACGCACCCCAGACCGGCCCATCTGGCACCAACAACCATGCCACGCTCAATATTGCTGGGAGTTCAATATTGTTTGGAGTTCAAAAGATTGTCTTGACCAGCCCCTAAATGCATTGAAGCAACTGCCATTGCCATGTGTTTGGTTGATTAGATAATTGCATTAATGAGAAATTGAACAGGTGTTCCTAAAAGTCCTTTAAGTGAGTGTATATATATATATTTAATATATTTAATTTATATAATTCTGCTCTTTAATATGATAATTTTAAAAATAAGTTGAAATAATGTGGACTGACAGCTTCAACAGAAGCAAATACCACTCATTAACAACCTTGTAGCTCAAGGTCTGTCTTTAAAGATTAATAAGTTATCATTAAAAATCAAGAAAATAAAGTAGTGTATAAGGTAGTATATATTTACAGTAAACATTTCTGTCTTTCAGTTAACACCATTCGCCATCTTGGATGATGATTCCAGTGGAGGTAGGGATTTCTTTAATCGCAACGGACCTTAGTGATGGATACCTGCAATGCTGCCTCATGATCAGGCCAAAGCGAGTTATCTTTTAAGGTATCTATTTATGCCTACCTTTTGAAACAGTCATGACTTCAGGAACGTGCTATAAGTCAAATTCTCAAGAAATCTCACACGTTATCTTATAAAATGACTTAATCATACATTACTTCATGCCAGTTGGGCGCAGAAATGGACACTGGTAGTCAGTACACAGGGTGCCCAATCACTGCCTGCTGCTTCTGCAATTTCTACATCTCATGTTTAGGGACAATGAGCCATTGTGTGGCAGTTATTCAATCCTCTGAAGCTTGCGAGCTTTGACAGTGAGTGATCACATAAAATGATGTCACTGCAAATGCTTGGAAGCCAAGTACAAAGGAGCACCTTTTAGATACTGATCTGCGGTCAGATTAATGTGAAGGAACACTGATGAATTCAGAGGAAGTCTGTAACAAAAGTCACAGGCGCAAAGATTTTACAGAATAAGGCAATTCTGTCCCTTAAAAAGAAAAGTGGACTGTATTGTCAGTAAAAAAAACTTTTTTAAAAGTCATTAAAATGCGATAATAACCAAGCTCACGGAATGTGCGCCTGCAGAAATCGGAGTGCCTGATATTCACAATGTTCTACAAATCCCATGTGTCTTGCTTATTCGTTTATTGAACGTTTGACTATGCTTTTTAATTACAAATAAGTGTAATTCACCAAAGGCCAGATTTACTAAACAAGGCAAATTAGCATGAGAGCACAATTCCAAAAAAAAAGTGCCGACGGGGTGGAAAGTTCTGCGTATCTAATGATGACGCGGCGCAAATTAAAGAACAGACACAGCCGGATCATTTCCATAATGACCAACGCAGTCTACCAAGAACAGCGCAAATTATCATGCTTTTTATTTAAAAATGTTTTTTGTGAACCCAACTACTTTCATTGCATGAACAAAAACAGTTCAATACAGATTAAATAAATTTAAAAAAATAATGGTTTTGGATGACATGATGGTGAGAACCCTAACCCCCATGTACTCAATATATGGCAAAACTCACAAAAACAAATGCAGAGCTTTACAGAACAAAACACACAACAGTGACTTGGTGTCTGATTCACATTTAATGATCTGTCTGTCTATAAACAAAACCCTATTCCTGATAAACCCAATCAGGAGTCTACACTGCTATAATTATACAACAATAATTGCACTCAAGTAAATTGTGTTCTGTTGCATTTCGGCATGCTATTAACATACCGAAACGATAGCATTATGTTGTTTTATGGTTGACTGGATTGATTTAGTGGAATATTTGCAAAATCACATTTTATCATGAGAGCGGTTTGGGGCCTACGGTATTTAGTCATGGTACATCGTAAATCTAAGTGGAGAACTGGCTCCAAGCTGCAGCTTTCTGTGTAGAATGTTCATATCTACAACCATTTAGATAATACAAGATGGGGTACTACTACTAACATTTTGAAAAAACGAACAAAAAAAAATCTTATGTTAAAGGTAGGGTAGACAATATTTTTCGCAAACACATTTTGTAATACTGGTTCTCTCCACATACTGGTCTAATTGTTTAAAAAATTACATGCATCTTTTGTGGAATGATTTATTCCAATGCATTCTCATCCCAAGGCGTCATATACTGAACGCTTTTGCCAATGTATAGACATCCAACGCACATGGCACCCTTTAGCGTCAATATAACACGCACAGAGTTATACCGGGTCATGCCGAGTCGACTGATATCGAAATCCAACTAGATTTGGAATGCACTAACTAATTGTTACAAAACAGCGCAGCGCCACCTAGTGGTAAAATTAAATTTTCAAACGTTTATAACTCTGACTGTGGTTGACTTATTTTAAAGGGAGTCATCTCGTTGGGTTCCTGAATCTTTGCCGAGTCCAACGATACCAGACTTGTCAGGTTCCGGCATATGGTTTGTGCAGCGCCGTAATTTAGCGATTAAAAAACATTTGCCGATATCTTCAAAACCGCCAGTCCGATCGAGACGAAACCACCGTCAGAAGTTCGGAAACATAGGTCGCTGGCTATATGCTAATACCCAAATCCAAAAATATTGATAGTAACGGGTAGTAAAATTCAATCAAAGTCACGTGTCAATCATTTTTAATGGAATTTTTTCATATAAATGTCTATAACTCTGAAGAAATCAAATTTGGCACTCGCATGCATATGCCCATTCTGATGATACATGAAAAAAAATTGTGGGATTTTGCCTTTTAAATAATAGAACATAACATGCCATACTTGACGAATGCATTGGTGTAACATTACAAAACTCAGTTTGTCCCATCAGCACCATCCCCTGAAGGTACTCAAAAGAATTCAAGACAGTGCCACCTTTTGGACAAAGTTATAACAAAATTTCTAACAATGCTTATAACTTTTGAATAAATCTGCATATTTTAATGTCACTGGTCTGAAAGTTGTTTCATTGTCACCAAACTCTGACCACATCGCATTGATTTTGTAACTACGCCACCTATTGGTCGAAAGTGATAATCCATTTAATCACATTTTTGTTAATGTATGCGATTTTTTTCAGCCATTTTGCGTAAATTCATCTTTAAATGTCTTCAATTGCCCCTTGCTGCAGTTGGTCTGACACATGTTGGCATGTCTTGTCGTCTTCTTTGTGCTTGGCCCCGGTATTGCTGCTTGCAGCTATATTTATTATTGCAATGTTATGTGCTTTTATGTGTGAGGTAATTTAACGGTGACTTTCATGATGCTTTGCAGACTCTACTCTGATTGTGTGTGTTCGTGTGTTCTGGCCTGGCTTTGGAAGCGCTCTGAAGTGGGTGAGATCTTATTATTCAAAAGCTAGATTTCTATTGCAATCCAGCTACTCTGAAATTGCCTACCCTACCTTTATTACTTATATTGCGCAAGGATGTATTAAATTGATCAAAAGAGGCATTTATAATGTTACAAAGATTTCTATCTCAAATAAACGCGTTTCTTTTGAACTTTCTGTTCATCAAACATTTCTGAGTAAGAAATCTATCACAGTTTCCAAAAAATATAAACAGCCCAACTGTTTCAACATTGATAAGAAGAAACGTTTCTGTGTGAGACTTCTTTCGAAAACATTAAACATCTTACCAAACCCAAACCTCTGAATGGTAGTATATATGGGAAAAAAATGTAGCTTCTTCATGGGATGTAAATGTAGAACACATTGATCGCTTAGAACACTTTTAAAATATGCAGCGCTGAAATCAAACTGTGTGTAACTCTTGGAAAACCCCCACTTTATGGATTCAAGGTTCTTTGGGATAACTCATCGAATATTTCTCTATATCTGGCTCTTAAAGGTGACTTGCGTCTCATTGAATCTTCAAAGCCTGAGGCGTCGTCGTATTAACCCAGATCAGGCTGCTTGGGTTTGAGTCAGAGACTATGCCTTTAAGGCTGTAATTTAACAGCAGCTTCCCTTCATGTGGTTAACGCTTCACTAAAGAGCGTTCACTGTTTTCAATTAGAAAAAATCTGAGTCATTAAGAAGTCAAGAAGCTGCATTCATGCTTCGACCGTTCTGTGACTTCTAGGGAAATGGCCCAATCCATCTTCCGGAAAAAAGGGGACACTGTTGGAGCGGTTATCTGATGAGACGGCACCCTCCTTTCCAATGAGAAATTCCTCCACCAAAGCTTCCTGGAATTTAGGGATTTTGAGGAACAAGCTCTCTGAACCAGCTGACGAAGGTTTGAGAGGTTTGTCTCCGATTTGAACTTTATTCAGGAGTAAAACATGCAAAATAATGGAACAACAACAAAATAACAATACTGCAAATCAGTAATACTGACAAATATCAATTATCAGTAGTAACAGTAAACTAAGAGTAATTCATGTTTCTCTTTAGATTTTTTTATTATTTTTATTTGATTTTTGGTTCATCTCACCTGTAAAACTCTATTTAATTGAGAGCTAGATAGTATTATTATTATTTAGTATTTTTAATACTTTTCTCAACTGTAAATCTCAGCCCAAAATAATTATGAAAGTAAGAAAAACTTTGACTGTATGAGATGTGAATTATACATTGCTACTCTTTTAAGTGTTTGTTTACATAATGCAAATAGTGGCCTTAGTTTTCCTTGTTATTTTACTCTTGGCAAAAGATAAAACACTTCTTTTGAAAGCCATGACTTCTATCGGAATTTTATGGGTAATTGATTTACAGAAATAAAACAAGAAAACGCGCACACCTGTTTTTCATCATTTGTTGAAAAATAAATTCGGGAAACAACATGGTTTTGGACAAAGGTTTTCAAAGGGTTCGAAACATTATTTCCTGGAAAAAAATTTCAGGGTGAATGCGATAGCAAATTGTTTTGTTGTTCCAAATTTAATTCCATTTATACAAGCTGCACTTTTTATGTGCCAGAGTTTTATTAATGTATAGACAGCCCTGAGGTGGGTCTGAATATCAGGTTTTATTTGTCATCTTGTGTGGTTGTGCTCAAAATGTACATGAATACGCTCACTGATAAGGACCGCACATGAATATCTTGGGGGAAAAAAGTATCTCAGATTGCACACGTACGTCTCCAATATTTAAAGAGAACATTGATGAATCTTGACATTGTCATCCTGGAAAATGACCATTATGTGTCGTCTTACGTGGTTGTTTAAGAAATAAGAAGATACACACTCCATCAGTTAGGGTTAGAAGTACTGAACACATAACATGCTAGAAACATAATAATCACTGCAATATAGATCCAGTCATTGACTCATTAATAAGCATTTTCTTATTTAAACAGTTAGTTCACCCAAAAATGAAAATTATGTCATTAATGACTCGCCCTCATGTCGTTCCAAACCTGTGGAGCCCGATCTCATGAAAGTTTGTATCTATAGAACGAATGCCATTTCTCGTGCCATTTATACGCCAAAACAATCGTTTTTGCGTGTATATCGTACACGTTTTTCGCGTGCATAATACGCACGTATAATATGCACAAACTCCCCACTCCCCTTCATTGGGAACCAAACGGTTCAAGGTCCAAATGAGAGTTTCAGTGCAGCTTCAAAGGGCTTTAAACGACACCAGACGATGAATAAGGGTCTTATCTAGGACCCTTCGAGTCATGACTCGGAAAAAAAAATTGTTCATTTTGATGAACGAGTTCGAACTGGAGAGTCACGAACGCTCATCACAGAACAGAGCAAGGCGAGCATTTGTGCTTATAAAACTTAAACTTTTTTATTTATTTTTTAAATGACTGATCATTTCACTAGATAAGACCCTTATTCATCGCCTGGTGTCGTTTAAAGCCCTTTGAAGCTGCACTGAAACTCTCATTTGGACCTTGAACCGTTTGGTTCCCAATGAAGTCCATTATATGGAGAAAATCCTGGAATGTTTTCATCAAAAACCTTAATTTCTTTTCGACTAAAGAAAGAAAGACATGGACATCTTGGATGACATGGGGCTGAGTAAATTATCAGCAAAAGTTTTTTTTTTTTTTTTTTAAAGTGAACTACTCCTTTAAATCCAAACAGCATTTTCGTTTCTTTTCTTGTTTTTGGCCAAGCAGTGTAGTAAGAGTAGTATGTTATTCCGCCCATAGCTGTATTTGTGCCTATTTTGGACACTGCAAAGAACATCAACAAATTGAAAATTTCAATGGAGTCTTTGTTAAAGTCTGTTAAGTTTCTTAGTGCTATGCAAATGTTGACCTACAGTGTGTTTATGTTAAGCAAAATAAGGAATAAAATAAGCAGATGTGACCTCAGTTTTGACGCAGAGGACATAGTAGATTTGGGCATATGATTAAAGCGATAAGACACACTTCATTGACAGAACAGATGAGTAATGTTTCTCTAATATACCTCTCACGGCATTATTTCTACTGGAATCGATCCAGTTGATACAAGATATAACCAAGCTGAAGAAGTTGGCACCCGTAGGCTGTATGGTGGCTGACATTTGAACTTCTGAAATGCCAAATTTGAATAGAATTGAATGAAAACAACAACAGCTGATCCCTGCTGTGAGTTTGTCTCTGTTTGTTCTACACGAGATGGCTTGTGTCGATAAAGCCTTTGGATTGTAATGTCAGAGCATTACGTAGCGATCAAAGCTCGGTTGGCTTATTAACACTGCGGCGATGACAGAATTTCAGAATGCCACCCAGAGTTCTCCGTTAACCTCATTGGAATTAGTATTTATTTTTCCTCTGCTTATTCTCCCTTGAACCTGTTCCTCACTTTCATGTCCCATATTTTCCACTCCGGCTACATTTTTACCAGTGAAGATTTGTTTTCAGTGCTATATGGTAGCTGCCAAAAACATAATCCCTATGATTTCATCTTCATAAGGCATGACTGCATTACTATATTACAGTTCACTTACTTCCATGCTCCTCCTTCATATTTGATTTATTAATGCGTCCATCTCATATAATTTAAACCTCCAAGATCAGCTGATTAAAGGTTCAAGCATACACATCTAAAGTGCAATTTGCATGTCAGCTGTTTTAAATCATCATCTTGAATCTTGTTTTTATCCAAAAATTTAAGAAATATGTTTCTCGTCCTTTGTAGGCAGGTGTTCTTAAAAATCCTGGCTTTAAACTGAGAAACTCCCAGATTATACAATATTATTGTTTGCTAAACTGCATTTTGTTTTTTGTTTTTATTAAATGTGTCAAAAAAGTGATAAATCATCTTTTACTATTCTCTTTTTACTAAACTGTAAAAAATGATTTTCTCTTCAAGAAAGTAAGATTTTCTCTTAATCTTCAAGATTCTACTCATTTTGAAGCCATTTTAAAATAATTTAAGATGAAATGATTTAAACATCCAAGTTGATTGTACTTAATTTAAGGCTACTTAATCTAATTACTTAGGCTACTATAGCCTGTATACTAAGTATACTATACACTGTAAAAAAATAAATATATTTTTTGGTGAAGTAAATACTACTGAAAAAAAACAATGTAAGTTACATGAAAAAGTTAGTTCAGGCAAGAATAAAAAAACTAAGTAAATCCAATATCAGTACTATCAAGCGAGTTGAAATGAAAGTGTAAATATCAGCTCAATAAAATAAAATTACTCAACTTTTTTGATACAGGGGTTCCCTTCATGCACTAGATATTGAATAATTAATGAGGTTCATTTTTCACTGGTTTCCAGCTGTTTACACTGTTTTATCATTGAATTTTGTTGTCAGTATTGGTAACTTGCCATTTTGTAACATTTCAAGTAAATTTTTTGCTCAAAATGACACATTCAAACTCGAAAACCCATCAAATGTGACCGCCATTGTGTAATTGTCTACCAAGTATTGAGGTCTTTGCATTCACATGATGCTTAACATCTGACATGATCTAATATAAATTACTTAAGCACATACTATAAATGACTAATAAAATTCAATATTATTGTTTTAGTGAAATGTAGCCTAATGCAAAGGCAAAGGAAATTTCAACTAAATCGATATCAATAAACCTTTTACCAGCCAAGTTAAAATTACTTATTTTCTGTAAAGTTTACTTAATTCCATATTCCAAGTAAATTTAACATAAATATTTCTAATTAAAGCTACTGATAAATATGTTTAGGTTTTGACTTAAATTTACTAACATTTTGTGAAAAAAGTTGACTAGCTTTTTTCAAGTAAATCCTACTCATTTTTTTCAGTGTATTTATAGCCTATAGGCTACTTTAAATAAGGCATCAGATGTAATCGGTAGACTGACTGATGGGAAATCCCATGAAATAACATGCTTCACAGGTTCAACATAATGTCTTTAAACATCCATAACTGAACTCAACGCAAATGTGCTCCGATGGTTCTCCGCGAGTCAGTAGCGTGTGTGTGAACAGGGGCGCACCACAGATCAGTCATCTTTTGTCAATACAGAATGGGGGCGGAGGAAACATATCCTATAAAAAGAAGGTATCCCACCACATCATGAAACAGCGGGCAGCTTCACAAACACTCGAGCAGGAATCCTCCTCTCTGCTGCCACTTTCTTTACTTTTTTTTGGTTCAGCATCCTGATGCTTTAAGCTTATCCACATCTTTGTGATTTTATAATATGGCATTTTAAGCAGCTCATAACAGTTTTTTCCCCACTGACAGGTTATTTGATGGACACTGTAGAATGGAGTTTAAGCTTTTTTAAGCCAAAGTTTGGTGGTCAAAGCACCTAGTGCTGTAGGAAACATCTTATCTTCAAGAAACCAACACATTCTCATTCAGAGTAAGACGAGACTGAAAGGATGCTGAGCGTTACGCGGAGTCGGAGCTGTTGGATGTTGACGCTGATCATCGCGGTAGTGCGGATGGGAGAAACTCAAGGGACCGAGAGCAAAGCCCAGGTGAACTCCATCAAATCACTGGAGCCCCAGATCGCCTCTAACCGCTCCAGCGCTTCATATAGCGACATCCCGAAAAAAAGCAACATCCCCGCTCAGGTAAACCCGACACCTCTATCCATTTATTAGAGAGAGAGAAAGCTAAAACCCTTCAGGCATTATTACTTAATAAATGCATAAGGAACGTGTCACTTGGGAGCAAATTGTTTGCTGATCTTTTTAAAGGAATTTGATTTCTGTCAGTTAGCCCACTCTGCAGTTTGTCTTAGGGACAAAACTTTTGTCCCAAAGTCACAAGAAGATTGTCCGAATTTTATCGTTTTCTTGTGGTATATTGAAATAGCCTACGCGTGACAATATTTTGATCGCATGCAGTCACAGAAATCGGAATATCACCACAGACTGTAACGCTGTAATCTTTTGCGATTAATAAAACTTGAGATCGTTTTTTTATTTTCATTTTTTTTTTATTTGTACATTGCACTGTAGAATTCATGTTTCTGATCTTTTGTTTTGCATTTTTGTTCATTAAAGGAATGGTTTGACAAATTGTAAATTACATTTAGGAAGGATCTCACGTCAAATTTAGACTTTTACTTTCCATCAAGCGCCAAAGAGAAAGGCTTGTGATAGCCTATAATGTAGGCTATAGCTCATCTATTTAGGCTAATCAATTTGTCAAGGCTCAAACATTTGTGTTATTTTAGATGGTGATCATTAAGGGAGGCTACATTATAAAACATGAACGTGATTTTAACAGTAAAAGACTGTAAAATTGGACCTTAAAATATCCCGTTAATTTGTTAACAGTACACTCTAAAAAATGCTGGGTTGTTTTAACCCAATTTTGGGTCAAATATGGACAAACCCGAAATGTTGGGTTAAAAATGTAATGTAAAAATTTAACCCAACGGCTGGGTTAGTCCATATTTGACCCAAAGTTGGGTTAAAACAACCCAGCATTTTTTAGAGTGTATGTTTCCTTATTGGGTGTAACTGTAATAGATCTAATTACATGTAATTTTACAGTAAAATGCTGTTCAATTTTACAGTTTTATATTCGTTGAAATAACCTATATTGCTACCTTATTTGTCATGGTAATTTTTTTGTAACCACAGCTGCCTTTTTAAAATTTGTTTCTGGAGTGTACAGTTTTACTTGCGTATTATACAAGTACAGTTATCAGAAAGGGTTTATTGTAGGTCAGTTGAATGGTCAAGCATGGTAAATCCTGGATTCATACCAAGCTCATGCTTTATTTACTTGTTTTAAGTCAATAAATTCTCAGCATGGGTAAGTCACCTAATATTACTGCAGATGAAAATCCTTTTTGCTATTTGGTTTTGGTCTTGGTTATGACTCTCATATCAGCAGTAAATATGAAGATGGTGTTTTAATTGAGAGCAGACACAATTTATTGGAAGAAAAAGAGGAGGTGATGGGATTTTTCTTCCTCTCATATCCTCTTTGGAGTGGGACGATCTCCAGTTTGCAAGTTCCCTGCCAGACCCTCATTTAAACAATTGCTTTCAAATATACCATCTGCACAAACGCAGGTGGTCTGAATGATCAGGCCACTGCTATACATGTGGAAACCACTACAGTCCAATATTAGTTAAATGTCATGCTACATTTAGCTTCTTATCCAAATGTAGATTGCTAACAACTCTGTAGATTGCAAACAGAGCGACTGTTGTCTCATTTGGAAGTTTCCAGTTGCAGATGGTGCAAGACAGATCTAGAACGTTTTATACTCTGAGGCGACTCTATAAATCTAAAATAATTGCATAGAAGATTTAATTGAAATAATGAAAGATAACTTTAAAAAATGTATACCCTGCTGAAGAAATAACTGCTTAAGCCAGCGTAACTTGTTCTGCTAGTCTAAGGTGGTTTAAGGTGCCTGACCAACTAACAAAACTCCCTTAAAACCAACCAAACCAGACTTTGGGTGTATACAAAACCAATTAGACTGGTTTAAGCTGTTTATTTTCTGCAACAAAACCAGGTAAAAAGCTGTTTGTTTTTTTGCATGTAGTGTATTTTTAGTAGTTGATGTTGATAAGCTTAATTTTTATGGAACAAAGGCACCTGGTATCAGGATGCGTTTTGGTCGATTGGATTACAAGTAGACAAGGGAGACACATTTCCGTTTACACCATGGTGTTTTAATCCACTTTCAACCACTTCTGTCCTGATTTCTTCGGGTGGAGATTCTATCTGCGGGTAAATTTATGTAGATAAATAAGCTTAGCTTTAGCTTTCGTTTCTGCTCAGCCGCAAGACCAGCCGAACGCTGTGAGCGTGTGTTCGAAATCACAAATGGTGAGAGAACATTGTGGTTGGTACATTTTTTGTCTTCAAACCAAACTTGGGACTCCGGCAGACAAATTTGAAATCCCGTCTGGTGAGTTTGCTTCCCATATGTTTACGCATTAGGTCAGTTGGAGGTCTTTTTGGCTGTTTGAACACATTCAATCAAAAGAGCGATTACACTACGAAAGCAATTCGGTCGAATGCGTTTTTGACCAGCTCAAAACGTTTTAGCACTTGAATTTAGCATTTGTGATCCAATCGCCCAAAACGCATCTTAATACCAGGTGTAAACAGGGCCAAAGAAACTTGTATGTAAATTATGTAGACATAGGGTTACAACTGTTGTACAGGAAAACTTTGTAACCTTTGCAATTGTATCTTTGAGAAATTTATTTAGTTTTAATGCCCTCTTAAATTGGAAATTGAAAACATTTGTCTTCTAATTAGCCTCGTATAGACATCCTGTTTTTTTGCAGTTTCCAGATTTCATGATGTTGATTTTTCTTATTGCCACTTTGATGCATGTGATGATATCATGCATGCTAATTTCAAGTTCCTCAATCAAAGTTATTGTTTTTTTAATTCCCCCTTTGGACGAAATTGAACAAAACTAGGCATGCATCCTCACAACAAGCTGTTGTCAAAGTTTCATTAACTTTCAGACTTTGCCGCACCCAAACATTTTTTTGAATTTTATTTGGAAAAAGCACTGACAAATTAAAAACATCTTTTGTTAGCTGTTTGATATATGTGAATTAACAGTCTGGGAAGAGTTAGTTCATTATGATAGATTTTTTCCAGACATCACACATCATCAGCCCGTTTCATGCAATGCAGAGTTAAACAGACTTCAGTCACAGAGCACCGCAACTAAAACACCAGCCGCCTTTTACAGTTCCTCCTGAACCAAAAAAAAAAAAAAAAAAACAGCTTATGCTGCGTTTTCTCCATACCTGCTGTAATTGGTAAGAGATGGAAACCCGTGAGGTTATACTCAGAGCGGTTCGTGACTCAAATGTATGCGTTTCAATGGCAACACTATCAACGACAAAATGAATCTGCAGCAGTCAAGTGGTAAAGGTCAGAGCTCTTTAAGTTGTCTAAAAAATAGACTAGTAATACATGAACACTCAT